CCTTTGAAATTGATTCCTTTCTGCCCAATAGTTCTGACAAAATGAAGCACTGCAGCTGGCGGGGGGGGGGTTAGAGGAGGAGGCTGTCATCCAGGATGGCCGGGCAGTGTGCACGGAGGAGCAGCAAGCGAAGAGGAAGTCGGAGATGCTGTCATCCTGTGAGTTTCAGAGGATGACAGCAGCTCTCTGTGTAGCCAAGCGGAGGATCGGTAAATATCTGAAAAGAATGTGGTAAGAGGAAAGACTTGAGCTAAAGAAATGTCACCTCTAAGGTCACTAACTAATTCACTTTGTGTGTCTCTCTCTCAGTTGGACAGATCAGGATGTCATATCATAGAAGTTAATTCTACAGTCTTTAAGCTGAAAAGCATCAGCATGGAGCAGGTTCTGAAAGGAGAAGCCACCATCACTGATAGTGGAACGGGTAACTTCTGCTTTTAACTTTCTTCTGTCACACTTAGAAAGGGGACATGTAATGGATACAGACTGTTAAAATAGAATTAGCATTGTGTTTTCAACTTCAGAGTAACAAAGTACCTTTCTTTTCAGTAATAATCGTAATAAATTAATAATGTGACTTCAAGAACCTAAGAAAAAGCATGCGTGGTATCTAGACACTGGGAGCAAAGTGTGTGTTTTGTATCATTAGGGACTGCAGCAAATCTGTCACCTAGCTTGGTGTGAGCCTGAAGTGACGAGGAAGGCCTTCCCTTGCTGCTCTCGTCTGAGCCCCACTGGAGATGGGAACAGTAGTTGTGCAGACAGAGAGGGGCACGAGCATAGGCGTCTCTACAGGGGGGCAAGGGGGTTATTCCTTGCCCCCCCCGCTGATTCCCCTTTAAAATGGCAGCTGCCGCACAGCTTCACAGTACGGCAGCGGTCTCTCTCCAGCTGACGGTCGGAGACAAGTCGGACACACTGTCACGGACCGCATGCCCGACTTGCGGGAGCAGCTACACGGTCTGCATCTCTGACAGATGCAGACTGCAGAGCTGCACCTGTCAGCTTCAGCCGGAGCTCTGTCAGTTCTGAGCTCCGGCCGAATGATGGATCACTCGTAAGGTCTAGTGCAGAAAAATGTGTGTGGGGGGAAGTGTATTATTTTATTTGTGCATGGGGGGTGTATTAGCAGTATTTTAGCAGAGTAGGGACAGAGAAGACGCATCAAGGGTGCTTGGGGCTTCACATGGGAGAAACATCACTGCCCCCACCCCACCACCACCCACCACCCGGAGAGGAAGAAGAGGGCATGACAGAGCACATGATCTAGTACATCAAAACTGTAAGTCCCTTTCTATCTTACACTGTCATCCGCACTTTGCGTTACATTGCTGTCATCCACACTTTGCATTACATTGCTGTCATCCACACTTTGCGTTACATTGCTGTCATCCGCACTCTGCGTTACAGTGCTGTCCTCCATACTCTGCTTTACATTGCTGTCATACGCACTCTGCGTTACATTGCTGTCATCCGACCCCTGCGTTACATTGCTGTCATCCGCACTCTGCGTTACAGTGCTGTCCTCCGCACTCTGTGTTACAGTGCTGTCCTCCGCACTCTGCGTTACATTGCTGTCCTCCGTACTCTGCGTTACATTGCTGTCCTCCGTACTCTGCGTTACATTGCTGTCATCCGCACTCTGCGTTACATTGCTGTCATTCGCACTCTGCGTTACAGTGCTGTCATCTGCACTCTGCGTTACAGTGCTGTCCTCCGTACTCTGCGTTACATTGCTGTCATCCGCACTTTGCGTTACATTACTGACCACCCGGAGAGGAAGAAGAGGGCATGAGAGAGCACATGATCTATACATCAAAACTGTAAGTCCCTTTCTATCTTACACTGTTGTCATCCGCACTTTGCGTTACATTGCTGTCATCCGCACTTTGCGTTACATTGCTGTCATCCGCACTTTGCGTTACATTGCTGTCATCCGCACTCTGCGTTACATTGCTGTCATCCGCACTCTGCGTTACATTGCTGTCATCCGCACTCTGCGTTACATTGCTGTCATCCGCACTCTGCGTTACATTGCTGTCATCCGCACTCTGCGTTACATTGCTGTCATTCGCACTCTGCGTTACAGTGCTGTCATCTGCACTCTGCGTTACAGTGCTGTCCTCCGTACTCTGCGTTACATTGCTGTCATCCGCACTTTGCGTTACATTACTGACCACCCGGAGAGGAAGAAGAGGGCATGAGAGAGCACATGATCTATACATCAAAACTGTAAGTCCCTTTCTATCTTACACTGTTGTCATCCGCACTTTGCGTTACATTACTGACCTCCGCCCTCTGCGTTACATTACTGCCCTCCGCCCTCTGCGTTACATTACTGCCCTCCGCCCTCTGCGTTACATTACTGCCCTCCGCCCTCTGCGTTACATTACTGCCCTCCGCCCTCTGCGTTACATTACTGCCCTCCGCCCTCTGCGTTACATTACTGCCCTCCGCCCTCTGCGTTACATTACTGCCCTCCGCCCTCTGCGTTACATTACTGCCCTCCGCCCTCTGCGTTACATTGCTGTTATCCGCACTCTGCGTTGCATTGCTGTCCTCCGCACTCTGCGTTACACTGCTGTCTTTCACACTCTGCGTTGCATTACTGACCTCCGCACTCTGCGTTACATTACTGACCTCCGCACTCTGCGTTACATTACTGACCTCCGCACTCTGCGTTACATTACTGACCTCCGCACTCTGCATTAAATTACTGACCTCCGCACTTTGCGTTACATTGCTGACCTCCGCACTCTGCGTTACATTGCTGTCATCCGCACTCTGCGTTACATTGCTGTCATCTGCACTCTGCGTTACATTGCTGTCATCCGCACTCTGCATTACATTACTGACCTCAGCACTTTGCGTTACATTACTGATCTCCGCACTTTGCGTTACATTGCTGTCCTACGAACTCTTCGTTGCATTGCTGTCCTCCGCACTCTGCGATACATTATCGACCAATGCACTCTGCGCTTTAACTGACCTCTGTCCCAATACTAAAAACCGATACCAGCCCTTACATTTTTCAAATTGACTTGGGTGTCTTCGGTCCGGCAGCGGGCCTTGCGGCAGCCTTCTGGGGGGCCACGCAATGCCTGCTTACAGCGCTTCCGCCACCCGCACATCTTCCCTTCCCTTACTAAGACCCTCCCCACCCCTCCTGACAAGCTCTGCCCAATACATTAGGCCAGAACCCCAGAGTAGAGCAGCAGCACAGGGTATGTGGCAAATGTATATACTATTATTCTGCATTGCTCTATGTTTTGCTGGGATTTGTATTCCTCTATAGCTAATGGTATTATTCCGCAAGGCTGTATAATGTATTGATGGGATTTGTAGTGCTCTATAGATGATGGTATTCTGCATTACTGTATAATGTATTGCTGGGATTTGTAGTCCCTTTACAGCTGGTGGTATTTTGCATTACTGTGTAATGTATTGAGGCGGTTTGTAGTCCTCTATCGCTATAGGTTATTATTTACACAGCCCTGGTGTTTGCTGAAATTGAAAAGCTTTTGAGAGTTTTCCTCTTTCTCAAGTCTGAAGCAATACCTGAGGAAGAAACTCTTGAAAGCTTGTCTTCTAAGTATTAGGTTAGTACAATAAAAAGGTATCATTGCATACCGCATTACTCTCGTATTTTGTAATTTTATTTATATATACTTCTTTCGGTTTTTTTAGTGGTTAAAATTATTAGTGCCCCCCCATTTTAACTGTGGTATTTTATTTGCCCCCCCTATATATTGCTCTTAGAGTCACCACTGGGCACGAGTGCCTGTGCCTGGTATGACTGCTTGACACACTGGATAGGCTTATGCTGATAGCAGGATGCCAGAGGCAGCTGGTGGTTGCTGATGGTCATCTTCGATGTCGCGTGTACGCGCAATTTTAAAGCTTGACATGTTGCGTGTCTATTTACCCGACGTGACTCCGACTTTTATATTTTACCAAAAAACTGGGTAATAATAAATGTTTCCTAACATAATGTAAAAGAATAATAGTAAAAAATAAAACCCGTAGTAGTGATTAAATACCACCAAAAGAAAGCTCTATGTGTCACCAAAAAATGGTATAAAATTCATTTCAGTACAGCGTTGCATGACGGAATAAACGTCAAAGTACCGCAGCGCTGATTACCAAAAAATGGCCTGCCCAGGAAGGGGGTCTAAACGCCTGGTCTTCAAGTGGGTAAAACACACACACACAACCATTACAGAGTCTCTTTAAGATTACATTTCTAATCCCCTGATTGGCTGAAGGTGTATGTTATCTCTTTTTTATTTTCAATGTTTCCTTTGGCAGGAATTGAGTTATCTACAACTAGCCAAACTAGTGTATCCAACATAATCAATAAGGTGTCGTTTGTTAATGCTGACAATAACTACAAAGTTGGGATCCCCTACACTGGAGTGGTGAGTCTCTGCACTAACACAAACAAGCTGAATTTACTAAACTATAAAGATCATTATTTTCAGCATTAACAGTCACACGGCTGAAAATAGTGATAATGATAAAACCTACCACATGAGTTCTACGAGCTTTATGAACTAAGCCTAATATTGTCAAAAGTTTGAGGTAAGTTCTTCTTAAAGTGACACTAAACTCAGTAGTTAAATCTTAAAAATGCATTCAAGTACCCTATTAACAGAAATGTATCTTATTTGTGTATCACTCGGCTGTAGCCCCTCAGATAATCTCTAAATTGGAGCTGACACTGTCCTTCCTTCTGGATGGTGGATACTTTTGTTCTCCAAGGCCCCTGTGCATGTTGTAAAGTAGTCACCGCTCCAAGCTCGCTCCTGTGATAGACTACAATCTCATGTTTTGCTTACTAATTTGTATTGAGATTGTAGTCCATCATGGTAGTGAGCTTGGAGCAGTGGATACTTTACAACACACACAGAGACCACCCTCCTGAAAGAAGGTCAGTGTCGACACATTTCCAGAGATGATTTGAGGGTCTATAGCTGAATGATACACAAATAACATACATTTCTGTTAATAGTTTTGGTACTTGAATGCATTTTAAGATTAAACTCCTGATTTTAGTGTCCCCTTAAGGCTAGTATGCATGGGTTTTTGAGATGCCTTTACAATGTGTTTGCCATGCATTTGCCACACACTTTACATTTGGAATACATTGACATTTATTTGTATAAAGAAATAAAGATGAAAGCTCAAACTGATCTCAGACTGATTTTATAGTGACTCTGTCATGAGAAAAGTACAATTGGGAGATCATCCCATTGCAAGAAGTGCTTAAAAGAAGAACTATGAGGTGTTTTTCACTCATCCTCATAGTTCTAGCCGACCTGTGACAATGAGACTGTCACAGGTCGGCTCAGTAGATCAGGAGGTGAGCGAACACATACCGGCGTTCGCCCACCTCTCGATCCTGTCACGGCTCTCTGCCCTGACAGGGGAGGGGCTGGATTCCCCCTGCCCCGCTCCGATCCGTCAGTGCCGACTGGCGGAACGGACGGGGGAGGGGGCGGGTACAGCTGGCTCGGCCTCTAGATAGGAACTGGCTCGGCCTCTAGATAGGCAGAGCCAGCTGTCGGGATCCGCTTCAGCTACGGCGTCTTAGTAGCTCGCGGTATACTGAGCCTAGGGTGACGGGAGGATGCTAGTTTGTGTCCTCCCATTACCCTAAGGAGAACTATGGGGAAAAGCCTTAACCCCATAGTTTTCCTTTAAGGACCTTCATAGAAGATCACTGGGAATTATTTTAATGAAAGCTTCAAATTAAAAAAGACCTAGAACAACTTTTGAAGTTATAATAACATTTTAACACTGAGATTTTAGTGGCTGGCTTTAGAACTTATTTATCTGATCTCAAATAGGGATGAGCCAAACACCTCCGTGTTCGGTTCGTACTCGAACATTCCAACCGCCGAAATGTTCGAGTACGAACTCAAACTCAATGTAAGTGTACGGGGGTCGAATGTTCGACCCCAGATACAGCTGCCGGTACATGTGGCTGCAGCGGCCTGTGTCCCTTCAAATCCCCGCTTTTTTCCCCACCTGTGTTGGCGGAGGCAGCGGGGACACAGACCTCTGCATTGCTCCGCTGCCCCCGTACCTCTGCTGCTGTCTTCCCTTGGTCTGTCGGCTTCTCCGTTCCCCCGTCTGGCCAATAGCAAGCTGGCTATTGCACCCGCCCACTGCCTGCTGTCAATTAGCATGGGGGGACCTGATAGAGAACTTTCTCCTTCAGGCCCCTCCTCCACTGAGCCGTGAGCCCTCTGAGTCAAAGACTTTAGCAAATCAGAGCTTCAGTGGGCATTTTGTATTATGGAATGTCCGTAGTCGAACAAACCGCGAACATCCCGATGTTCGATTCGAACAAGCGCTCGAACTGCCGATGTTCGATTCAAACTCATGTTCAAATCGAACACTGGGCCCATCCCTAATCTCAAAAACCTAAACCCTAGAGAAAGTTTTTCCTCAATAAAGAAAGTTTGGACATGCACAATAAAGTAACAAGCTTCTGTCGAGTTGGTGTCTGAGTTAATGTTAAAATATAATACTAAAGTAAGTGTGGGTCTGGCCATTTTGAACAATTTCCTGCAGTGCTTAGGCCTCCTAACTCAATCTGCCTGTCCATCAAGACTCCATCTAGTGGCCCCAACTAGATGCCCACATTTCAGTTCAGATACCAGTGCCGATACTTGGCACTTTCACGAGAACTATGAGGGTTGCATTGGTTGCAGCTGCGACTGTGCCCTGGTGCTTTGCCACTGCCCTGAAATCATTAGTCTGTATTGTTTTAGAAAAACTGTTACATGACAATAAATAAATTTTAAAAAATGTAAAAAAATCAGTAATTGGTATTTGTGATGACAAGTACTTGGTCTGGAAAAAATGGTATCGGTGCATCCCTAGATACACTATATTACCAAAAGTATTGGGACACCTGCCTTTACACGCACATGAACTTTAATGGCATCCCAGTCTTAGTCCGTAGGTATCAGTATTGAGTTGGCCCACCCTTTGCCGCCATAACAGCTTCAACTCTTCTAGGGAGGCGCCCACAACGTTTAGGAGTGTGTCTATGGGAATGTTTGACCATTCTTCCAGAAGCGCATTTGTGACGTCAGGGACTGATGTTGGACGAGAAGGCCTGGCTCGCAGTCTCTGCTCTAATTCATCCCAAAGGTGTTCTATCGGGTTGAGGTCAGGACTCTGTACAGGCCAGTCAAGTTCCGCCACCCCAAACTTGCTCATCCATGTCTTTATGGACCTTGCTTTGTGCACTGGTGCGCAATCATGTTGGAACAGGAAGGGGCCATCCCCAAACTGTTCCTGAAAAGTTGGGGGCATGAGATTGTCCAAAATGTCTTGGTATGCAGATGCCTTAAGAGTTCCCTTCACTGGAACTAAGGGGGCAAGCCCAACCCCTGAAAATCAACCCCACACCATAATCCCCCCTCCACCAAACTTCACACTTGGCACAATGCAGTCAGGCAAATACTGTTTTCCTGGCTACCGCCAAACCCAGACACGTCCATCGGATTGCCAGAATGAGAAGCGTTATACCTCACTCCAGAGAACACGTCTCCACTTCTCTAGAGTCCAGTGGCGGCGTGCTTTACAGCACTGCATCCGACGCTTTGCATTGCACTTGGTGTTGTAAGGCTTGGATGCAGCTGCTCAGCCATGGAACCCCATTCCTTGAAGCTCTCTACGAACTGTTGTTGTGCCAATCTGAAGGCCAGACGAAGTTTAGAGGTCTGTAGCTATTAACTTTGCAGACAGTTGGCGACTTCTGTGCACTATGCGCTTCAGCACGTGCTGACCCCGCTCTGTCATTTTACGTGGCCTACTACTTCGTGGCTGAGTTGTTGTTGTTCCCAGTTGCTTCCACGTTGTTATAATACCACTAACAGGTGACCGAGAAATATTTAATAGCAAGGAAATTTCACGGAACCCCTGAATCCAGTGTTTTGAAGGGGTGTCCCAATACTTTTGATAATATAGTGTATGCATGTACAGTATGTATATATGTGTGTGTGTATGTGTATATATATATATATACACATATATATATATATATATCATACATTAAAACAGGCAAACAGGGATGCACAAATCCTAGGATCCCTGTAGCCAATGCTCCTTAAAAATGACAGCTGCCTCCTAAGTTTTGAGTTTTTCTCTAATCAAGTAGCTGAAAAAGTATCTGTACTTGTACATGTACCATGTACAGTACTTGGTATCTGTTCATCCCTAGCCCCAAGTGGAGATTTACAATTCATAACATACAAATATTTTTGTATATTTATGTTGTGTTTCAAAAAGCTGTGTAAGGCACATCTATCACTATGTCCATTTCTCACTGCAGCACCATAGCATACTTTGTGTTTCCATGGAATAAGTTCCCAGTCCCCTCGAAGGTGTAGAGAATTAAAAGGGCAGCCCACCAGGTCTATTTCAATTTTTGGCAGATGCTGGATAATGGCTCTGCGAGTTGGTTATAAATTTACCAAATAGTAATGAGTAAATAGTAGAAAAGCCACTAAAATAATGTTCTGTGACTGTGAGGACTCATGTACAGGTCTCCTGTTTATTTCTGGCATTGTACTAATTCTCTATAAAATAAAATCACGACCAATAGTAAGTATTAAGCCTGTAACCCAACTGATTGTATCTTCTTGTGTCTTCTTTTAGATTAAAGTGGTGGATGTTGGTGATAACCCTATACCAGGCATTAATGTTTACCTAACAAGTTATGAAGACCCGATCAACGACACCTTAGTGACAGACGACAATGGGCAAGCTTCTTTCACTCTCGATACTAATGGTTGGAAGGGAAGTAAAATCTTAACGGTACTAAAATTTGTTTGTATATTGGTGCATCTATTAGTCTATATGTAAGGGGTTAGTTATAAAATGTCTCTTATTTCTCTACACAATTTCCCTGGCGCTGAACAGTTTTAAAGGTCCGTTCACACTAGAGCCCTATGGTAATGTACGTTTGAATTGCGCATTGCCACAATGTTAAATGCTAGGTGTATTGCAGTGCCCCAGCACACCTGGGCAGTCCATTGCAACACTTTTGTTTTGGGGCACACCACAAGGCACAGATGTGAACCACTTGTATGTTGCATGTCTAGTTTTGAAGTCCTGATGAACTATCACTTTATATCAGCTAAATACATTCCATTATGTGAAGATGTGCATTGCAGTTTGTTTCCTTTAGAATGTGAAGGACCCTTGTTCTCTGCGTAGAAGCAGAGGTCTCTGTGCAAAGGTTCCACATGTCCTGTGGTTAGTCAGAGTTCTCCTATCAGCAGGTTGTGTGAGCTTTGATAGGTCTTCATTAAAAAAAATATAAGACGTTCTGTGAATGGCAGAGGTGCAGAGCAAGCTATTCCCTGTGTTCAGTATACAGACTGCAAGTTGTTCTGAAAAGACCAACTCTGACCACATGAAGCACAGATCACTACAGTGAGTTTCTGAATCCCCAGCACCCTCCAGATGTGAAATTTGAAGAATTAGGTGTAACCCAGCTGAACCAATGTAAGTTTTAAGAACAGATCATTTCTGGAGTTCAGCTTTAAAGAAGATCTCCATGATTTTTAAAAGTTAACCCTTGCCGTGGAGCAACCCCCACAATGCAAGGGCTTACTGCTTGTTTTTCTTTAGGGGATGGAATGAGGAAGACATACTCACTTGATCCTCTGTCCTGCTCAGTGCTCCCCTCTTCCAATGTGGCTGTGGTATGTCGTTTGGCATCCTCACGTCTAATAGACCTGCTGTATTAGATGTGATGACATCACAGGTCCTTAGACTGCTGGAGCCCGGGGTAGAAGAGGTTGCAGGGATTGATCTAGCAGCCAGATAGGACAAGGATCAGGTTTTTCTTCTTTTTTTTTTGCCCCCCAGACGAAAGCAGTTACATCCTGCAGTGTGGGGGTAACCCCACTGCAAGAGTTATTTTTTAATAATCCAGGAGGTCCTCTTTAATCATATAAAGGGTGCAAAGTAGATAGACAAAAAAGCAACAAACTGGTTAAAATACATCAAAAACTGCACTGAATGAGTCGATTTTAGGGGCCATAAATCCTCCTTGTAGTTTTAAAGCGGAACTACATCCTCTTATCCTTTACAGTCAAAGAAGGTGCCATCTTAGCCTCTATCTGGATTGTAGTTGCCATGGTGCTCTACATGTGATCAGCTATGACACCAACCATTTCAGGGCTTGAAAGTTTGACTGAGAGCTGAAATAGGCACTCTGGCAACCCTGACAGTTGGCATGCCTTGAAAGTAACAGTTTCGGGATACCATTAACCACTTCCCCTTTGACAGGAGGGGAGCATTTTAAAACCACATCTTCCACGTGCATAAGCGGGAAACTCTCAAAATTTTAAGGTGTTTGCAGGCAACAGTGAAGCATGCTGGAGGTTGCCTGCATGTCTGGGGCTGCATTTCTTCCAAGGAGTTGGATATTTGGTCAGGATCAATGGTGTCCTCAGAGCTAAGAAATACAAGCAGATACTTTTCCACATCAGGGAGGCATGAGATTGGCCCCAAATGTATTCAACCCCAAACATGCAGCCAATGTCATTAAGAACTATCTTCAGCATGAAGAAGAAGGAGTCCTGGAAGTGATGGTTTGGCCCCCACAGATATATTTGTCCATATTATTTATATTTTAATGTTTATTATTCATTTATATTTAAATATCATAATTTTATAATCTAATGTATTTTTTATCTGAAATGTAAGTATTTGTTTTGAACACGTACATTTTTGTAAGTTTCCTTATTTGTCTTCATATCAAAGGCAAGAACAAATTTCGAGTATATGTGGCAATTGTCCGACAACATATTCCCTGAGTATGGTATGGCAAGTCTGGATCTTAAACACTTCTACTCCCGCAATAAGAGCTTCCTGAAGCTTCACTCCTTAGACACAGTCCTGCCATGTGAGGGGCAACACGAGGTGCAGGTGGAATATATACTTAAACACACAGAGCTGACGAATGACGCTGGCCACCTTGACCTACATTATCTGGTGAGAATCTTTTTGCATTATGTCGAGTTTTGGTTAAACAGCTAAATACATACTTGTGATTTGTGCTTTTAGGATGTTGTTTTACATGTTAAAAAGTGTGAAGCTGTTCTTTTGATTTGAGCACCCTTCTTCTCTCTATGGCTGTACACAGATCTTGCAGCTCTTTAGACTCTGGGCCACTGTCACACATGAAGTGAACATCATGACACCCACCCTGAAATTTTTCCTTCTTGCAATTTACACAAAATTACCCTGCCCTTCTTTAAAAAAAAAAAAAAAATCATACCGCAGCTTGCTGCAAGCAAGAGGAAGCAGTTCCCTAAATCTGGCTATGAACACAGGAACTGCACAGGTACCATGATTTTCATTATTATCAGGGCCATCCCTTTAATGAGGCAGCCTGAGGCTGTTTTCTCTTTGGATCACATGAGAGGGTAGGCATGGGCTCGATGTTCGAGTGGAACGTGAGTTCGACTCAAACATCGGCAGTCGTGTGTCCGGCGAACACACAAATTGTCAGGGCACAACTGTCACAAGGCACTGCTCCCTGTGAAGCCCTGATTGCCTAAAGTCTTGCACCTGACCACAGGTCAGGTGCAAGACTTTGCACAATCAGGGCCTAATACTCTGTAAGAGCCATGATTGACTTTGCCCAATCATGGCTCACCTGTCAGATGCCGTACAACTGTAAAGAGTTGGGCGGAACTAGCTGTTTATATGTTGCTGGCATCTGTCAAAATAACATTCTGCAGGGGGAGTTAGACGCGAGCAGACGGGACAGCGGTCGTCGTTTAAAAAAAATGATTTCTATTTATTTTTTGTTTTATTTTTTATTTCATCGAGGAGTCGTCATCATGGACATCACTGGTGATTGACCCTGGATTATGTCAGTGGATTCATATTTTTTTCAAATAAAGGATTTTTTTCAAAAGTCTGATCTTTTCATTTACATTTTTATTTAATCCTTTAGTGAATGGGTAGGGGTTTTCCCAGCAATGCTCTGCTGATGTAAACTTTCCAGGATGCAATGCTTGGGTACATACATAATTTGTGCCAGAAGTAGACCAGGAAGAGGATGAATTCTATTTGTTAGTAAATAAGAAATATATTTGTTTAACTTATGAATGTAATACATTTTTAAATCGGCATGCAGTGCTGCATGCTGCTGTGATTTTATGTGAAAGGGGGTAAAGGTACACTTTAAGGGGTTAATTACTACCAAAGGGATGCCAACACTTCAACTTTCCACACTAGAGCACTGCAAGGAATCAGGAATCAGGAATCAGTCTGGAAAGGACATTGTAAAATATTCTTCAGAACAGAAAAAGGTAGAACTCTGTAATAAGGATTCGTTAAAATCCTTGCTATGCACATTAATTACCCTGAGGGGATTTGTTTCTCAACATAAAAAATGTAAATGCTACTGTGATTGACATAACTAATTCCATGTCCAACTAGTCCACAGTTTCACAGGTTTAACAGTAAAGAGCTCTTGATGGAACTGGAGATTAAATCTATCTTCTTCTAGTTGCAAGGTGTGGTCTCATGTCTTTTGCTGTTACTTCAAATCAAAGAGTGTTCTTCTGAATTTGATAGGCCATTTATATTTTTTTAAATAGTGATCACATCTCATCTTTTTTCTCCTTTTCAAAGGTTAATAGATTTAGTTCTATTGACTTTTTCTCCTAACTGATATTTGCTATGCCATTTTTTAACTTAAATCGAGTAGCTGTAGACAGTTGACAATATTACCGGCTATCTTTGCAATATAATAGCAACCACTGTGCAAACCCTCCACTATAGCACATACAGCACCAGCATGTGTTACACAACTTATTTCTGTATTAATTCATTTTTTAATATGTAGTCATTTTCTTTTATATTTTAAAAGGTGACTTCTAAAGGCTCCATACAACATTATGGATCTTTTAAAATCAGCACAGAAAATAAAAATGAAGGTAAGATAAATAATTGCTTATATATTTCAAGCATAATAAAAGGTGGCCCACCTCTCATGTAAAATCAGATTTTTAGAGAAAAAACCCATAGAGAAAAGTTAACAAATATGCTTAGCTTTCAACTAGCTTCTGCCCGCTGTGCCAGCATATGAGTGATGTTATGATCTATCCAGCGAGATCCTGGGAACCATGAGACCAACCATGAGATGCTCCTGCTTTCCTAAAATGTTGCCGGTGACATCACTCACTCCTGTGCAGAAGTCAGGTGTAAGGCATATTTATATTTTTAAACGTTTCTCCACAGGTTTTTTTTTTACCCCTAAAAGCGTGAGCCACTACTTAATAAGCCGACCTTGCATTCTGGTTCATGGACCTTTGGTGCAGTTGCCCTTATTTTGTAGTCCCTTTCCAAATTTTAGCTCCCCCACCACCTAGCCTTGTACTCATTTGTCCAAATACTACAAGATATCGCCTTTATAGGTGATGCATGATCTTTTGTTAAAATCTTCCCAGCCAAGCCTGTGCATGGGCCCTGCACTCCTATTCAGTCCTATGGAGAGTTAGTCCAAGGTATGTGCTCATACTCCAGAGCTCTCCATATGACTGAAATAAGAGTGGAGAGCATGGGCCTGGCTGGGAAGATTTTACGAGAGAATCTGTGGCACCACAAAGACCATACAGTAAATCTAATTTCTTGCTGTGTCTGCATCTGATTTTAAACATCATGTGGATATTAAATATATCTGTGCAACTAATACACATAGAATGATCAGTCTGCCTCTTTGTGTGCCCTTCATCTGCTGCAGATCATCATGGCAAGGCCACACTGAAGCTCTCCTTAAGTGCAGGGACATCTTCAACGTTTCGGGCACTTGTGTATACCATATTACCAGATGGAGATATTTTGGCCGACTCGGCAAACTATAAAGTACAGCAATGCTTGCAGAATAAAGTGAGTGGTCTGAGCCTAATGCTTGCTCTGTGTTCTGTGGTGTATGAAAACCTAAAGTCCAATTTATGCTAAAATATTTGATTATTTTTTGGATAGAGTGGAGAAGGGTTGAATTCCTGTCAGGTTTTAAATGTCTATCACCCACACAATGAATTTATCTTCTGTTCCTGACTTGTCTGACTCTTGTTATATGGCAAGGGAGTATGGAGAATTTTCCCTCTTAAAGGGTTATTAGACCCTCTGTTTTTTTGCATATATCTACTGCTAGCAAGCAGTAGATATATGCAACAACTTTTTTTTTTTTAAACAAACCCCGCTTTAAAAGAGGTTAATACTTACCTGTGTCTTCGCTGCGCGCTCCCGTCCGAAAATCTGAAAAAGCATCTCGGGGCAGTCGCATGCGCAGTTCAGATTTTCGACCGGGAGACGAGGAGAGACACAAGGTGAGTCTATGGGCAGCGTGCACCCGCATGCAGACACCGTGGGACAGGAAGTGCCAGCAAGCACAGAGGAAACATCGCTGGATCGGAGACCCGAAGCAACGCTGGAGGGACAGCTGAAAACGACAGGAAAGAAGAAGAAGATCGGATTAAGAGACATAATTTAAGGTAAGTGCTGACATTAACATTGGGGGAGGGGAAAAAATAATTACTTTAATGTCACTTTAAGGGCACAAACAGGTATAGAATGGTAATAGAGGTAATAACTAGGGATGCACAGATATATCGTCTGCTGAAGCATATCGCCCAAAAATGACACTTTTGGCAAAATGCCAAAAGTTAATTTTTTGGCCGAAATAGTGGTGCATCCGTGAATTCTCTCCTCCCCGCTGGGCGCTGCTCTGTGTCCCAGCGAGTAAGAGAGAAACTGTCACAGGAGGCCCCAGCCTCCTGTCACAGATCAGGAGAGTGGCGGTGTGGGCGGAGACAGCCATTGATGTCACAGGAGGCTGAGCTCTCCTCCCGCAACGTCCTGCCCAGTCTTCTGACAGTGTCAATGGAGAGCGGGTGCAAACACTCAGTGATCAGTGATTGCTGAGTGTTTGTAAATAATTGAGGACAGAGTATATTCACTGTGTCCCCAATTATAAATGAATGGGAAGTGATCTAGAGCACTTCCTGTTCATTCATGATTGTGGATATAGTAAACATACTATGTCCTCAAGTTATGAAAGAAAAGGAAAACTCAGTATAGTGGACTCTGTGTCCTCAATTTCTTTTTCTTTTTTAAAAGGGAAATATCAGGGGTCTGTTTAGACCCCTCTTATTTCTCTGAAGCCCTAAAAGTAAAGTAAAAAATAAAAACACTTAATAAAAATGAATAAATAAAATATAAACAAATTTGAAAAAGTTATAATAAAAAACATTTTCGGTTTCAGCCTGACATTGTTTTTCATTTCGGTTTTGAAATTTTCATTTCGGTACACCTCTAGTAGTAACCCATCATCTCTTTACTGGAACATTTGTTTTTATTGCAAATATACTAATCAGATGCATATTTTACACAGTGGGGTTGATTTACTAACCTTTTAAACACACCACGAATGTGTATACACCTCTGTAGTGTGTTCCCTCCCAGCATGATCTATGGGAGGAATCGAAACACCTTTGTAGTGTGTACACACCCAGCAGGTGTGTTGTGCAAAGCCCTGCAATGAATTGCAAGGTAATGTGGTGTAAATTAGCTCTATGTTATGTTGCTTGCGTTGATGAATGCAGGAATGTAAATGCATGAGCTAACCATTTTTGTCTAAACTGTGAAGCAGCATTATATATGCGTCATGTGCATGATTTTTCCATATATGGCATTAGTGGAAATATGCTTTTAGAGGCTTTTTGGTTGATAAATACGTTTTGCTGTGTGAAAATCACACACACCTGGTGTGTGTGTGTGTGTTTAGGTTAGTAAATCACCCCCAGTGTCTCTAAGACCTCCTCCTATTGCCATATGTCCTTTGCGAGCTCTCACATGATGACGCGCCAGAGTAAAAAATACATGCCACACCGCACACAAAGGTCCGCACACCACTGCTCTATGCTGCTTTGCGTGCAGTGTGGCACAGGCTTTACTCATTAGCATGATTCAAGGAGGGTTTGCAGAGTGCAGTTACAATTAGGTAGGCAGCATAATTTACTGCAGTCAGATCTTTGAAATTTCCAGGATGTTTTTGGTCACTACACTTTGCACCTCACCATTGCTTTTTGTGCTCCTTTATCGAAAAGGTTGGAGTATAAACCATACAGACCACATACCACAGAGGATGAACACGTAGAAGCTGTTTTTTTCTTGCAGACATAATCAGAAGAATAAACATATTACTTTTATTTTAATACTCTGTGCTATTGTTCTTTCCCCTTGCCAGGTATCAATCGGCTTCTCTCCAAAAGAGGTGGTTCCGGGCCTGGATGTGTCTCTTCAGGTTCAGGCTGCTCCTGGTTCTCTCTGTGGTCTCAGGGTAGTGGATCAGAGTGTGGTCTTGATGAAACCAGAAAAGGAGCTGACTGCCGACAAAGTGAGTGGTGGATCTACAAAATAGAAATGAGTAATTGGCCTTCTTCTTAGCGTGCCTTTTTATATTTTTCCATCATTTTGTTTGTTTTGTTTTTAAGGTTTATAATCTGTTTCCATTCCGGGATGATGGCAAATATGATTATCGCATCGAAGAACACGAAGACCATTGTCCATTTCATCCCTTGCATCATCCTTCTCTTCGTCCATCAAGAGATGACCAGTATGTGGATGTGTACAGCTTCTTTAAGGTATACATAGAAACAGATTCAAAGATATGACTATAAATTGTTAAAGAAAAATCACATGTTATACAATGTTATACATTTTACAAAATTGAAGAAGCAGAGCAACAGTTTTCATACTGTATATTTTTGGAAAATAAAGCTATACGATAAATATCATAAATAAGGCACATTTCCTGTTGCTGTTAGCAGCTAAAGGTATATCCATCTCCACATATGACTGTAAAAGTGACTTAGAGACCAGTGATACTAATTTACTAACACCAGTGAGGTTATACCACATCAGTCTTTTGGAATGAGGTTTGTGAAAGCCATGAAAGTATTAATAAAAGCCACTCAACCAAGTTTTAACTGAACAGCGTCACCAGGATGTTGCCTGCAGGATAGGTTAAGTACCAAGCTTTTTGAGACATGAGCCCAGAACAGGGATATCACTGTTTATCATGATCTGATGACTATATTTATTGAGCCAATGGATCTCAAAGAGAACCTATAAGCCATTTCAAAAGTTTCTCAGTTTGATACACAAGTGCTCTATGAAACTATTATCCTGACACCTTTCTGACAAGGTATATAAGGAATTTGTGGTCATGCATTGTCACCAAAAAGTGCTCCAAACTATCACCTACAAGAGTTGAGGTTCAACAAACAATGGTCAAAATGTGCAGGGCTATATTGATAACATCCCCCCATATATATAAAGATCAATTAAACATATCAACAAAGTTTTGTTTTAACAGTATTAGATATTTTGTAAAAAGGATAAAATATACTAGCTTTATTAATAACAACAAGCTGCGATGCTTGAAGCTGACATGTGTTAAACGTGATACAGTCACGCCATATTTACACATTTATAGAGAATTCCTCTCAGCCAGCTTCTGCTGTGGTGGTATTGGTTTTTTTTTTAAGCACTATAGTTGACCTTCATCCCCCCAGCTATGTAAGCAGACAAGAGCATCTCCCTTCTGAGCAACCCCCATATGGGTGCGAAATGAGTAGAGAATGAGACCTCAAGAGACTATTGGTCATTGAACTTACCATGGCTTCATACTTGGATCACGGTTGTGACTTCACAAAGTATAGTTTATACCTTGTACGGTTATTCTTGCTGAGGATCTCGTTGGAGTTTGCTCGGCCATGGTTGGAGGGATGATTTTATCTGATTTTGTATATGTGTAATATAATATAATCTTATTAATATCTTTTTTACAAAATGTCTTGTAGTGTATGATACCTTTGAAGCCCCAATTTTGTTGATATGTTTAATTGATTTACAAGAGTTGAGAGGTTGACATTCATGCAAAGGAAAAAGCCTAAATAATCTGTAGCTCTCTGCAACCCATCCGTGACACCACAGTACAAACACAGACTCCACCTCTATCATTGTCATCACTAACCCACACCGCCGCCTGAAAATGCTGTCATAGTTGGTCAAAGCACCATCCAGTCCTATGAGGTAGCAAACTGACACTTGCTTGTGTTGCTATTAAAAAAGAAAATAACATATACAGTATATAATTTTAAGAGGGTGGTTAGCAGCAGCTATAGAGAAGGAAGAAAGCCTTGTTAAGTTAGTGGTCACGTTACAGCAGAGTGGGATTCTTTTTCCTAGATGCCTCTCACTAGCATCTCTCATTTGCTTTTGAACAGACATGTCAAATTCCACGGCCAAATGCCTCATGGTGTAATTGATTTAACATGCCTCCTCTGTCTTTGGATAGAATGTCACTAGGCTGGGTGTTCTTCACCTTCCACTAGTGGTTCTCCGGTGCAGATAGCAATCACCTATCTTTCCCTTTATGCCTCCTGCAGCAGAACTAATGATTCCCAGTGCAAAGGCTGCCAGATCAACATTCTCTTCTTCTCATTTAGTCCTAGCCAACTCTTCAATCTAGACCTCTCTACTGAGGTTTATACCCTCTATCTATTGAAGCACTCACATTACATTCAGACAGGTTCTCTTGCATGGTGTGTAAGGAGAGACTGGAGTATATAACTTCAGTTGTGTATGCAAAGGCACATTTTTTTGGTTTCTTTTGATTATAGTAGGGCAGGGTCAGATGCTCTGTTAAGTTTCTATTCCTGTTTGTGTCCCTCTGGAAAGATTCATCCCTCTATTTGTACTGGTGATCATTGTCTTAGACAGAAGAGATGGGGGTAAACCTTCCAATTGAGTCACCTGTTCTGGTGACAGCTATCTAAGAGAGGCATTCTCTTCTTTGGGAGATTTACTTTAACTTCCGGTTGCATCTCTGGAACAGGAATTGAAGACTCCCCAACAGTATACAGACATGGCAAAAATAACATGACAGTAATTTTATTCCTTCCCTACTTTATATCAAACTAAAAATAAAACATGTTGGCTATTTATACACTTTTTGATTTACTGAAATGAAAGTTCCTTCACAATTAACAGTTACTTAAATCCTCATGATTTGGGAGGAAGTCTTTCATTATTAGCAAGGGGTGCCAACACTTTTTCTTATTACCTTCTTCCTACTCTGCATGGAGAACCAAATTCTCTTGCTTTTCATGTTTGTTGACTCCACGATGGTGGAACACTTGCATACCCCCCGGGGTTTATATATCAATACCCACAGGATTAAGTGCTCAGGAAAGCTCAGAAATGCAGATATTATGAAAGGATCCTGAAGAATAAGATAGTTAATCAGTGATGTAAGGTAATATGAAAGCTATAGAAAAGTTTGTGAAGGAATAAGACCACTAAAAGACTTAGGGTGTGGATGAAATGGAGAAGAAGGTTGAACTATATGAAGTAGCTGAGATAATGGATTGCTATGTATTGCAGAAGGGGTTCCTGAAATGGTGTGGAACCACTGGACACACACATTCAGATTTACTGCAAAGTTTGATAAAGAAAGGAAGAGCATTGTACAATAAAATGTAATTGATTACAAGGTGCTATTGATATTGTCATTGCTTTAATGCATGTCTCAGAATACTGAACCCAAAGCCTATGTCATTTATATTGAAATTCCATTGTTGGATTTGTTTTCTTACACACCACAGACAATCAAATGTAAAATACTAACAAGTGCAGACATTAAGAAACCCATGGAATGTCACAATATTATATATGCAGATTATGCAATTATGCCAGGGCTTCCAGGGCTTCCAAGACCTGCAGGACCCCAAAAACCAATTGGTAAGATTGTAGAATAAGACAATATAGCTGAGCCTGCATATACTGTATATAGCTGCTGTCATAAAAGTGGATGCATGCACGAAAAGGAGAGGTGTAGGGCCCCCAACATCTCTCATGTAACGCTCATTCATACCTTATTCTGTTTGGTGTAGACATGTAAATTTTGTTTCGTGCTGAATGCAAATTTGAAGGAATTGTCATGGATTCGGACATTTGGATGCATCCGAATTTCCAAATGAGACAAATGCTGTCTCTTAGGTCTGCCCCTCTTCTGATTTGGGTGCCCAAAGTGGGCACCCAAATTCCCATGAGCCCATATGCCCACAGACCCCACAACCACTAGTGTTGTGGGGAAGAAGCCAATGTCCTCATCAACATGTTCTAATGGAACATGACCATACTGCATGTTGAGGGCAAGTGGCCTGGTATGGTGCAGGCAGGTGGGTGCACGCTTGTTCCCCCCCCCCCTCCCCCCCTTCTTGCTCTGCCAGGCCAATGTTTAGATCAAGGGTGTAGAATGGGATTTTAGGGGGACACGCTTTTTTGGTTTGGTTTTTTGGTGTGGAGTCCTCCCTTAAAATTACTACCAGATCTAAATGGCCTGGTATGATTTTTTTTTGGGGGGGGGGTCGGGGAGGGGGACCCAATGTTGTTTTGTTTTTTAAATTGATTCAATTAAAGTAGTATTAAGGTCTGGGAATTTTTTTAACTTAATGCATTCTTTGCATTAGGGTAAATATGGCCCATAGTATCCAGCACACTTACCTGTCAGCTAAGCTCATCCCCGCCGTCGGTTCCAAAGCGATCCTCCGTTCCTCGAACTTTCTGTTTGCGGGGGGAGGATACTGATGGCAGAGGAGCCATAGGCTTCTTCTGCCATAAATCAAAGAGAGAAGGGACGTGGGCTGCCACAGGGCTGTGTGTGTCTATAGACGCACACAGCCACTGCGGGCACGAGCGTGCACGGGTGCCTCCATTAGAACAATGGTGTCACCTGTACAGGGGGCAGGGGGAAGATTGCTGCGGGCACCCACTAGAAAACGAGGAATTAAAAACTTTTAAGGAAAAACGCCAACAGCCTCAAGCAAAGCTGGGTCTCCTTGTAGGAAATATTTTTTTTTAAAAAAGGAGGCTTTAATATCACTTTAAATTAGTTGTTTTTTTAATTAAAAAATGCATCTGAATTTCCAAAATGAAAAAAATAAAATTCATATTAGTGATGAATATCACTAATATGAAACAACACAAAATCTGAATGTACCTGAAACAAAGCAAAACACATTTTTTGACGGCTTACATGTCTAGTTTGGTGTGTTGTAATAACACTTGTGCTTTAACATGCATTGCATTAAGGCAACCCATTCGTTTGAATAGGCTGGCAACGTACCAGACGGCACTTGTACATCTTCCTTTATTTGCAATGCTTGCACCACAATGCATGATGTGCATCACCGTGCATTACACTGTGCAGCAACACTATTGCAGGGATCATTGGGGTGCCATTAAGCATGAATAGAACTACATTGTATAAACATGTGTAATGTGACTTATTGTGTGTTTGCAACAGTGTGTATGGGCTCTTAAATTGAAATAGTAATGTCGGGAGGAAATCTGAGGAAATCTGAGACCAGGAGACACTGTTACATTGGGAATACTTGCTTTCAAGTGTCCCAGTTGACCACACTAGCCAGGATAAAGAAATCCCTGAGATAAAGAAATCCCTGATAAAAAAAAAATCCCTGAGAGATAAAGAAAAAAAACAAAAAATGGTTGCTACGGCAACAAAATCAGTTAGATGATTGCATAGTCACATTCAATACACAGCCCACCCCCTTCTTCCCCAATAGTACACATATACCTGCATACAATATACTTAGAAACCTGTTCTTAATTTTTTCAGTTGCTCTTGCTGATCCTGGAAACATAATGCCAGAAAGCATACCCAGGTTGGCGACAGTAGAGGAGAAAGAAAAGGAGAAAGTTCGAATATATTTTCCTGAAACCTGGCTATGGGAACTTATATCAGTAGGGTGAGTCTCCGCTTGTACATTCAACCCAAAAAGCAGAGTTCATGTAAAGTGGAAATACAAAACCTGTTTTAGCTAGAGGAAAAGCAGATGAAAACCTCTATTGAGTTTTGTGTCCATGTTTGGAGGATTTGCTTTACTCTGTACTGGCGGCCATTGTTACTGGGACAGAAAGTAGGTCTAAAATATGTAAGGGTTGTAACCAGATTGTGGCCCATCTCAGACAAATCCAGGCACTGTTGGCTGGTTGCAGAACGGAAAATCATAGAAGATAGATTAACCATTCTCACAAGCCGTGCAATTCACAGTGGATGGTGTACTGAGAAGATGGATGGCACCCTCAAACTTGCATGAGATAATATTCACACATCCTGTGTGTGTATAAGGAAGTTAGTCTATTCGAAATGCATAAGAAAAAAGAAAAAGAAAAAAACATTTTGGGACTGGGCAGTGTCTCTTAAAGAATATTGCAACTTATCGGTCCTTAGATGGGGACTGCATTACTGTTTTTTTTCAGGCTAAGAATTTTTTTTTTTGACCTTGACAGATAGAAGTGTCCTTGTGACTTCCTGTGCAGTAAACTGATGTCTCAAACCATAGTTATATTCTGTAAACTACAAAACACCCCCCCTCTTTGTAAGAGAAATGAGGAGAGGCGCAGCATAGGGTGACAACACAGCTCCTCCAACGATAGAGTAGATTGTTTAACTGGGTGAAAATAAAGGAAAAATCTTGGAGAAAAAAAAAACACTGCAGCCACCACATTTACAGACTTATCAGGAGAAGGTGCAATATATTACACCTTTTTTTTATTGGGTTTACCTCAGTATTGTTGCTCATAACACCTATTAAAACCAAGGATTGGTGATTAATGTTTTCTTTTACTATGGTACTATTGGTACCATTTTATACTTGCTTATTATAACGTGTACTATGTTGTCTATTTGTAAACCATTGGCAGGGTCCTTCACCCTCGGAATATCTGTGAATCTTTGTTGTGGGCAAATAATGGCAAAAACGAATGTGCTTAATATATTTTTCCCTGTTAGAATGTAGTATGTTGTAATAATATATTATGGCCACTAGATGGAGCCAAAGAGCATAAGAGCATATGACATAGGTTTTCACTAGTGATGAGCCGAACACCCCTGTGTTCGGTTCTAACTCGAACTTTCGAACATGGAAAAAGTTCTAACTCGAACTTAGAACTCAATGCAAGTCTATGGGGGTAGAACTCGGAAATTTAAATGTCCCCATTTTGAAGCCTTATATGCAATTTATTGGCCATAAAAAGTGTATGGGGATCCGGGTACTGCCCTGGGGGACATGTATCAATGAAAAAAACACTTTTAGCGAACGCTCAAACATGCTATGTTCGAGTCGAACATAGGTTCGACTCGAACGCGAAGCTCATCCCTAGTTTTCACTTCCTATGCACCTTCAAGTGGCCATAATATAATATTACAACACACTACATCCTAACTGGGGAAAATATATCAAGAATAATTTTGGGCATTATTCGCCCAAAACAAACATTCATAGATATTCTATGCCCAGTGAATTGTTTATAAATAAACCCCAGTATGTAAAAAATGGAGGAAGGGGAATATAGGGGAACATTTGGGGAGATATTTGTTGCTGTTAGTAGCAGCTCCACATTTCTACAGTTCTTATGCATAACTTTTATTGGGGATGCTTTGTCCAAAATGCAGCTAAGAAAACTGGATTAAAATCTGTCCCTTTCAACCACTTACCTTCTTTTCTTCATTCTCCTTGTTAATGAAATATAGAAACTAATAGGCCAGTATTAAAAACTGCCCCTTGCTTTCCCCAACTTTCTCTAACTGTTTGCTTTGTTGGTATGACTGTGTGTTATTTTTCATTCTTTGTCTTCTCCAGAGACTCTGGCAATGCTGACCTCCATCACAAGGCACCAGACACCATCACAGACTGGAATGCCGGGGCCGTATGTTTGGGTCAGAGTGGATTTGGCCTGTCTCCTCCTGCCTCTCTTCGAGTCTTCCAGCCGTTCTTTGTGGATCTCGCCCTCCCGTATTCTGTAGTGAGAGGAGAAACTTTCATCCTTAAAGCCTCAGTATTTAACTACCTCAAACAGTGTATCAAGGTTAGTAGTGTTAATCATATTAACCAAATCATTGGAACTTTCTTTATCTATTCAAGGAAAAATAATATTTCATAAAGATGGTTTTAGATGTTTCTTCATTACAACAATATAATGTTTATGGCTGCCTAAATAGGCTGGTGTCTAAGGTGTCTGAATGCTCCTCCCACCTCAACTCCATTGAGTAAACATGAATGCTTGATCACCCTAAGCTTGCATTTGCCTAGACCATCACACATCCTCCTGTGTCTATGGCTAGCTTTAGTCTCACCACATATTACCATCTGACCATACAATTTCCATACCATCAGTTTTAGATCAACCTCGACTATGTAATTGAGGACTTACCTAAACTATCCAATCAATCAATCTGTATACCATCGGGCAGGCCCAGATTTCAGACTCAACAGTATGTCAGATGCAGTGTGTGTTCAGGGGCTACTAAGATGCTTCTGAGATGCTTTGATTTGCCTTTTAGTTGCTCAAGGAAGTGCTTATTTTTTTTCTAAATTGCATTGTGATACTCTAAATTGCATTTTCATTCACATTGACTTGTATGGAGTAGAAAAGCAGCTTAGTTACATGACTACTTAAAGTGAAAAAAAACTCCTCAAAGTGAAAACAAAAAGCACAACATTACCCTGAAGGTCAACTACATACACTTCACTTTAAAATGATTTGCAGATCCTTACTTATGTTCTATAGATATTGATACAGACCATGTCTGTGACCTTCATGCAGCCTGCAGCTAAATGAAAATGCCTCCCCTTACTCTAATCACAGTCCAGTCTTGTGAATGCAGCATAATGTGACATTTAGGCTTGAGACCTTCCAGTTCAACATACAATGTGTTGACAGATTGAAGTCAATCTCGGGCCCACTGAGGAGTTAGAGCGGACCCCTTGTACAGACTGTACCTACAGCAGCTGCCTGTGTGCCGATGAGAGCAAAAACTTCTACTGGAACCTGAAAGCCACCAAACTGGGTGAGAAGGGATTTACAAACCCAACATTAGACATTTATTGGTTTGCTGGTATTGTTGATAACTGGTCATTATATTTCTTAGTGACCCATGAGTATAAATTGTACACTTTTATATTCTAATTATACAAAGTTACTATTTTTCTTTTCTTTATCTACCTACACATTCTACCTGTGAACAGGAAACACATTTTAATGGATCTTTTCTTTCTGAAGTGCAAACTTTTTGGATGCCCACATGATCCAACCAGTTTTCATTTTAAAGTGAACCTTTTCTGGCTATCGTTATACAGTGTGCAATGGTGACCTCATTTTTTTTCCAGGAGAAGTAAATATCACAGTACGGACTGAGGCTGTTAAGACTACAGATTTATGCCAAAATGAGATACCGATTGTTCCCAAACAAGGAGCTACTGATACCATTGTAAAACCGTTACTTGTACAGGTCAGTGTGGAAAAACAGATCTAGATCACAGGAACATACATAGGAACATGACCTAATTTGGATTAATTTAAAATGTACATTTGGAACCAAACTTGACAGGAAAAAGATAATAGGTAGCTGTCTGAAAGTCAAACGGTAAAGTAGGGTATACACGGTTAGATTTTTGAACAAACGGTTGTAGGAAATATTAAGTGGGAACATTCGATACTGGCATCAGAAACTTACAAGACACTTTCAGTGAGTTTTTTTATGTTTCACTATATTGACCTTAGTTCATCTCACAGTGAGGGCAAAGTGTTTGTTCATCTTTGGAAGCTATATCCTGGTATGTACACTGAAAGATTGACACTGGACTATCTGGAGGTGTACAGGTACTTGTCTGTCACCTTTGTCAAGTGCCAAATGTCTCAGTTCACATTTTGTGGATGAGAGGCTCAGCGGTTTACTGGTTTAAACGTTGTTCACAATATTAAACTGACTATACACCAGTAAACTTTCATTTGAAAATTCATTTTCAGAACATTTGTTCAAATTTCTAATAGGGTTGTATTTGACTAAAGTGACAAAATAAATCAAAGCAGCAGGCGCAGGATAGAAATTGTATACATAAATGCAAGCAGTGAATGTGTTTTTTTGCTTGAGTAACTCCATTTATTCCAAAATTAAATGTTAAACTCACACAATATTTTGAACAACATGTTACAAGTCTTTGATGGCATTATTGAATGTTTTAATTAGATATTTCATACAACAGATTGTTTGAAAATCTAGCAGCATGTGCCCGGCTGTAAGGTAGCTCTTTTCTTTTGTTTTCAATGGCTTCTCTTACAGCAGTACCGCATTGGGTAGTAGGCTGCCTTTTCTAAATCCACATAAATACTTGTTTTCGTATGCCCCTCAGGTCCATTTAGGGGCCAAACTGTAGACAATACTTTGCAGCTGGAAAACATATTTTACAGAAGAACTCCAGGATTTAACAAATGTTACCCTTGCAGTTAGGCTACCTCCGTACTGCAAGAGTAAACTGCTTGTTTTGTTCTAGGGGACAAAATAAAGAAGATATACTCGGGGGGCGTGGCTTGGCAATGGCCGTGTGAGCAGTGTAAAGATATACTCATCTGATCCTTGGTCCTGCAGTGGACAGTGCTCACCTCTGTTCCCTTCCGCTCTGGCTGTATTATGTCCTTCGGCGTCCTCGCATCTAATGCGAGTCAATAGACCTGCAATAGAGGTGATGAGATCAGAAATCCTTAGACCCCGAGAGCCCGGGTGAGAAGAGACTGCGGGGAACACTGCACTGTTGCTCTTCTGTTGTCTTGTACCAGTCTTGCCACTCTCCGTTCTGCCCTAACATTGACTAGTCGCTGACGGCCACAATTCGCACGTTCAGACCCAGATTTTCGGCTGACAGTCCAGCCAACACTTTAACAACAGCTGCTCTTGAACATTTAATGAATTCTGCTGTTTTGCTGATACTCGCTCATTGGCTCCGCGCCAACAATTACCCCACGTTCAAAGGCTGTTAAATCGCGTTGTTTACCCATATCTTCAGGAAAAAAATAACTTCTACTGTCGTGGTAAACAACCTGCTTCCCTATTTATAATGGTCTGGCCCTCTAGCAACTTCAGCGCGAAATTACAGCTAATTATGGCTAATTTGCCTACAAACGTCAGGTGCTCATAATAATCTGGCCACTCAGTGTATAATCACAGGGCAAAGGGCACTGCAAATTGTTTAAAAATAGACCCTGTGTTCTTACATTGTTATTTTTCTGTCTTATTTCATCTGACAGCCCGGAGGAGTCCTGGTGGAGAAAGCACACAACTCTATGCTCTGCATCAAGGAGGGAGAAGGTGAGGAGACAATTATGGAGAACAGAGCCCAATTGTATACTGAACTTACTGGGGGGAATGTATCAAAGCAATTGCGACAGTTTTAGCCTCTTAAATAATTTTTGTTTATGTGCAAATCTGTCTTGCAACATGTGCCCCTGTTTTGACCTGAGCTTGCACTACTTTTTCAGTCGCATGTTTTTTGCACCTGTTTTCATCTGCACTTGTTCTGGGCTGATTGCATTGCTCCTGACTTTTCAGCTGTCATTCACCGGCTAGAGCAGCTTAGAAGAAGTTATTCAAGCAAGAGCTGTGCTTGAATAGCTTCTTTGAAGTGCAAATGTGACAGTAAGGGTCTAATAGACCCTTAATGTCACCTTAAAGAGACCTGTCATTACTAATATGCTATCACATAGGGGGCTTGTGAATACAGATTGTTTTGAAAAGTTTATATTAAAAATGTTTTAATAAAAATGTATTTTGCATGTTAATGCGGGGGAAAAGGAGAAACCAGGGAAGGCAGAATATAAACAGACTACATTTCAGCATTAAATGTTGTGTTCCAGGTAATACTAATACAGAAGAGGTCTCCCTACAGTTACCTAAGAACATCCTGGAAGATTCTGAAAGAGCTTACGTGACTGTATTGGGTAAGATACTTTTATATAGCCTAAGTATTCTATGCTTCCTATTAAATTAAAATTGAAAATTAAAAACAAACTTGATATTCATATTTATATTGTTTTGCTGTCTTTCATTTTACTGGTTCCCTTTATTTCAACCTTACAGGAGATATAATGGGCACAGCATTGCAGAACCTGGACCGTCTCCTTGCCATGCCATATGGGTGTGGAGAGCAGAACATGATCCTCTTTGCCCCAATATCTTTATTCTACAGTATCTAGAGAAGACTCATCAGCTGACCGATGAAATCAAGAGCAAAGCCACAAAGTTCCTGGAGAGTGGTAAGAAGCTGTAAAATTACTACTTTGTTCTTGTGCAGAGAATGGGTACAGAACATACAAGCTGTCATGCAGGACAATGTTAAATGTTTGGTATCCAAAGACTGTAAATTTAAACAATCTAATACATTTTATGGAATCTACAAATATGTAATATTTGGAGACTCTTGGCACTTATTGCTTTGCTTATTGTTGGTTATAAAGATTATATGTACAGTTGTGTGAAAAAGTGTTGGCCCCCTTCCTGATTTTTCCTTGTTTTGCACGTTTGTCAAACTTTAATGTTTCAGATGATCAAACAAATTTAAATATTAGTCAAAGATAACACAACATGCAGTTTTTAAAGGAAGGTTTTTATTATTAAGGGAAAACAAAATCCAAACCCACATGGCCCTGTGGGAAAAAGTGTTTGCCCCCTAAACCTAATAACTGGTTGGGCCACCCTTAGCAGCAAGAACTGCAATCAAGCGTTTGCGATAACTTGCAATGAGTTGTAATTCAGCCACATTGGAAGGTTTTCGAGCATGAACCGCCTTTTTAAGCTCATGCCACAGCATCTCAATAGGATTTAGGTCAGGACTTTGACTAGGCCACTCCAAAGTCTTCATTTTGTTTTTCTTCAGCCATTCAGAGGTGGACTTGCTTGTGTGTTTTGGATCATTGTCCTGCCTCAGATCCCAAGTTCGCTTCAGCTTGAGGCCACAAACAGATAGCAGCACATTATCCTTCAGGATTTTTTGGTAGACAGCAGAATTCATGGTTCCATTTATCACAGCAAGCCTTCCAGGTCCTGAAGCAGCAAAACAGCCCCATACCATCACACTACCACCACCATATTTTACTGTTGGTATGATGTTCTTTTTCTGAAATGCGGTGTTACTCTTACGCCAGATGTAATGGGACACACACCTTCCAAAAAGTTCAACTTTTGTCTCGTCAGTCCACAGAGTATTTTCCCAAAAGTCTTGGGGATCATCAAGATGTTTTCTGGCATAACGGAGACAAGCTTTTATGTTCTTTTTGCTCAGCAGCAGTTTTCGTCTTGGAACTCTGCCATGCAGGCCATTTTTGCCCAGTCTCTTTCTTATGGTGGAGTCATGAACACTGACCTGAACTGAGGCAAGTGAGGCCTGCAGTTCTTTGGATGTTGTTGTGGGGTCTTTTGTGACCTCTTGGATGAGTCGTCGCAGCACTCTTGGGGTAATTTTGGTTGGCCGCCCACTCCTGGGAAGGTTCACCACTGTTCCATGTTTTCGCCATTTGTGGATAATGGCTCTCACTGTGGTTCGCTGGAATCCCAAAGCTTTAGAAATGGCTTTATAACCTTTTCCAGACTGATAGATCTCAATTACTTTCTTTCTCATTTGTTCCGTGATTTCTTTGGATCTCGGCATGATGTGTAGCTTTTGAGGATCTTTTGGTCTACTTCACTTTGTCAGTGAAGTCTTATTTAAGTGATTTCTTGATTGTGAACCGGTGTGGCAGTAATCAGGCCGCGGTGTGGCTAGAGAAATTGAACTCAGGTGTGATAAACCAGAGTTAAGTTATATTTTTAACAGGGTTGGCAAACACTTTTTCACACATGGACATGTGGGTTTGGATTTTGTTTTCCCTTAATAATAAAAACCTTCCTTTAAAAACTGCATGTTGTGTTTACTTGTGTTATCTTTGACTAATATTTAAATTTGTTTGATGATCTGAAACATTAAAGTGTGACAAACGTGCAAAACAATGAAAAATCATTCTCAATATATTTCTCAAAGTATACATTTTGCATGTGTTTTGTTTAGGATATCAGCGGCAGTTGACATATAAGCATGATGATGGCTCATACAGTGCCTTTGGAAAGAATGACCCAGAGGGTAACACATGGTGAGTGCCATGACTTATATAATTGTTTTGGCAGATAATAAAACTCCTAAAGTTGTTCCACACCCTAACCAGATGGCATTTTGTTTTCTAAATCATTATATATCATAAACAATTGCCATGTTTTTGTTAAACTGATTTTGAGCATTTGGGGCTCTTTAAGAAATCTCATGTTTCTTAAAGTGTCCAAACAGTCTGCTTAATCTTCTCCCATCATTCTGTTCACTGGGTGCATATCTGTCTTCTTTTGTTTAAATCTATGTCCCCTCTTCACCAGAGATAGTGGCCTAAGGATCCACCAGGGCTGATGTTTCAAGATCTGGGGTAGGCATCATAGATGCTGTAAATCTGCAATTTTTCTTTAACATAAATGAATTGTACACATTCTGAGAATGTATGATGCAATGATGGTGTGATGAATGATGGTATGATGTTTCAAAGCATTGTTTGCATTACTAGTTGGTAAAATGATAAAAGGGGTTCTTTGAAAGTGCAATTCATTTACCAACTAATATTGCAAACAATGCTTTGAAACCTCATACCATCACTCATCATTCATCATACCATCATACGTTCTCAGAATGTACAATTTATTTATCTTAAAGCAAAATGGCATATTTACTGCAACTAGAATTGCAGCCAGAATACAATTGCTAATCTAGAAAATTACTCAAAGCAGATCCCCCTAAGGCCCCACTGCCATTAAAAAATATGTTTAGAGGACATTCCAAAACGCTTATCAATCCGCATAAGACTTTTTAATGCTTTCATTTTACCCTATCCCCGCAAGAGTGTTTTTTTTGCACACATGTTATAATGCCTAAAAATTACTTATAACCCCACACAATTATATATGTCCTTGGCAGTTGCAAATTCATATGTTGCATGATATTAGCACAAGTCGTTATCAAATGCAATTTTTTTTTAAATATACATTTAATTTTAGTTTACAAAAACCATAACATAATACCCAAGTTTTTTAAATAAAAGATACCCACATAAATAGTATAGTAATATAAATAGATACCCAACATGCCACCTGTGAAACGGCAAAAAAATATGGTACTCCAAATTGTCCATAAGCGATGCTTTAAAAGCCTATACAGGTCACCAGTTTAGAGGTAACAATTATTAGTGACATATGTGTCGATACCTAACATGTAAAGTGCAATCGTAATTTTCATGCCTAGGAACACCCGATATTTGTTTGCATTAGTATACACCCGTTAAAGGGGCTTTAAAAATTTAGACCCCTAATGTTACCTTTGCACTACAAAGAAGCTGATCAAGCACAGATCTACGTGATCAGCTTCTTCCCCCCCCTTCTCGGAATGACAGCTCAGAAGCTGGAAATGATGCAATCAGCATCGCTTGCAGCTTCATTCAGCGGGGAGGATATCAGTGAATGCATGTTCGCTGGTCTCTCTCCCCGATACTCACCAACATCTATGATGCCGGTCCCTGGCCGGTAGGAGGGGCAGCAGAGTCTGGGAAGCAAGGCAAGGGGTGTCTAGTGGGAGTAAGGCTCTTTTTACCAGCTCCTGGAAGCTATCTGGTGGCTTTTCAGCTGCCACAACCACTTCCAATGTAAAGCTGACTGTTGGCTTCACACAGGTAAACAGACTCCCGGTGGCTATAGGCACCGGAGTCTGTTTACACGGGCCTGCTGCCAGTGCCGTATGCCTTACAGTGCCAGCAGCGAAAGGGTTAAACTGTTTGGTATGTTCAGTTTAGCTTTGTTTTGAGAAAATAGAATTCTGTGTGTCTAGAGCCTGATAAGAGCTTTAAATGTGGCTAAACACACATACGCACGTAAAGGCAGCTAAATGCTAAAAGGCAGATACATCTAAACGCAGGAAAAAGTGATCCGAGAAGCATAAAGCTTGTTTATACTTGCCGGGGCATTTCTCCAGTGTTTAAATAACCTAAGGGCTTGTTCACATCATGTGCATTGACCTGCTTTCAACTGCACAGTGCAGACTCAACACCAGGACACATAGAAAAGAATTGTTTTTTTCTGCCCTGTTCGCATCTATAATGCTGCAGTGTGGTAAGGTGCATTTCTCCACAGCCCATCGCACAGTACCGCATCCCTCTGGTGATATATTTGACCCTATATGCCCACATGCTCATATTAGGTTAATGTAATTGACCAAATATAGTATGTGGCCACATAAGGTCAATGAGGTCACCAGTACCGCACCCCTTTGCAGTATTTGCAGTTGAGGCACAGGGATGTCCTGGCTGCAACTGATTGGCTGTGCACTGATACCTAACTTTTGAGTTTGGATAAGCTTCGGTGGGAGCACGCGCTCAGTTTTACCTAAGTGTCTATTTAGGAAATATAAAGTGGTCATTGGTTTAGGTTAATGATAAAGTAGTATTAGGGTTACTAAATACATGTATTGCTCTATCCTACAGGCTGACTGCATTTGTAGTGAAATCCTTTAGCAAAGGTCGGCCTTACATATTTATAGATGAAAGTCACTTGAAGCAAACTTTCGCCTGGCTGAGGGAGATACGTAAAGAGAATGGCTGCTTCCGTAATGTTGGAAGACTAATCCATACTGATATGAAGGTGATTTAATATTTGATATAAACAATGTGATATAATGTTTTTCATAAACAGGATTATATAATGGAGACACAGTGGCCTCTACATGACTGTCCATATTTTGGTGTTTCGTTTGTTAGGCAAAGGTAACTTGAAAGGTAACTATCTTCTTGGTGGGAGAGACAAAAAACACTTGTTCATATTCAAGTCTTACAAACATGATTGTCCACTAGATGGCCTCAAACACAGTTGACCCCATAAACTAATCAGATTGCTTTAAAAGAATAAAAAAATGTGAAAGAAAAAAAGACTGTGATTGTTCTTAAATCAAATAAAAGTAAATTGTCATAATTTTTTCTTTTAATTATGCCTGTGATATTAAAGTCAAAAGATTTGTAAGCAATTTGAAATGCTGATTAAATCTCTTGCAAAACATTCTGCTCCTTGATGTTTACACGTCTTAAATTCCTGCAAAATCAGCTCATCCCCTGAATACTGGCCCTGAAATCCTGTTTTAGGGTGGCTCCTTTCCCTTGCAGGGTCCAATGGAGCCTGGAGCCACCCTTGTGTGTGCTAGTAAGCTGTGTGTGTCTCCACAAGCACAAAGGCACAGCAAGGCAAGACACTCCCCTCCCCCACTCCACCTCCTACTCCTTTCCTCAAGCTAGTAGATGGACAGCTGCAATCCTGTGTGTCCTGTCCCCTTGATTTTGTACTCATCAGGAATTTCAGGGAAGTGGAGCTGAGAGAGTTGGAGCAAACTGTTCAGAAACGCAATGATGGCAAATTATTGGGCATAAAAATAAAGGAATATTTTACTGGGTAATATATATTTGTTTGATCTGAATTCATTATGAAAAAAATTTGAGAGTCTAAAACTACTTTAAGACATAACCACTGTTCTATTTTACAGGGAGGGGTGGAAGATGAAGTCTCCCTTACTGCTTATGTGACAATGGCCCTGATAGAGGCCGGTGTATCTCCGGAGGTAAGAGATCATCAACATTTAAAGAGATTATTTCCTTTTAACATAGGTTGTACTTTAACCCCTTAATGACTGAGGCATTTTTTTTTTCATTTTTTGTTTACATGTTATAATCCACATTTTAGGCCTGAAAATTACTTAAAACCCCCAAACATTGTATATTTTCTGAAATACAATAAAATGGTGGCAGTTGCAAAAAGACCCCTAGTATCGCCTTAACACTTGAGATAAATTATTGAAGTGCAGATCGAACTTCAATAGCTTATTGCTGGGCTTCAGGAGCCGAGCACTGACATCTATGGGACTGGAAGTGATGTAATTGGCATCTCTCCGGTCCCATAGTACGGGGAGGAGATCAGTGACCGGAGTTTTGATAATCTCCACCCTAGCCTCCCCCCGACACCAGAGATGCCGGTCCCAGGCCCGTAGGGGGAGCAATGGAAACATGGCGGTGGGGCGGGCCCCTTTTACCAGCCTGGCAGCAGGTGAGCCGCAAGAATCACTTCTACTGTAAAGCTGACAAGTCGGCTTTACAGGTGTAAACAGAGTCCCGGCGGCAAAAGCCCCCGGGAGTCTGTTTAAACAGGCCTGATGCCAGTGACGTACACTGTACATCACTGGTCATGAAGGGGTTAAAAAAAAATCCATTGGTATTATTATTATAACTTTGCCACTACACACCCCATTGTCAATGAAGTAAACATTGTTACATTTTTCCCAGTTTGAAATATAATGGTCAACTTTCCCAAAGCTTCCTACCTACAAAAAAAAGTGATCTTTGAATGTTGCTTCTGAATGTAACTTTGTTCCTAACTGGTTAATAGTAGATAATGTTAGTATGCTTGTACAGATGGCCACTGGTGTTTTATTCCCCCCTGAGCAAGTATAGATATCTGGGCTTGTAACAGCTCCCTTACATGTTGTTCTGTGCAATTAATTTTTCCCAAATAGGAAATAATATATGACCTCTGGTGAACTAGGGATAGACGGGACTATATACGCCTGAATTTGACAAGTATAAACCACACTAGAACTACATAGAAACATATTATGACAGACATCCCAACTCTCCCGGACGCTCCGGGAGTCTCCCGCTATTGGATAGCGGCTCCCAGCCGCCCGGGAGAGAAACACTTCCTCCCGAAAGGTGTATCTGCTCAATCGAGCAGATAAACCTTTCCCTGCGATCGTTTTTTTTTTCTTTTCTGACATCGGGAGCCGCGGCCCGACCGTCAGTCAGAAAAGAAACAAAAAGGCATACGAATCCATAGCTAGATTCCTATTGGCTATTGCACTTTGCAATAGCAAACTAGGTAATGTACCCACCCACTGCTGCTGTCAATCAGCAGAGGGGGACCTGAATTTTTCTATCAGGTCCTCTTCTGGTAATTGAAAGCAGCAGGGGGCAAGTGCAATAGCTAGTTTGCTATTGCAAAGTGCAATAGCCAATAGGAATCTAGCTATGCATTCTTATGCCTTTTTTTAATATTCTGATGACTGCAACTGTCAGAATACTAAAAACAAAATCAGAAAAAAAACCTGCAGATAGCAAAGAAGCTATTGCTTCCTGTGCTATCTGCCATCATTTCAGGGGGGTGCTCTCTCCCAGCCCCCCTAACCCCCCTCCGCGGATGGGGGGGGCCTAGAGGGCACCTCCCTGAAATGAGAAGGACACCTCCCTGGAATGGCTTCTTTCAGGTTGGGATCCCTGTTATGACCACCAGGGTTTGTGAGATAAACTATCCATTGCACCTATCTGAAGTACCTCCTTCACACATTTCAATAGGGAAACTAATAGGGAACAAATGACACATTACAGACTCAGAAAATGCATCCCAGGAAGAGAAAACAGGAAGTTCAATTAACAGCAATGCCCTGGGTGTCACAGACAAGAAATAATAGAAAGTGTTCCCAACAAGAAACACAGATTACATAATTTCAAACATTTTGGCTGCAGTTCTACTTAAACAAATTGTATTTACCAATTCTAGTTGTATTCATAGATCAGATTCATCATGTATCTTTGTTCTCCTTTTGATCACTCTTCCCAATTTTAGATTAGAAAATGCTGATATTTCATGTTAGCCCATTCATTTTTTAGGATCCTCTGGTCAGGAATGCAGTGTCCTGTCTGCAGAAGGCCGCTGTGAATGTGACCAATGTGTACACCCTGGCTCTGCTGGCCTACACCTTTACATTGTGCAGAGAGACAGAGCTCAGGAAGGCTGTATTGGACAAACTAGAGGAAAACGCTATACGAGAAGGTGATTTTTTTTAAAATTGTTAAATGGAATTTTTTTCTTTGTTCCATAATGATTTTGGGTCTGTTACATATTGTTTTGTTTATAAGTTTCAGAATATTGATATGATATTTTATCCTATATTTTTTTACACTATGGGTATTCCAACTTTGTTTTATAAACAGAATTTTAATTCACACTATATGGCCAAAAGTATGTGGACAGCGCTCCATATTATTGAGTTCAGGTTTTCTAGTGAAGGAAACTGTTAATGCTACAACATACAGTACAAAGATATTTGAGACAATTGTGTGATTCCAACCCCGTGGCAACAGTTTGGAGAAGGCTCTTTTACATTCTAGCACAACTGTACCCCTTTTTATAAATCCAGGGTCAAAAAACATGCTTGATGAGTTTATTATCAAACCATATCAGGAACCTGAGTGGCCTGCACAGATCACTGACTTAAAACCTACTGAACTGGATGGACTACAACACTTATTTAGTCTACACTTCAAACTATCATAGGAGGCCTTCTGAGTGAGGTATGGTATAGCCACAAAGAAACTCCCAACTCCATGTTTGTTCCCATGTTTTTGTAAATTACTCTCTAAAACCTTAGATAAAGCCATATGGAGGGATGGGGAAAGGGAATGAGCTCCTGCTCTGGCTCATTATTAAGATGCAGACTTCAAGGCCACAAACTGGTTTTGCTGAAAAAGAGTTCTAAACCATGTTTTACCAACCACGATAAACCCAAGAGTTTAAACCACTGTTCCAGTGTCTCATGTTGTCCTAGCTGAAGCAAATTCAAATGCTACAGAGATCCTGCAAAGTCTATAGTAAGGTTCAAAGAAAGAGAAAGACAAGATCATAGTGTAATGATATGGTGTCTTTGTATCTACAGATGGACAGCTCCACTGGAAACGGGATTCTGCTCCTCCTATTCAAGATTCATACTGGCACAGAGCTCCATCTGCTGAGGTGGAGATGGCTGCCTATGTCCTCCTGGCTCTACTCTCTGGAAGTAAGCCAGACCTGGGCAAAGCTGCAGAGATTGTGAACTGGCTAAGCAAACAGCAGAACCCCTATGGAGGCTTCTCATCTACACAGGTGACTGATAACATGCCAATGCATAACATATCCCATTGCCTTTTTGCAGATCAAGTCCATGAAACCATGATTACACAGTTATGGCTAAACTCTGGTGGGTAAAATCACTGACATACATGTTAAATGCATCAATGTTCAAGAAACAAATCTCAGCACCCCAGTGCTCATGACTGTACAACCCCAGCAAAGCCATGATTGGTGGCAGGTTTTAAATATACACCCCCTTGGCTGATGCAGATCTTTTCAGACTTATATACTTACCTTCCTTTTGCCACTTCTTGTGATAGGAACAAAAGTAATCTCCTGAGTGAGTTACAAGTCATGGAGTTGGAGCTCTCACAGGGCTATCTATGTACTCCCTTTTGACAACACTGATAGGCTTTACGATGTCACACGGGTCAATCACATGCTCTTTCATACCCTGAGGTACAGGATATATCCCTCTGCTCCTAGCACTGAACAGAACAGTAAGAGAACAAAGGAAAGATAAGTGTATGCTGATTTGGGTTGGGAGTGTTAAATCAAACCTGTCCTTTTGTTGTTATTGGACAATTAATTGCTTTTTAGGACACTTGTACTGAGAGCAGTATACAAGCCCACTGCTTAACTTTTTATTAAAATGCTACTTAGCTGGCTATCTCTAGCTTCAATATTTTTACCACTGACCCAAGACAAGCATGCAGCAAGTGAAGTCAAAGCAAACAGGACTCCTGGACTGCAAACCTTCAGGTCAGTGAAGTATTGTAGTGACTTGATCAGCATAGAAGTGGGGCAACCAGCATCATAAAAAGGAAAGGTTATCAATGGCAATTACAGCTACTATTGACAGGTTTCTCTCACCCTGTCAATAGTCCCCCCCCCCCTTCACTTCCCAACTTCCATTGCTACTCTTTTTGCCTGTGCTCTCCCACTGCTCTGTTCATCTGTTGGATCTTTTTGTCTAATCTCCATATAAGATCTATGTAGTTCATTTTCATAGCCTACATATGATTAATGACCTGATCCGCATCCCATGTCACAGCTTTTAGGTCTAACAATGGGCCTCAGTGTGCTGAACAATGCATCCTGTCAATAAGGGATGAATACTCCCTCATAATTAAATGTTAACCTGGTAGTTCTGAGGTTTTAGACGGATGAATAAGTAGTGGGGAACGTCTGTGAGTAGCAGTGGGTCAGTAGTCCTTCAACGGAATCTATCACATTGCTTTAATGGGCAAAGTGATTGATTGATTTTATTTAAACACCCCTTATTTAAAAGGGTTGGCCTTTATTTACAAACAATATGTTAGGTGCTGTAACCTAACACAATCTGAAATCTACTTTTGATAAATGTATTTAACATTAGATGAAGACCTTCACTAGCATTCCTTTTATTCTATGTAGGACACAGTTGTGGCTCTTCAAGCTCTGGCCAAGTATTCGGAGCTCACATTCGGTGAAAAGGGTGATGTGACTGTGACCGTTACATCCACAACAGGATTTCTGGAGAAGTTTCATGTAGACAAAACTAACCGTCTCCTTCTCCAGAGGGCAACGCTAGAGGCTGTTACTGGAGAATACACGGTGACAGCCACAGGGAACGGCTGTGTTTTTGTACAGGTGAGAGGATACAAACTATCTGACTTCTCTTCTCTTACTTAATCTTCCTCTAACTCACTTTTCTGCCTTCATTTCACAGACCGTCCTGAGATACAATGTCCCTCCACCGAAAAGAGACATCAGCTTTTCATTAAAGGTGACACCACATTTAACCAGAGAGTGTCTGGGGGATCCAGTGACAAATTTTGAGATTCTTATCAGTGCTACGTGAGTTTTTTTTTTACAGTTTTCTCTTATTTATCTGGAGACACAGTGAAAAGTTGGGGGTATAGCATGGCCATAAAAGATACTCAAACATCTTAATGACATGCAGCAAATCAGTTTTGCATTAGTATCATTAAGGTGAAATTTACATTCTTTACAATTTTTATTTTACAGTAAAGGATGCATAAAACTCTCACTGCTGCTGTAGAAAGATGGAGACTCCAAAGCAGGATAGGGGGTTTTATGAAATTGCAATAGAGGGTTCTTGGTAGATGTCACATGCAAGTGCATTGTCCACTCACATCTAATCTTAACACCTATACTCTAGCTATTTTGATGTTAATCGATACACCCAACTACCAATATTCCATACAACCAACCACCATCATAGTACCTGCAGTACTATCATGATTGTGCTGCAGCTGGCCAGCATGCAAGTTACTGGGTTACTAAGCTATCCTAGTAGAGACCAATGTACTACTCTATCCTAACCCTGGGCTGGCTATAAAATTAAAGCCAATGCATACAGATTATCCTGATACCTTTCAGTTAACATTTCCTCTCCAGATCATCGGATCGGAGCAAACCCATTATGTGTCAGACAAACTGTTCATGCTTCCTGAAAATTAGCCATATGTATTACGGGGGATGACATATTCTTTCACTCTAGCCCTGTGTTTTTTCTCCTACAGCTATACTGGAACCCGGGAAAGAACTAATATGGCTGTTATAGAGGTGAAGATGCTCTCTGGATACATTCCAATCAAGAGTACAGTGAGAAAGGTATGGATGTCTGCCAGGAAAAAAACAGTTAGCATGCAGCATTAAAGTTTAGTGCTTGAGGTCACTCGGCAATAGCAGATTATATTAATGTGGGGCAGGGTGGTGGCTCACTAGTTAGCATCACAGCATTACTACACCTGTTCTTAAGGTCAGTTCTTACCTTAGAATCTGTCAACAGGGAGATTGTATGGTCTGTCCATGCAGTTGTGCATTTTCCCCTATATTGTACAATTACCGGTATTTTACACTCCATTTATGTTCAATTACAAAAATGTACAAAAGAGTGAAATATTAATGACCTGGTTCAGAACATCTCTTATTATTGGAAGTGTGCCTGTACAAGAAGATTCTTTGTGCTACAATTTAATCAGTAGCCTTAAGAATTAAGGGGAATTTGCAGTAACCCATAGTAAATGGATACCATCAGGAGAAATCTTTTTGCTGCTCTGCCTGCAAGAAAGTTAATCTGGATTAGCTGCTATGACTTACTGTACTTTGCACATTGACAATGCACTAAGTTCTGATTTTTTTAGAACTTTGGACGTATGAGGTACTCCTAAACAACTTAATCTAAGCGCCTAAGGAGATGCACTCTGGTGCTTCATGCTCTGGAGGCCCCACTGCAGTTGTTCTGCCACCATAACCAGCAAGACCTGGTTGTCATTTTGAAAGCCAGGTCCTGCACTGTGCTGTGCTCCAGGAGCTCAGACAATGGCTTCTGTTTAAATGAATGATTGATAAATCCAGTGGTTTATCTATTGATAATTTAATTGATACATTTTAACTATATTATTGTTACTAATTCTATGCTGAGAAGATCAAACGATTGTCTTATGCTGAAGTACTGCATGACATAAATCAAGAAAAACTGAGATGGGCAAGGGTGGACTGACCTGTAAAATGTAACAGTAATTGTTTTGTGGATTTGGAACCTCTGAAACAACACTTCTCTCAACAATGGGTAAGGATTGTGGCAGGCCTTGATACAGGCAGACATATTCCAATCCTTGCCCGTAGGAGATATCCTTTTGACTACAATCAAATACAGTATACCTTTGGTCTTAAATGCGGACTGTTGTGGTTTAAATGACTGACTTACTTTCTACAATAAGTCTGGTCATGGTGACTAGAGTAAGTAGGCATAATACAGTATATAGGAAAAGATTTTCCATCAGGCATATGGGCAAGACACAAAGTTACAAAGTACTGTTTCAAAAATAATCTTCCAGCTATAGAAGAGCCCAACGTATTATATATCAAAGGAACTATAAAGATGAGATCTCTAAGCCAGCAGTTGAGTTTCAAGATAACATCTGCCCAAAATGGAGAAAAGAGAACAACAAAAAAAGAAAATCTACCCAACAAAAGTTTTATATAACTTGACTATTCAACCACCGCATCAGCTAAACTGTGACTTCCCATTTGTGGTGTTACTCCATGTGCAAGACAGAGGTTAACTTCATAAAGCCAAGACATGTACTAATCCAACATCATCACCATCATCAAATGGTGACAGGAGACTTTAACCATCTTATAACATGATATGAACATTAGGATATGTTATTGTTAATGCATGATTTTTTTTTCTTACAGCTGGAGAAGGACAGACTGGTACAGAGAACTGAAATACAAGTGGATGTGGTCACGTTATATCTGAATGAGGTTTGAATACCTTTTTATCCTGTGAAGTGGAATTATCACTTTCCTTCTAGTTGACTCACCTTATTGCTGTGTTTGGCTACCCATTGACTTGAGATTGCAGCTGTAGAATCTAAGCATTCTGCAGAATAATTGTGACATACAACTGCAGCTTTTTTTTCTCAATCATCTCCTATTGTGCAGTTAGCAGATACTCACAGTGGTGGCTTTATCTGAAATATAAAATAATTGAAGGATGGCACTGTATATAAACACAGTTCATTTGAGAAAATCTGTCACTGCTTGATAAGCAAAGATACTCTAAACTTAATGCCAAAGTTGGTGCTGCAAATACTTGAGAAAAAACCCCTCTCTATACTACTCTTATAACTCCAAAGGGCTATAGGGCTGCCCAGTGACACATCCATTTCTCTATTAATTATACACTTTATCAAACACATCACATAAGGTGTCTTTTGACCAAGCTAAGGTGCTCTGAGGTGAGACTGTATCGCCTTTACTGTTTGGATTAGACCGCTGTTTAGATTTTATGATACTGTATATCCTTATAAAACAAGAAAATATTCTGATGCTCCTTATAGATTGTATAAATTGTATTCACTAATAGCTCCAGGTCAAACCCATCATGTGTACCATATATGGATAATAGTCCCCATGATCAATATATTACATCATTTACATCTTAATACATAGCATTTACCCAAAGATGAATGATAAAAGATGATCAAAAGATCACCCGGACCAAAGTTCCACTTCATCAGGAGAGCAAGGAGATAATTATCTACAAAAGTACAAATATGTTGTTATGACACATGGATAAGATCAGTTTCTATTAAACATTCTCTTTATCAAGCATATGAGATAATATCAGATAACTTAATGCCAAAGATGGAGCTGCAAATAGTTGAATGAACAAATTCTCTATACCACTCTTGTATCTCCACAGGCCTATCGATCTGCCCAATGGCACATCCGTTTCTATTAATTATACACTTTATTAAGGTGTCCTTTGACCAAGCTAAGGTGGTGCTTGACCAGGACTTATTACTTCTACTATTTAGATTAGACTATTACTAGAGCAAAATGACAACAATGTTGACATGTAAGACACTTCTTATTTGCATATTACAACTCTGACAGGGCGTTTGAACAAATGTTACATACAAGTAACGATTGATCTTATCAAAGTGTTTGTTATATGCAATCCATGTTGACTTCAAGGCCCCTCTTTCTAACGTAATAACAAGTTCAACTTGAGCAGTTAACTAGCTCCCTCCTTCTACCTTGAACTCTGAAAGGATAAGAACTATTGTTCCATTTTTCTTGATGTATGCAGTGTTTATTATTAAGCTTTCATCTTCCAGTACATATGTTCACATTGGTGAATGTTTTACCTGGTGTCATTCTACTGCTATATACTATCTCTCTTTGGCTTGTTCTTCGCTGTTATCAAGCACTTTAATATTATTTTGCTTGTAGGTGGGACATGATCCTGTGAATCTTTCCTTTATGGTGGAACGGAATGTTGAAGTCAAGGACCTTAAACCAGCCACAGTAACAGCCTATGATTATTATGATACAGGTAATAGCATTCTCTGGTTAGGTTAACAATGGCACTTGCGGGGGTACAAACAGGACCTGACCGTGTAGATATATTCCATGTCTCTCTTTTAGTGCCATTCCAAAGGGTAAGACCTCAGTCAAGGATGCTTGTCTCAATTTGTGACTGCTTTCCTTTAAATAAGGATCTGAGCCTTTAAGTGATGCTGGAAATACTTTCACTTACACCTCTTGGAGTTTGTTTTGGGTGATAGAATAATCTCAGGTTTAAAATCACATATACAGTATATACACTATCTTCATCACTGACTGGATTGTCTCATATATCAAGTGTATGTCTTTGATGGTATATGGCATTTATGGCATTTTAAATATTCTTATTTTACCTTCCAGAGGAACGAGCAGTGGCAGAATACAACCATCCCTGCAATAAGGGTACGGATGTCAGATTTGTGTGTTATAAACTAGATGAAGGAAACTTAGAGGCCCAAATAACTTTTTTAAAAGATGATTAACCGAGATGACATGACCCCTTATTTTGTCTGCTAAAGTCTATGTAGGAGTTATACTGACACATGCCCATCCTGCAGCTCCTCAGTGTTAGAGTCCAGCTGTTACTTATTAGCAATTAGTATTTGTTAGAAGACTATGCATTGGAAACTTATGAAACAATATCTGGTTCTGCAGCAGGGTTGTGGCAATCCCGAAATCCAATGTAGACAAGCCGAGGTCACACCGAGCAGGCAAAGCAGGTACAAAAGGAGCAGGCTAAGGCAGTCCAGTAAAGCAATCCGAAGTCAAGGGCACAGGCAATCAAGAATGGTCAAACAATCCGTGGTCAAAGGCAGGCTGCAGGCAAACAAGGTCAAAGTCAATCTGGGTCAATAATCACAGGAACAGAGAACAAGGAACAGGAGATGTCAGGGCGGTTGAAGAGACAATCCAGCAATGACTTGGTGTGGAGTCTGAGTTTAAATAGGGGAGGTAATAGCTGGAGAGCGTCACTTCCTGTGCGCCATTTGGCACGTTTCTCCGTGCCACATCCGTGGCGCGCACAAGCGTAGTACGGGACTTGGCGCATGCGCGGAAGCAGCAGGTCTCTAACAGTGCCCCCCCGAACAGGCAGCCTCCGGATGCCCAGCCGGACAGGACGACCAGGAGGTCTCTGAAAAAATTGACGTATTAAGTCGGGAGCATGGACATGGGACTCGGGCTCCCATGAATTCTCCTCAGGACCATATCCCTTCCATTTAATTAGGAAACGTCGGTTCCGACCCCTTCCACGACAGTCCAGAAAAGCCTCGACCTCCTACTCCTCTGCACCATCAATTACCAAAGGAGGTGGCGGCTCATCACCCCTGTCCCCAAAGGCATCTGTGGCCACCACTTTGAGAAGAGAGGCGTGAAAGACAGGGTGGATCCGATAGGAAGTGGGCAACTGGAGCTCATAAGCGACAGGATTGATCTTCCTCAAGACAGTGAATGGGCCAACAAACCGGGGAGCCAACTTTTTGGAGGGACAAGCAAGCCGTAAATGAAGTGTGGACAACCAGGCCTTGTCCCCAGGCCGTAGGTCGAGATTACCCCTCCTCTTCTGGTCAAAATAGGTCTTGTTATCTCGTTGAGCCTTCGCCATTGCGGCCTGCAATACTCCAAGGTTATCATGGCATAATTTGAAGTCCTGCAGCTGCACTTGCGGGGGTACAAACAGGGCCTGACCGTGTAGATATATTCTATGTCTCTCTTTTAGTGCCATTCCAGAGGGTAAGACCTAAGTCGAGGATGCTTGTCTCAATTTGGAAAGCAAGTCACCTCCTATCAGGAGGAAGCTGTGGGAAGCAAGCACTGTGTCAGTGGCACTCGGATTTTCAGATACGTGGTACATCCTGGAAAGAGAATCAGGTGTGCCATTTTTAGATCTGGGCCGGTAGGTGATGTGTAGGTTGAATCGGGTGAAGAAGAGGGCCCATCTGGCTTGTCTAGGCCTTAGTCGTTTTGCCGAGCATAGGTACTCTAGGTTCTTGTGGTCGGTATAGACCAGGATTGGGTGGGCCGCCCCTTCAAGGAGGTACCTCCATTTCTCCAGGGCTGACTTAATTGCAAGGAGCTCCTGATCCCCCACATCATAGTTGCCCTCAGCTGGGGACAGCTTCCTGGAGAAATATGCCACGGGGTGCAACTGAGTGGTACCCGAGGGGCGCTGAGAGAGGACGGCCCCCACCGCAGCTTAGGAGGCATCCACCTCTAACACAAAAGGCAAGGCCGGTTCAGGGTGTTGCAACACAGTAGCAGAGGTAAAGAAACGCTTCAATTCATCAAATGCAGCCTGAGCTTCAGGGGTCCATTCAAAACGGGAACCAACCCTGTGAGCCGTGTGATGAAGGGAGAAAACACCAGAATGTCATCCAGGTAAACTATCATGAACAAGTCCATGTAATCTCTGAAGATATCGTTCACAAAATGCTGGAAGGTGGCAGGGGCGTTACTTCCGCACTAGATTCGGACCGAAGTGTCCGAATCTAGTGCGGAAGGCGGTCTTCCACTCATCCCCCTCTCTGATCCGCACCAGATTGTAGGCCCCTCTGAGATCAAGCTTGGAAAAGACTTTAGAGGTGAAATGGTGGTCGATGAAACAGCTACAAGCCCCAGAGTCAATGATAGCTGAGACGTGGATGGCCGTTCCCGGAACTGTAGGGAAAGACGTAGAGTCAGATCAGACAAGTTGCTTTTATAGGTAGATGCAAACACAGGGGTGGTTAACTTCCAGGGTCTGATGGGACATCCGTTTAGGAAGTGCCCAGACTCTCCACAATATAAGCATAAGTTGTAGTGCCTACGGCGTTGCTGTTCTTCCGAGGAGAGTGGGGTTCTGACGAGACCAAGCTGCATAGGAGGCGTGGACCAGCAGGAGCATCATCAGATCGACCGTAGGGGGCCTTGGGAACCCTGGGTAGCATCCAGGTTGGATGGGTGATACCGGCCCGTTCTCGACGTTGTTCCCGGACCCTTCGGTCCAATTGAATAGATAGTTGGATCAGTTCTTCCAAGGAGTCAGACGGGGCTAGTCGGGCCAATTCATCCTTCAAGGTTTCGGACAAGCCTAGGCGAAACTGAGACTGATTATCGGCAGATAATCAATAGGTGTATAGCCAGCTTAACAGTCTTATACATTATCTGTGGGGATGAAGCTTGGCTGAAAGATGTGAGACGGTCAGATCCAATCTGTATAACCAGCAATCAGCATTACTGTTACCATACTCCGCTCCTGTACCAGGAATGTTAAAATGTAGGCAATACCCTTTGTGGGCTATTAATATTTTTTAAAGTGACACTTAACTCAGGAGTTAAATCTTAAAAATGCATTCAAGTACTACAATATCAATACAAATTAGTAAACTAAATTAGATTGTAGTTCATCACGGGAGTGAGCTTGGAGTGGTGACTACTTTACAACACACACAGGAACCATGGGGAACAAAAGTAGCCCCCTCCAGAAGGAAGGACAGTGTCAGCACCAATTCAGAGATGATTTGAGGATCTACAGCCGAGTGAATTCACAAATAAGATATAGTTACATAGTATTTGAGGTTGAATAAAGACATTAGTCGATCAAGTCCAACCTATTAGGATCTCATTCTAGGAGTACCTGTACCCCTGTATATTACGATCCCTTAAGAAATCGTCCAAAAGTTTCTTGAACAATTCCACATTATTTGCTGAAATCACCACCTGTGGCAGTGAGTTCCAGATCCTAACTGATCTTACAGAACCCCCTGCGCCCCTTGTGCTGGAAATTTTTCCACCAATTTTAGGTGGTGGCCTCTAGTTTTTGTAATGGAGTTAATTTTAAACAGTTTATCGCTAATGTTGCTACCACCATTGAACATTTTGTACATGGAGATCATATCCCCCCTTAATCTCCTCACCTCCAATGTGAACATGTTTAAATTTAGTAGCCTTGTCTCGTAGCTCTGGTCCTCCATACCCCTAATTAGTTTGGTTGCCCTCCGCTGGACTTTTTAAAGAGTTTTTTAAATATTAAAAAAGGGTCTAAAAAGGAAGGAAGGAAGCAGAGACAACAAGTATTCCAAAAATCAAGCACTCAATATATCCCAAACAGTTCAAATCCATTTTTTTAACACCACTTAGCTTCCAGTCACTTTGTTCCCAAGCCCTGTGTGAGCCAAAAATATATTTTTGTTAATAGTTAAAAGAGAACTATAGGGTAACCTTTTTATCCCATAGTCTTCTTAAGAATCACTGGAGGACATATACTAACCTCCTCCCGTGACCCAAAGCTCAGTATATAGTAGGCTATTGGCCACTATATACTGAGAGCGCCAGAGCGGGGATGGATCCCGACAATACTGTCGAGATCCACTTAGCTGCGTGAGTGACAGCTGGCTCTGCCCACCCCGTTCCGCATCCATTTCTCCAGTCAGCGCTGGAGGATCAGAGAGGGGAGGGGGGAATCCATGTGGGGAGCGGTGACTGCAGTCACTGCTCACTGCAGGGAGATGATTGGGAAGTGACAGTGTCAGCATCAATTCAGAGATGATTTGAAGACCTACAGTCGAGTGATAAACAAATATGTTTAGTTAACTGCTCAAATGGTTTTACCAACATTTAACTTTTATAATACTATCTATAACATTGTATTGCTATCTCCTGTAATGTAATATTCTGACACACTTCTAAAAAAAACTGTACTTTTTCTGTCATTTTGTTTTGTAGATGACTCTGGAAATTCAAGATGAAGACAAAGTTACCTTAAGATCACATAATTAATTAAAAGTCACTAAATACATATAAATTTACCAAATATTTCAGTTTCCATAAATGACAAAGAGCCTTGTGGAATCCATAAACCATGTAACCAAAAACAGCCATTCAGTGGCAATAACTGCAGTTGGCACTTGGAACTACGACTTTTTCCATTCACTGTGATTCTGCTAGAAAACTGAAATAATATTGTATTGTCGACCAATAAAATATTGAGAAATTAAAATAAGGTTTACCTGTCATTCATTTTTTTATGTGACTGAAGATGGCTACATGTTACAATGGGATTGAGCAATCTCTGTAAAATCTCCAATAAATATAACATCCATGTCATACAAAGACCTACCTAAACAGTCCTCTATCTAATCAAGTTGTCCCTTACGCACAAAAATGGGGCAGAAACCTTTTTTCAGTGCAGTGCCCTGCAAGACACAGATGACTCTTATTTGTCTTTTTTGCTGCACTGAAAAGCATGTTTGTTAAGGTACATTTTCAAGGTACATTGAGGTGCCATTCAAAATAAAGGGAACCCCAACACTTTGCAATGCTTGTCTTGCATTACTGTGTACTTTACCTCATATTACCCCAATGGGTGCACTCCATCCCGGGTGTTGATAAAAATGGGGTGCTTTATGTGCAGGATATTCAGGCAGATTGATCTGCTGCCCAACACTGCCTGCATAATTCAGGTGTAAATATCATTCAACAGAGCCTTTGGTGTAGGAAATGGAGTGTTTTCTTTTTAAGGAAAGTACTGTCACCAAGGGTGGCCCTTCTCCAATAGTAAAAAATGTAAAGCAGGCCTTTCTCCACTGACCTTTAATGAAAGGAGGGCCTCTCTTCACTGATCAACAATGTAAGGAGGGCCTTCTCCACTGACCACCAGTGTAAGGGGCACTATAACCACTGTGTTATATTCTGGGAATTGAGCACATATGGTGAGTGCTTAAGGACCAGTCTTGAAGCCATTTCAAACAGAAAAAGGACAGTCTTTTATTTCTTTTGTAACAGAAAAGAGCTTTTTGTCAGCAACACAACATGCAGTCTGCTTACATTTCAGCAAGTAGACAATATAATAATGTCTCACCAACTCAAGATTGTCACATATAATCCATGTGACTCTCCACACATCCCATGTGTGTCACAGGCTCAAGCCTCCTTGACTGATTCGCAGGTGCCTCCAGCGCACACACAGCCACCTGGCTCCACTCTGGCTTCTGGGTGAAGTCCTCCTGACTCCTGGACACAGCCTGTCCCTCTTTCCAGCAGCCCTCATGTGCCTGCAGCCCACACCACACCAACTCCTCCCCTTGAGCTCTGGTCTGGGATCCTAATGAGGTTGCTCTCAGCCACCTGATCACCTCCAACACCTGACCTCGGGACTGGAGATTTCATCCCACCCAGAACTCTAAAGGTGCCCATACACTGTACGATTCTCGTACGAGAATAGCGGGAAATCCCGCGATCGTACAAGAATCGTACAGTGTATGGAAGGCGTGCGACCGTTTCTACTGTACGGTCGCACGTCTTCCATCGAACAAGCAGGCTGGAAAACCCGCCGGGAATCGTACGATTCTTGGCGAGTGAGTGGCCTGCTTGTTCGACAACTGACGAACGGGCCGGTGTGCGCACACGCACACTGCCCATTTGCCGTGCATTCAAGCCCGCCCCTCATTGCAGTCATCGCAAGTACGATCTGCCTGTCCAAGATGGGCAGATCGTACGTTTTTTTAAGTACTTTACAACCATCGCAAGACTAAGGTCTTGCGATGGTTGTAAAGTGTATGGCCACCTTAATAAATCTCCAGAGATCCAGATCCCAGCTACAATTCAGAAAAACCAGAAGAAACTGAAAGGCCAGCTTCTTCCCTGCAAAACAAATTATCTTCTGGAACCTCTCAGCCCCTCTGGGTCAGAGTCCTGGCTGTCTGCGTCACCAGCATACTCCGTGGTATTGCCATCAATAAGCTCCAATCAATGCTTTAAAAAAATGAGTTGTCTTTTTAGTAAATGTTATCGTGTCCCTTTTATCTGAATATGCATTTCATGTTGGGTCACTGACACTCTACTGGCAGTACATCCTTGGGAGTAGTAAAATATTGTGGATATTCAGTAGAAATTTAGCAGGTAATTTTATAGTTTGTGTTTTTAAAGCAGATCAGTAAATATGCAAGCTTCATAAAATTCAAAGGTGTTGAAGTCAGTGGGGTCTACCTTGTCATGATACTTGACTTTATAAAATTAGGAACATCATAGTAAAAAGTTTTGAATCACTACATGAACAAGGACACCGCACCCCTAATATAGGTAAACCGCAAAACAGCAACAGCAAAAAGGAGATAGATGGGGCCTTTAAGGTGTCAAAAAATGCAATTAGGGATAATACAACATAGTAATGACAAAATTACATAGTAAAATAACATTTATTTATTAAAAGATTACATGATCCACATGATAAAAATATACCCGCTAGTATCCATGATCAAACAGCATAAAACCTCCCTGAATTACATTATAATAAATTATTTTATAAATAGTCATAATCAAAGTAAGATATACTGCAAGTCTGTACTGCGTCCAGCCTTCTATGCATTTCGCCGAAGCTTCATCTGGAAGTCGGAGGTAACCTTTAAGATTCACATGAATATGCCAATCAGTATATTAATATGTCAAAAAAAACAGTAAAACCAGTAAAAACCGGGAATCTATACAGAGAGAGGGGAGCTATGGCTGGGATCGATTGAGGAAGCTGGCGTTTTGATGTGTAAGTAAGACTTTAGTTTAGCAGATATTTAATGGGATATATGGCATATAGGTGCAGTATAAGTTCATTTCTATGAGGAGTGGAGTACATGTTAGTTTATACAGTAATAGGATTACATTACAATCCATGGATCACTAGTACTATTGGATACTTTGTCATAGTACTCTGACTGGATACTTTAGATGATACAGAGTTCAATTTATTTCTTCTTTTAAGATGCATTGAGATTGATCATGCCCTGGTTTGGGAGATGAATATTGTTTGAGTCTGAGCTTTTGGAACTGAACATGATGTTCCAGAAAATGATTGCCCTTGTTGCCCATTGGCAGTATATCTATGGGGGATATGATATCTATAGACTTGGGTTTACATAGTTTTCTCTTATTGACTACCCTAGAGTTTGCTGGAATAATTTGGGTTGGCTCCTAGCATCTATATTATGCACTCACACCTGGCTGCATCCCAATGTTATACTATACGATTGATATTTGTTTATAGATATCCTGAGGCAGAGATTGCGCTTCTCATATTTGATCGCCGTCGGTTCTCTCTATCCTCTATGTTGTCCTTGACTGTTTCTGGGGATGACTCCCCGACTGTGCGGATCCACTCACCACTAATGTCCCACTTATGGTATTTATGTATGTATTTAATTGGTTACATTTTGTTACTGGTTTTTTTGACATATTAATATACTGATTGGCATATTCATGTGAATCTTAAAGGTTACCTCCGACTTCCTGATGAAGCTTCGGCGAAATGCATAGAAGGCTGGACGCAGTACAGACTTGCAGTATATCTTACTTTGATTATGACTATTTATAAAAGGATTTATTATAATGTAATTGATAAAATAAGTTAATTGTATCTATTATGTATGTATCATGCACATATACAGAGTCCAGGGAGGTTTTATGCTGTTTGATCATGGATACTAGTCGGTATATTTTTATCATGTGGATCATGTAATCTTTTAATAAATAAATGTTATTTTACTATGTAATTTTGTCATTACTATGTTGTATTATCCCTAATTGCATTATTTGACATCTTAAATGCCCCATCTATCTCCTTTTTTTGCTTTATAAAATTAGGATACCTGCACTGAAAGAAATATTGAAACTGTCATTGCTAACCTGTCTGCGCCTGGCTTCAAAGATTTCTGAATTAGTGATCTGGAAGCATGCAGCTACTAAAGTTGGAGACGACAAGGCAGAACTAACAATTAGATGCCACCCATTTCTGGGAAAGTCTGGGTCTAAAGGTTTTAGAACACAGATTACATTTTAAAACAAACATATTTTATGCCCATGCAGGAAAAAACATCAAATATGCTTTAAAGAAGAAGTCCAGGAAAATAAAAAACTTACCATTACAGTCGGGCTACCCCCGCGCTGCAAGACTTAAAGGAAAACTATGATGTGAGTGATTTCCACTCATCCTCATAGTTAGAGCCAAACTGTGACAAGGAAGCGGTCACAGGTCAGCTGTATTGATCGGGAAGTGAGCAGAAACATGGCGCCGATCCGCTCACTTCCCGATCATCTCCCTGCAGTGAGTGGTGACTGGCAGTCACCATCACCGCAGACATCCACCCCCCCTCTCTGATCCTCCAGCGCTGAGTGGAGGAATGAACAGGGGAGGGGGCGGGCAAAGCTGGCTCTGCCTTAAGATAGCAGCTGGGTGGATCTTGACAATATTATCGGGACCTGTCCCGGCTGCGGCGCTCTCAGTATATAGTGTCAACAGGTCACACACAGATGAATTCATAGTATTTGAGGTTGAATAAAGACATATGTCCATCAAGTCCAACCTATTTTGTTTGTGTGTATGGTTGATGTGTAGTATGTACAGTATAGGTCCCTTGTGTGGCTCTATTTCCAGACCTTGACTGATCTAACCGAGAAGTAACCCCTTCGCCTTGTGCTGAAATTTTTTCTCCATCAATTTTAACCAGTTGACATCTGCGGTGTTAAACCCCCTTCCCATCCAGGCCATTTTTCAGTATTCAGCGCTGCGGTACTTAGGCCTCTTGTACTTGTCATGGAGTTAATTGTAAATAGTTTGCCGCTGATGTCGCTATCCCCGGTGAACATTTTATACATGAAAATCATGTCCCCCCTTAATATCCTTACCTCCAATGAGAACATGTTTAAATTTAGTAGCCTGTTCTCATAGCTCAGGTCATCCATCCCCTTTATGAGTTTGGTTGCCCTCCTCTGGGCTCTTTCCAGTTCAGTGACATGCTTTCTGTTCACTGGTGCCGCATACTCCATCTGAGGCTGAACCAGTGATCTATAAAGTGTCATCATTACAGACTTGTCCCTGCAAAACATTTCCCTCTTAATACTGGAAAGGACTCTACTTGCTTTGTTTACCGCAGCCAGACTCTGCGTGCTATTATTCAGTGTGTGGTCTACAATGACCCTCAAATCTGTTTCCCTTTCAGACTTCTCCAGAGGAACTTCCATTAATGTGTAATCCGCTTTCTTATTTTTAACCCCAAAGTGCACAACTTTACATTTATCTACATTAAACCTCATCTGCCATGTAGTTGCCCACTCCCCTATTTTGTCCAGATCTGCCTGCAGTCTTATAGTGTCTGATTCAGTGTCCATTACCCTCCCGATTTTGGTATCATCAGCAAACACTGAAACATGGCTGTTTAACCCCTCCCCAATATCGTTAATAAATAGGTTAAACAGCATGGGGCCCAGCACAGAACCCTGCGGCACGCCGCTCATGACCCTAGCCCAATCTGAGAAGGTGCCATTTATCGATACTCTTTGTACCCATTCCTGTAGCCAGTTCTCTATCCATGTAAACACTAATTTGTCTATGCCCATAGACCTCAGCTTGTGTAGTAAATGTTTATGTGGTACCGTGTCAAATGCTTTAGCAAAGTCTAGGTATACCACATCCACCGGCCTCCCTCCATCCAGATCTCTACTTACCCCATTCGTAAAAAATTAGCAGGTTAGTCTGACAGGAACGGTCTTTCCTAAATCCATGTTGGTTGTCATTTACTATGCCGTTATCCCGAACAAATTCTACTAAGTGGTCCTTAATCATGCCTTCTAACACTTTACAAACTACCGATGTAAGACTAACCGGTCTGTAGGTCCCCGGATGGCATCTGGGCCTTTTTCGGAATATTGGAACTACCGTAGCCCTCTGCCAGTCGATTGGCACTCTGCCTGTCATTAAGGAATCTTTAAAAATTATGAATAATGATGCCGCTATACCCTGGCTTAGTTCTTTAAGTACCTTGGGGTGCCTTATTTGCATTAAGTAGTTTCAGTCTTTGTTGTATCTCAGTTTCCGTCAACCACTGCGGAATACCCTGAGATGAACTATGTGCGTTCTTATGTATATTAAACCCGTCTTTTTCCTCGGTGAATACCGAGGAGAAAAAGGTATTCAATGCCTCGGCCTTCTCCGTGTCGTTTGTGACTACACCTCCGTTAGCATCCATTATTGGGCCTATCTGCTCCTTTCTTACTATTTTACTGTTAATGTACTGGTAAAAAATGTGGGGATTATTTTTACTAACTGTGGCTGTATGTTTTTCACACTCTATTTTAGCTGCCCGAATTATTTTCTTGCATCTTTAGTTACATTCTTTGTAATTATCGAACGCCAATGCCGTCCCCTACATCTTATATTTTCTAAATGCCACTCTCTAGTCCTTTTATGTGTTGCTTTACCTATCTATTTATCCATGCAGGCTTAGTTTTTTGATCTTTTAATTTTATTCCCCAATGGTATACACTTGGTGATAGCCTTTTGTAGTGTGTTCTTAAAACATTCCCATTTCTGTTCAGTGCCCAGTTTCTGAAATAAATGTTCCCATTTGATTTCACCCATGAGCTGGCGCAGCTTATCAAAGTTAGTCTTCCTGAAGTTTAGGGTTTTTGTCCGACCAGCGGACTTCACTTTATTATACCCAATATTGAAAGTAATCACATTGTGATCACTGTTACCCAGTGTCTCCCCAATTGCAATATGCTCAATTAACTCCGCATTATTAGAAATGATTACATCTAGGATTGCATTTTTCCTAGTTGGGACCTCCACCATCTTATCCATGAAGTTGTCTCGCAACCTGTTCAGAAAACGGGCCTCCTTTGTCGAATGTGATGTTCCATTACCCCAATTTATGTCTGGATAATTGAAGTCACCCATAACGATGACATTACCCTGCTTCCCAGCTGTTTATACTTGGGAGTGTAGCTGAGCCTCCTCCTCCCCCCCCCCCATATCTGGAGGTTTATAACAGACACCCACAATAAGTTTACGGCTAGCCTCGGACCTATCAAGTTCCAGCCACAGTGATTCCACGTCTGCCACGCCAAATAACGCGATGTCATCCCGTATGTGCACCCTTAGATTATTTTTAACATAAATGCAAACTCCTCTCCCCCTTTTCCCACACCTGTCCCTCCTCGTTGTACCCTTCTATGTTAGTGGCCCAGTCTTGTGCGTTATCTAGCCAGGTTTCCGTTATTCCCACTACATCGAAGTTTTCTTCGAGTAAAATAATTTCTAGCTCCTCTACTTTATTTGCTAGACTTCTAGCATTGGTGTAAATGCATAAATTCAATATCTCTTAGATATGTTTATTGAAAAATGGCACGGCATGTATTTAGAAGCTAAAGCTAGCGTTTCGGGACTGGACCCTTCATCAGAGCAACATAGTGACAGAGTGTGGGTAGTTCTTGAAAACACTCAGTATATATGGGGCAATAGCCCGCTATATACTAAGCTTTGGGTCAGGGGAGGAGGTTAGTATATGTCACAAGCACATTTTAAGTGCTTGTTTTGCCTGGGGACACAAATTTACTTATATTTGGTCCCATCAGCTCCCTCACAGCTGCTAGAGCGGTCCCCGCAGCCTCTTCTCCCCTGGATTCTGGCATTCCTTCCTACCTAGTAGTTTTGAGTGCTCCCCTCACCTTTGTGTGTTTCGGCACTCCATAATATAACCAATAAATATGAGCCCCTTCATAATGGCCAAAGCAGGTGTGCAGGCTCAGGAAAAAGTGCACAGAGATCTTACCAATAGATTTGCTCAGAGATGCAAAAAAAGGTCCTGTGTTAACAATGTTTGTTGGAAAAGTTTAGGGGATTTTCAGTCTTGCTTCTGGTTTTCCAGTATCCAGTATTTCCTGGACCATTTATTTTTTGTTTCTCTCTGATTACTGATCTTTACAATTGGTAGGTAGAATACAGTATACTGATACTTCATGCAAGCCCATTTGCTCATGGACGCAGTGTCCTGTCTGCAGAAAGCCACTGTGGATGTGACCAATGTATACACCCTGGCTCTGCTGGTCTACAACATCGCACTGAGCCGAGAGACAGAACTGAGGAAGACTGTTTTGGACAAACTGGAGGAAAAAGCTATACAAGGAGGTGAGCAATGATTTTTTGTTACTGAATCCCTGGCAAATGTGCATTATTCAATATGTGATAGCAATTAAGTTAAAATGAAAAAAGGTTAAATTAAAAAAAGTTTTTTTTTTAAATGGAATAAAATACATTTAACCCCTTCATGACTGAGGCCCTTTTTTCATTTTTTGCACCCATGTTATATTCCACATTTTAGGCCTGAAAATGACTTAAAACCCCCCAACATTATATACGTTTAAATCTTCCAATAGGGACACCAGTTCTGACCACCAGGGATTTCCCTCTCTTTGGAGGGATTTCCTCTTACTTCCTATTGTGGCCATCAGACAGGAAGTGAAGTAAAACCTAATGGAATACGATAAAAAAAAGCTTGTTGCACTCCTTACCGAAAAGCCCCGTATTCGGGGAAAGGTGCTTGGAATGACTGTGGATGGCGCCGCAAGTTGCACATGGTATAAGAGAAATGTCACCAGCACACCAAATTTCTTCAAGGATAATCAATCGTGGATTTTATTGAAAACTCATGTCAAAAACACAAGGAAAACCTAATGGGACACAGATTAAAAAAAAATACTCTATCCAAAATGAAAAAAAGTTCTGCTTTAAGGTTCGATGGCTGATGTTGGTTCTGGTGCTGTGTATATGATGAAGCTGAATAAAATAACAAGAATTATGTAACCTCATGAATACTTTTGAGTTTTCTACACTCAGCATTATGTTGTAAAATAGTATAAAAAACAGAGGCGTCACAAGTCAACAACAGATGAAAGTCACTCGCACTCCATGATATTAAAGATATCTGAACAGAGAGTCTCTGTTTGCCGGAAGACGGGACCGCATGGTCTCGAAACGTCGCTAAGGAGATGTGTGTTATCTCAGTCAATAAACAGCATTTACTTTAATATCATGGAGTGCGAGTGACTACTTTCATCTATCTACATTTCACGGAGGCATCCGTTATCACTACCGCACCCACCCAGTTGGATTTGGGTTTGTGTCCGGTCAGGAGTGCGATGGGACAGGAGGATTAAGTTACAAGTCAACAACAGTCTGACTCATATGTTACTTGTAGTGTTGTAATTGACTCTTCCAACAAAGTCACAGTGGGGGGCGATTTTATCAACTTTTTAAAATAATTCTGAAAAACAAACATCAAAAGAAATGATTTGCATAATCCCCTGCAAGGCCTGCAATTACAGGTTATTGGTTATCAAGTATTTGCTGTTCTGTGGTCAATGTCCTCGCACCGAATCCTGCTTCCAACAGTGTAGGAGGGGGGAGTGTAGGGGGAAGCAAAACATACAAAGTCCATGCCAAGCTTTCTACACCGTCATTCTAAGTCCTGCAACCCTGCACAATGGTGTCATGGGTGCTGTGTGCTGGTCTAGTCCTTCTTCACATCTCCTGCTCTGTGGAAGCCAAACTGTGAGTAATTTAATTTAATGCTAGTGTATATGCGATACCCTTGGTGATGTTAGATGGGTTCCTAGTGGTGTAACCCATTTAACAGCTGAGTAATAAATGTAAAGAATTTAAAGGTTTGTGATACCTTGTATAAGAGTTTCAGTTTGTGTTGTTTGTATTTGGAACAATGGATGTTAATTAAAACACAGCTGTGTTGATTTTTCTTCCCATTGGCTGGATAGAAGCTTTTACCCTGACCCATGGTGTGTCAGAACACTGGGATTACAAACCACATCAATGTTTCTATATACAGTAGATCTTGTTAATCCGTTTGTTTTATATATCTGGATTAACAATAAACGATTGAATGGAAATTGTTGTTTGCTATAATGATCAAAGTATTTACCAATAATGATAAAAAAAGAATCAAATGATTGCAATGGCATGTTACTGTAGTTTAGGAAATCTTAAATGTTCAGTAGCTGATCATTACTGATACTTTGATAACCACATAATCTTTAATGTATGCACACCAGTCTGAAAAGGCAGCTGCAGTTAAGCAATATGTTTATTCAATTGTGTAGTTAAAAGGACAGTTATTGAACTAAGGTATCAATATCATTACAATAATTTCCAACGGCTTGTTACAATTTACTCATTTTTTGTTGCACTGGTGCACTGCTTAGCTATCTAAACTTGAGGGCACATTAATATTTATGCATTGCAGGAACATGTAGCAAGGGGCACACTTTACTGTGCGCTTTACTGTGTACCCCAACACACATACTTTGGTGAGGTGCATTGTTGTACCATTAATTATGTACCAATGCACCCACACGCGCCGTACATAGCAATGCATAGTTAAAAGTGTTCCTGCCCAAGTTTGAGACAATGGGGTTGATTTACTAAAGTCATATTGGCTGTTCATTTTGAAAGGGAATTTGCACATTGTAGGGGAAGTTTTCATTAGCTTGGTGAATGTCTGATGCTTGATGCTCTGATGCCAATCCTTTCTTACTTTTAGTAGGTAATCCCCCACCTGGCCACCCCATATGAAGGACTATGAGATCATGGATTTCCTTTACATATCTTATTTATCATGTTGAATGGCTTATTGCAATATATTTGGGGGATGTTTGAATTTCATTTTATTATGACATGTATATATTGACGCTTTATATGGTGATGAGGATCTCTCTGGCTTTGTCTCTTCATGTATTATTGTGATATATTTCTTTTGTAACGCTCACATTATTTGTATTGGAAAATCTCTGTGGCATGAGCATGTAGTTTATTTATAATGACCATCACATCACAGGAACTGGGAGTGTGACTTATACTATATTCAATGTGTTGGGTACTCTTCACTCTTCATCACCTAGTGTTGGGTGTTATGATATTTCTGTACAGTTACAGATCTTAAGGTATGTCCCCTTAAAATAAATATCTGCTTTTACTTGCTACTGTAATTATTTAAATTGCATTAGAGTTGCGTTCCATCTTATATCTTAACATGAAGTATGTATGAAGGACAGGCAGCAGGAGAGCTGTCATCATAGTCAGTAAATTAATAGGGAGCAGAGCTGGAGGTAAAAGTTATAGTAGCACTAATAATAATTATAACAACCATAATGATATTTTATATTATAATAAAATGAATAATTCTCTTGCACACACTGGCTCTTAGACACCAATGCAATCTTCTTTAGACGCTAGTGTCATTTAACTTTTTTTTTTTTTTTTGTAGAACTACAAACCTTAATCCTCTTGGCAGATCAATGGGTGTTTTTACTGCTCCTGCAATATTTTTAAAGGAATCAAAGATAGAAACATGTGCATCTATTTCAGAGATGTACTGAATGTTTTTTTCCTTTTATTTTGGAGAATCGAGGGCCAATGATGGAGTGACCATTGTAAAATAGGGGGCACATCATGCTCTAGCTGTGGGTTATCATGTTAATGATTATAATGGGTTGTTTATTTACCTGGCAGTGCCAATATTTGCTGCGTACTCAGTTCGTAGGAAGAGGGACTGTTTACTGAAAGGTTAGAGGTCTAATAAACACAGTAAAGCACACCCATAAGCAGCTACGTATATAATTGTTGTTTACACATTCACGCAATGAATTATAACTTCACTTTTCTCTGCTCAGCTGTACAACTTTAGAAGGGAGAAGTTCTAATGCCATCATATAACCCCACTTACCAAACCTCCTGCTGATTTTTTTTAAGTGCCAAGGACTCCCTGCCCACTTGGCTTCCATGACAAATTACTTAATTAATGGTGTGCATAACTTGCTCAAATGGCTGTCTCTAGTTCAACTCATGTTAGAAGTCAGTGCAAACCATAACACTGCCCCCACCAGCTTGAAGGGTTGTACTCATGCATGTGGGGTGCATGCTTCAATGCTGTTTCCGCCAAATTCTCACTCTGCCATCTGCATGATGCAACTGGAAACGTGATTCATCGGACCACATGACTTTTTTCCAATGCTCGACTTTCCAATCCTTGTGTTCCTGTGCGAATTGGAGACGTTTTATCTTGTTAACTGCAGACAGCAAAGGTGTTCGAACAGGCCTTCGGCTTCCATATCCCATACGATGCAGTGTATGGCGAACAGTGTGTTCAGAGATCATTTGAGAGGATCCCTGATTAAGATCTGCAGTAATTTGATGCACTGTTTCCCTTCAGTTGTCTTGTGCCAGTCTTGCCACTCTCCGTTCTGCCCTAACATTGACTATTCGCTGACGGCCACAATTCGCACGTTCAGACCCAGATTTTCGGCTAACAGTCCAGTATTTAAACACTTTACCAACAGCTACTCTTGAACATTTAACGAATTCTGCTGTTTTGCTGATACTCGCTCCATGGCTCCGAGCGCCAACAATCATCCCACGTTCAAAGGCTGTTAAATCGCTTTGTTTACTCATATCTCCAGAAAAAAATCACTTCTACTGTCATGGTAAACAACCTGCTTCCCTATTTATAATGGTCTTGCCCTCTAGCAACTTCAGCACGAAATTAAAGCTAATTTGCCTACAAACGTCAGGTGGTCATAATAATCTGGCCACTCAGTGTATACTGTATATATTATATGCATGCATTGTAAAAGTTTTGTTTTTAAACCTTTCAGAACACAGGCACTGCTTCTATTTATTACCTAAATGATTACGCTCGTTGTAGATTCCAGTGAGCTTAGATATCTGATGTTTGCCATTGTAAGATAAGTGGCTTTAGCAACTCCTTTTGCTCCTTTTGCTTTCAAGAAGACACCTGCATATATTTTGCAGCCCTTAGAGTGCCATTCAAATATTTATGTCAACTCATCTGCACACGCTATGGAAGTCATGGGGAGCTGTCGGTAGCGCATCAGTGAATGTCTGCAGATCTACAGACCAAGAAACCTTTTAGATTACTGATTCTTTGAGGATCCGGTGACCTCATTTGTCAAAGTGTGCACTATTAAATGAGCATGAAGGTCTTGGGTGTTCCCATCCATGTAATGTCATACTTTGATACATTGCTTTTATTTTCCTCACTTAAAGTGACACTAAACTCAGGAGGTAAAGATTAAAAATGCATTCCAGTACCTTAACTATTAGCTTATTTGTGTATTGCTTCGCTGTAGATCCTCAAATCATCTCTGAATTGGTGCTGACACTGTCCTTCCTTCTGGAGGGGTGCTACTTTTGTTCCACATGGTCCCTGTGTGTGTTGTAAAGTAACCACAGCACCAAGCTCACTTCCATGATGGACTACAATCTCATGTATAGTTTACTAATTTGAACAGAGAATTGCTGTTCTGTGAATAATTTCAGAAGCCAGGGAATGGTTTGAATAAGTTAAACATGTTTAGACTGTGCCCATTAAAGAGGAACCTTACCCATTTCTTCAAAATAACAACAAAGACACCTTTAGAAATGTCTAGTAATGACAATCTAAAAAAACACATACTTCTAGATAATTGCCGCTTTTTATTTTTTGCATACCGTATATCTCTTTTCTTCCCCAGTCTTCTGACAGTGGCCATTTTGACTAAGTGCAGATTACTAGATCTCCCTTTACTTCTGGGAACTCTGGCACATGTGACTAGGACATGTGACCATGCACATCCGAGGAAAATGTATTTACCTGAGATCTCATGGCATTAGAGATGAGATTTCCCAGGAATACACTGCTGTAACATCCTCAGGATGCAATATGCAAACTTGGGCACAGTTACATCATCTGTGCCAAAGGGGACCAGGGAATGGAAAAAATTAATTGTAACTTAAACAAAAATATGTTTGTTTAGCTAATACGATGATAAGTAAGATGATTTCATATCAGCATGCAGCATGCATGCTGTATGCTGATGTTATTTTTAATCAAAGGGGTAAAGGTCCACTTTAAGTATGGATAAATGTTTCACAATTCTTTTAAATCTCCCTTTGTGGTTTCTAATGCTGACTTTTAATCTTTGCAGGCACTATGCTGTCATCTTCCCCTCTGAAATTCACTCTCATGAAACTCTATGTATACACCTGGAGGGGGCTCAGGGGGAGAGCAGAGTACAGATCTCTTTACGGCTGGATGAAAAGAACACAACCCTTGTGGAGAAGATATTTGACCAGGAGTCCATATTCACCTGTTTTCCAATCCAGGTAATTAAATTCACATTTATGATATGCAGAAATAAACAGAGGTTCTACATGGCTAAGGAGATGATAGGACAGTGGAAGATTAAGATGTGAGTTATGTGGGAAGGGGTGAGGTCTAACCTGATTGGCATTTGAGAGCCAGATGAGTAAGAAGGAACCACAAGGTTAGGTCCTGTGAAGACTACTTTCCAAAAAGTTCAGGCGATGATGGATATTTTCCTGGCTCAATTAAGGTTTGAGGGAAGACTGGAAAGGGTTGTTGGTGTTTTTCCAATATGCTAAATCCCCTGTGGAAAATTAAAATGCCAGATTTCGTACTGTGCTTGAGCCAATGTTATGTGACTTGGCTGATCAATTCACCTCCTGAACAGTCTCAGCCAGAGAAAATTAGGGGCTCCCAGGCAGGCATGCTATCCCTCTTTGATCCAAACACATATGACCCAACGTTCTCCTATATTTGTAGACTTTGTAATAAGACTCTCTCCTTAATAGGATAGTGGACAGAACCATGATGATGAGCCTCAACCCATAGTCCTAGCATATAACCAAAGCTTATTCTTTTAATCCCTTGAACATTCAGAAGAATTCAACATGAGTGCTGGTTGGTTACTGTTGGCAAGTTTGAATAGCAAGTTGATTTCTTGATAAAGGGAAGCTATAATTGTTCTGGGTCTTTAATAAAAGTGTAAATTTAGCCATCTGAACGGAGCAAACCTAAAATTGAAGTGCCACAATGGGGCTTAATCTACCACACACACACCTTATTCATATGTGTGTGTAAATATCCAGAACACAAGGACAACATGCCATACATGTATAAAAAGAGCTGAGAGCTCATCCAGCTCGGTGCATATAAAATATAAAAATTATGTTTTTGAACCCGGCCCAAAATACATTAATAATGAAACCATAAACAAAAATTATATACACTATTATCAGTGAAAATAATTAGTTTGACTTGAATTTAACTTGTTTAACTCTCTCATTTACATACATGGACCTGGAGTTCTGCCTAGAGCTCAAATCCACTAATTCTTTTTTTTGTTGCTTAGGTTTTCACGCCTGTACAGTCGGATGTAGTGGGCACGTTGGATGTCTCCATAGAAAATGCAGGGGAAACAGTAATGAACAGCAGTAAAGTTCTGGTGATGAAGAAGAAATTCGGTCTTCTGGTTCAGACAGACAAAGCTGTTTACAAACCAGGACAAACTGGTAACTGTTTAATCAATACAGAACTCTACGGGAATGTATATTCCAGGAAACAAGTAAAGCAATGAGATACAAAAGCCATTCATTAAATACTGTAAGACTGCTATTCAGATCAAGGGCATTGCTAGACCCTGACACCCAAGATATATGCAATACAGGGAGTAAGGCCATTGCAATGACATCACAATAGTAATCCTTATAATTTTTCAAACTAAAAAGCTTTATAATCAAAACATCATTAAAAGTGACTCTTCTTTGACCCATAAGTTTTTGTATTTTGTAAAAACATGAGAGTTATTTTTAGCATCATACAAAGGTTGTTTAAATTCATAACTATAAGAAAGTCCAGCTATACTGCCAAAATCTTAAACATTTGCCAAACATCTGGTAGAAGAGAATTTCTGCCCCAGTAAGCTGAAGAAACCATTTGCATGAGTGGTAAAAGATTTTCAAGAATGATCAGCAAGTCCAGTTGTGTTTCAATGGATTTGAAATCTCATTATTTGGTTGCTTGAAACCCTGAACTAGCATTGTTGAAGCACTTTTAAATGATTAGGAGAGAGCTTATAGAATCATAACATTGTATATTTGTCTTTTACAGTAAAATTCAGAATCCTATCCATTAATGAAAATCTTCAACCCAGACATACTGTGGTAAGTGTTTATGTATGGAAATATAAGAGTTTAAAAGCTATAAGTAGTAGCTTTATGGATAAAAGACCCCACTATTAAATCTAAAATTACATCACATATTAATACAAGGGATAATCAATAATCATTAACCCATCAACACTTTTTATTGAAAACTCTTACCGCTAACAGTCATGAACATGTGAAGAGTTTCTATGTCTTATACAACTACTGTAAGGGGGCATTTTGATGGGAATAACCAATGTAGGGGGACACTCTGATGGGGACAACCAATGTAAGGGGGCACTCTGATGGGGACAATTAATGAGCATGCCTCCTGACATTTGTTGTTCCCATTGGAGTGTCCCTGTTCGTTTTCTTAGTCATCGTCCTCTTGTGATGCTCGGGATGGGACGTGCATGTGATCTCATTGGTTGTTAGGACACTGGCAGTTCTAGCAACCAAAGACCACAAAGAAGGGGAGAATTTGGACTGGCTTATGGCTTGCTGTCAGTGGATGCACCTGTGCAGCCTTTGTCATCCAACCAGACATAACCCAGTGCAATCGTGATCTGGACAGAACTGTCATTTGGTCCGCATCCGAGCTGTAGTCCACTCAGTAATCCCTGCTATGTAAGCATTTTAGCTGACACTACTACAGAAGAACTAGTAATAACAGTATAATATATGAGAATGGTTGCTGCACCTACATCTGTATAAACAGCATTCTAACAAGACTAAATAAAGGAATTGCTGCATTCTGAGCAAAAAAAACCCCACTGTTTTTGTGCACCTGGCAACCCACCTGGCATCACAAGTTGAATGCAGACACCTAGTTATTGGGTGTACTTAGTTATATAAACCATAGCTTCAACCAATTAGTCAGTGAAACTGTCCATCTCATCAAGTGACCAATCTAAAGCTGGGTGGAAAGTAGCACATGCACACTAGACCTCTACTCTCTCCAGTATTTGTATGTGAGGTTTTAGGGTACATGGGGTGCACTTGAGGGTATCTCAATGTACCTTCTTGTGTAAAAACTCAGTTTATTTTACTTCAACATACAGTAGATTTGCACTGACATTAGTGCTACTATGACTATCGGATTTCGCTACTGCTTAGTGAGATCTGCTAGCAGCAAAAGGCAGACAGGGCAGGACAATTCATTGTGCACCAGTGTGTCAGCACACTGTGGTGATAGTCTATTAAAAGTACTTTTAACACATTATTTAATATGTCTATACCTTTGTATTTTTGGGGGTTGGTTTTCTGATACAGTTCTGGGGAAACATTATGTGGCCAGTATAGAGGCTACGAGTACTTAACATAGTTCTCAGCTAACAGAAAATAATGGTGTATTTCAGTAAGCACACTATCTGAGCTATTATAATACCTATTATGTTGACGTGTTTAAACCTTCACACTTTGCATGCTTGTTGTACTATATTTATATTGCTACTTTACACATGGGCCATATTTATAAAGCAGTGATTGTGACATTGACCAAACAATGACTTCTGATGAATCATTCACTGCAATTTAAAATGCTTGCACCGGGAAGATACACCTGCAGTGAATATAATCTGAGTTTCACATTTACTGCTTCATAAATAGACCCAGATTTGTAAATAATTTTTCACCAAATAAGTATAAACCAAATATAGTCAAGGTGTGTTTCATTACCTGTTTTTTCTCTTTCAGTTTCCAGTCGTAGAACTACAGGTACAAATATTTAAGCCATATTTAAATAGACTTGATAGGTATGTTAAAATATAATTTTATATTTATATATATTTTTTTCTGTGGCATGGAGGCTGAGTAGTGTGCACTCTTGCCTCTTTAACCTGAAACCCTATCTACATGGAGTTTGTGTGGCCTCCCCATGTATGCACAGGTCTTCCCCAGAAATGTGAATACATATTGGTAGATGAACTGGTTTCTTGCCTAAATTGCCCCTACTATATTACAGTGTGCTCTTCATTGCTTGTCAACACACGTAAATGCGTTAACATAAGTTTGCTCATGTCGATGTTCATTTACAAGCATTGACATGTGGTACAATACACATTAACATGTGTTCCTATTCATTAGACATGTACGCTGCGGAAAAATTTGGTTCGGTTCGGATATTTTGTTATTTCGGGATTTGGATCCGAAATTCAATTTGGTTCATGTTTTGAATTCGGACGAAATCCGAATTTTTAGTTTCGGATGAGTTTACAAATTTTTGTTGTGACTACCACAGAAAACCATATACAGATATTAACCTCCTTGGCGGTATTCCCGAGTGTGACTCAGTGTTAATTTTCAGTACCATAAGCCACACTCGGGATTACAGCGTAGCATCTCTTTCCTTGTCCACGATCCCCGCTGTGTTCTCCGGCTGATGCCGGCATCCGTCTTCCGGGTTCCGTCCCTTGCAAGCAACTGCGTTACAGGGGGGCAGAACCGGCGGTAATTTTAAAAGTAAAAAAAAAGATAGAACTAAAAAGGCAAAAAAAATAAATAATGAGACCGCCAGGGAGGTTTATACTAACGCTGAAGCTCCTAGACCCAAATGGCATTTGGAAGTACGAACTTCTGAATACCATTCGGGAGCTCCAGAGACAATTCGGGTCTAGGAGCCACATTAAAGCGGAGGCTTCCAGACCCACCTGGCATTCGGGAGCTCTCGAATGCTATTCAGAAATTCGGACTCCATTCAGGTCTTGGAGCATCAGTTTTAGTATTATGTATATATAAGTAGTATTCTATCATACAAATGAATATTCGTAGAAGCAACATTGTGACTCATATATACATACAACTATACCTGAGGCTCCCAGACCCGAATTGCATTCTGGAGCTCCCAAATGCTATTCGAAAATTCGGATTCAGATCCATTCGGATGCATTAAACCGAAAAATACATCTGATTGGCCAGAAAAGTCACATGTCCAATTCAATTTAATTTTTAAACGAAATTTGGACAGGATCTGAAATTCTGAAACGGAAATTCGGATCAGATGCATTTGGATGCGTTGGGATTCTGAAATTCAGATGTGTCCGAATTTCTGAAAATTCATACGAATTTTGATTCGGAACGGAACGAATCGCACATGTCTACTATTCATTTTAATAGAAACGCATATGCGTTAAAAACACAGTTGTAAATCCATGTTTAACCTGTCTACACATTTCATGTAGTATTGTCGATGTTATATACCTATTCTGTAAATCATATTTAGTGGTTCTTTGTACACAGGTAAAAAGCCCTGTTAAACTAAACTATTTCCGCTTTTAAGGATCCAGGAAAGAACCGGATTGGTCAGTGGTTGAATGTGAGCGTCAGTCAGGGATTGGCTGAGCTTTCCCTTCCTCTTTCCTCTGAGCCTCCACTGGGAGAATACTCCATCCGGGTGAAAGACACAGTCCATGCATTCACTGTGGAGGAATATGGTGAGGAACTGTCCTAATAAAAACATTTATTATCGATAGTCTATACTATTTGTAATTCCTATAAATATATCTCTACAGTTCTTCCAAAGTTTGAAGTTTCCCTTCAGTTCCCTAAGGTTGTTATGTTTGACAGTGACCAGTTCCCACTTCGTGTGTGTGGAAGGTGAGTCTGAATATCACTGAATATGGATGAATGCATGGATTCCATCAAATTAAGGGTACTGCAAATCCTGTATGCTGACGTTTTGCACAAAATCCCCAAATTATCTTTAAAGTGACACAAATCTCAGGAGCTAATCTTAAAAATACTTTCAAGTACCTAAAATATTAACACAAATGTATCTTAACTGTTATTACTCAGCTGTAGATCCTCAAATCATCTCTGAATTGGTGCTGACACTGTTCTTCCTTCTGGAGGGTGACTTCTTTAGTTCTCCATTGTCCCTGTGTGTGTTTGTTGTGAAGTAGCCACCACTCCAATGATGGACTACAATCCCAATACACATTAGTAAACTAAACATGAAATTGTAGTCCATCACAGGAGCAAAACTGGAGTGGTGGCTTTTTTACAACACACACAGGGACCATGGGGAACAAAAGTAGCCCCCCTCCAGAAGGAAGAACAGTGTCAGTAATAAGAGACATACAGAGTGCAGAGGTCAGTAGTAAGAAACATACAGAGTGCAGAGGTCAGTAGTAAGAAACATACAGAGTGCAGAGGTCAGGAGGAGGTAACGCACATGGTGCAGGGTTCAGGAGGTAATGCACAGAGTGCAGTGGTCAGAAGAATCTGACGCACATAGCGCAGATGGAAGTTTTGCAAGGAGTGCATTGGCCAGAAGTACAGAGTGGATTGGTCAGAAGTAAGTAAAGTACAGAGTGCATCGGTTAGAAGAAGGTAACACACAGAGTGTATCAGTTAGAAGGAGGAAACGCACATAGTGCAGAGGTCAGATGGAAGTATTGCACAGAGTACATAGGTCAGAAGGAAGTAACGCACAGAGTGCATCGGTCAGAAGGAGGTAATGCACAGAGTGCAGAGATCAAGAGGAAGTAACGCACAGAGTACAGAGGTCAAAAGAAAGTAACGCACAGAGCGTAGAGGACAGGAGGAGGTAACGCACAGAATGCAGCGGTCAGAAGGAGATAACACATATAGTGCAGAGGTCAGAAGTAAGTAACCCACAGAGCAGTCAGGAGGTAACGCACAGAGTGTAGTGGTCAGAAAGCCGTAACGCACAGAGTGTAGTGGTCAGGAGGTAGGAGATAATGCACAGAGGTAATGCACAGAGTGTAGCGGTCAGGAGGTAATGCACATAGTGTAATGGTCAGGAGGTAACATACAGAGTGTAGGAGTCAGGAGGTTACACACAGAGTGTAGCGGTCAGGAGGTAATGCACAGAGTGTAGCGGTCAGGAGGTAACACACAGAGTACAGCGGTCAGGAGGTAACGCACAGAGTGTAGCGGTCAGAAGGTAACGCACAGAGTGTAGCGGTCAGAGGTAACGCACAGAGTGCAGTGGTCAGGAGGTAACGCACAGAGTGCAGCAGTCAGGAGGTAAAGCGCAGAGTGTAGTGGTCAGGAGGTAACGCACAGAGTGTAGTGGTCAGATAGAGGTAATGCATCAGAGTGCAGCGGTCAGAAGGTCAGTGGCCCCCAAAACCCCCATCACTCTTAAGATCCAGTAATTAAAAGTTATAAGAGTCTACCTCCTAGGCATACAGTACCTGCTTTTAGTATACAGTATACGGTACTGGATGCCTAGGAGGCACAAAACAGACGCATACTTTCTTCTCTGTCAGCTCCTCCTTGTCCCCTCTCAGTCTGTGCCACCGCTGGCTGCTGCAGGGGCGGTGGCATGTGTAGAAAAAAGGGTTGATGTACCCAGAGATCCTCACCCCAATTTAATTAGAGTTATTTAACTCTTCTTTTATAACTCTCACTTGCTGAGCAAAAGACAACCCCCTGCTGCTATTTTAGAACATGGTAAAAGTAGTTTGTTCAACCAAGAGAGGGTTTTGAACAGAGTGCAGCTCAAGAAGGGGGTCGGAGAGTTAAATAGTAATATAAAAATTTGATTTATTAGGTATACAAGGTAAAAACAATCTTCCACATAAACTGACTGCACAATTGAAACCCACTATCCCCACACCATTAACTCTCCGACCCCCTTCTTGAGCTGCACTCTGTTCAAAACCCTCTCTTGGTTGAACAAACTACTTTTACCGCGGTGGCATGTGTAAGTGTCACCCCGGGCAGGCTCTCTCCTCTCTCTCTCTTTCTCTACCGGAGCTGCGGCAGTGGAGGCAGGAAGCTCCAGAGTGCCAGGGCCTCTGGTAGGTACCGCAGAACTAGAGGGGGGCAACCTTGGGCAGGAAAAGGAAGCAATTATGTAGGGGGGAGATGGGGCGTCCCCAGTCCCCGGATCCGCCACTGCTTCACTTCACAAAATTAAGCTTTAGAGGTGAGAGTTAGGCAGCTGTGAGGCCCCCGTGAGGGTGAGGCCTTAGGCGACCGCCTAACTAGCCTAATCAGGGAGCCGCCTCTGCCCATAGTTCTCCTTTAAGGTACTTGAATGCATTTTTAAGATTTCACTTCTGAGTTTAGTGCCTCTTTAATGAATAACAACCTTGACTTATGTTACCTAAGTTAGGAACATGTTATCTCTTTTAGATACACTTATGGGAAGCCAGTTCAAGGAAGCTACATGGTCACTGTGTGTCAGAAACGATTTAGAACGTGGTGGGGACAAGATGATGTCAACAATATATTCTGTGCTAATTTCACTGGAAAGGTAAATTCAACAAAATGGCAAATCACGAGTGAATAATGAGTTCAGAAAAGAGACGCCAAACCGAGATAGGCTCATCAATGCAATTTTAACCGTTTTGCTGCCACCGACGTAAGGCTTACGGCGGAACACGAGTGTTTCCAGCTAGCCACCTCAGTAAGCCTTACGTCGGTGGCTTTTTCCCTTCTGCTTTATCGACCATGAGCTTATATCAGAAGGATCCACCCGACACTATAATGCAAAAAAATAGCTGTCATCAGTGGCTGACAAGTCGCTGATGACAGCTATTAACAAAAAATCTGGGCGGCCCCTCCCCGCCGGCATCTGCAGACTCTCCTGCCCTCTCCATGCTTCTCCTTGGATTCCCTCTGCTCTTCCTCAAATGTATGGGCTGAGGCAGCGGGCATCCGAGGAGAAATGTAGCGCTGCAGCTGGCGGGGTGGGGGGGGAGGAGGGAGCTGTCATCCAGGATGGCCAAGCAGTGTGCAGAGAGGAGCAGCGAGTGGGGAGGAGAGCGTAGACGCTGTCATCCTGTCAGTTTCAGAGGATGACAGCAGCTCTGTGTGTGAACGAGCGGAGGATCGGTAAATATCTCATAAAGAACATGATAAGAGGAAAGACTTGAACTAATGAAATTTCAACTCTAAGGTCTCCAAAAGATTTAAGAATTAGATAGTGAATTGTAAGATGGACTAAGCCTCAAATAGACGTGCTTTCTGCTGTAAAGTGCGCTGTTTGATCACTAACATTCACTTTGTGTGTCTCTCTCTCAGTTGGACAGATCAGGATGTCATATCATAGAAGTTAATTCTAAGGTCTTTAACCTGAAAAGCAGCGACATGGAGAAGGTTCTGAAAGGAGAAGCCACCATCACTGAGAGTGGAACGGGTAACTTCTGCTTTTAACTTTCTTCTGTCACACTTAGAAAGGGGACATGTAATGGATACAGAATGTTCAAATAGAATTAGCATTGTATTTTCAACTTCAGAGTAACAAAGTACCTTTCTTTTCATTAATAATCGTAATAAATTATGAATGTGACTTCAAGCCTAAGAAAAAGATTGTGTGCTCTCTGGACACTAGGAACAAAGAGAGTGTTTTGTATCATTAGGGACTGCAGAAAGTCTATTTTATTAAAACAGACATTGTCTGATATACTTTTACTGAGATGAAAGGATCAGCAAGACACGATCGCTGGATAAAACTACTCAGCATATATTAATACAGTGGGCTTTAGATAAATGTAAAAATGTTAATATAAAAGGAGATCATGGATATAATGAACTACCTGCATAACTCACCAAATTAACCCTATAATTCCAAAATATATTCTTTATTGAAAACCAAAACACTGTTTTTTAATTATTATTATGTTTATGTTTTACTTTTATGTAAAATCTTTGGTTTGCTAATAAACATTCAATGGGAGACTTGCCAGTGTTACAGTATTTCTAAAAGCACTGCGGGTGTTCTGAAGAGAGAGCATAGCTCAAGCTGTTTGCCTCCGTACTGTCTCCCTTTGGTTAAAATTTCATGAGGCCCATCTGGACAGACCAGCAGGGATGGGGAGGAGTCTGATTAATTCCGATTTTTATGGAAATGGGAGCTTAAGTTATTGAATAGATGGCTTAAAGATGTGAATAGAAGCCTGGAGCAACAATTGCTGGCTGAAAATGTAAAATGCAAAAAAGTTATATTTGATATTAGCAAAAAATAAATTTAATTTAATTAAAGTCTTTACTAAGATAAAGAAATGAAAATATGTACAAAATCACTACACATTTCCTTTAAAAAATATATATCAGGGCCCTGTAACACTTTGGGGCTGATTAATAATGTGGTTCACACAGCATTACTATCACTAGATGGGGATGAGAAGCATAGAAATGTTCTATGTTTCTCGACTTCAATTAGTGGCATTAATGTGCTGTGAAAGTCATTAAATACCCCAAAACAAAAGCATGAATGTAGTGACACATAAAAAAAAAACTATACATCTAAAATCATTGTTTTACAAACACACATTTAATACATGATGAAGGATTTCCAGATATCTATGGATTATTTAAAGAGAGCACATTAGTGATTGTCTCAAGGCAGACGTATGCTTTCTGACTGAAACCTCCAATAGATTTGTATAAAGGGAGGGGGAGGAGTCATTGACTTGTTTAGTTGTATGTACATTTCAGCTGGAGCTATTGATCTCTGTGAAAAGCAGGTTTTTTTTCACGAGGAGGTAAGGAAATACTTGAAATCGTGATAAGTAAACTCGACCCACAAGCATTAAATGTGGATATGTAATGAATACAATGAATATGCAATATTTTCTCCTTTATGTGACTTTAAAACACACACACATACACACACAACTATTACAGAGTCTCTTTAAGATTACATTTCTAATCCCCTGATTGGCTGAAGGTGTATGTTATCTCTTTTTTATTTTCATGTTTTCCTTTGGCAGGAATTGAGTTATCTACAACCAGCCAAGCTAGTGTATCCAACACAATCAATAAGGTGTCATTTGTTAATGCAGACAATAACTACAAAGTTGGGATCCCCTACACTGGAGTGGTGAGTCTCTGCACTAACACAAACTAGCTGAATTTACTAAACTATAAAGATAATTATTTTCAGCATTAACAGTCATATGGCTGAAAATAGTGATAATGATAAAACCTACCACATGAGTTCTACGAGCTTTATGAACTGAGCCTAATATTTCCATACGTTTGAGGTTATTTCTTCTTAAAGTGAAACTAAAGTCAGTAGTTAAATCTTAAAAATGGAAAATCCAACTTCATGTATGTGGAAGGTGAGTCTGAATATCACTGAATATGGATGAATGCATGGATTCCACAAAATTAAGGGTACTGCAAATCCTACATTGTGACTGGAGCAAAGAGAATGTGACATTTTGCACAAAATCCCCAAATTATCTTTAAAGTGACACTAAACACTAAAAGGAGTTACATCTTAAAAATACTTTCAAGTACCTTAACTATTACCAAAAATGTATATTATTTGTGTATCACTTAGCTGTAGAACCTCAAATCATCTCTGAATTGGTGCTGACGCTGTCCTTCCTTCTGGAGGGGACTACTTTTGTTCCCCATGGTTCCTGTGCATGTTGTAAAGTAGTCAACGCTCCAAGCTCACTCCCAAGATGCACTACAATCTCACGTTTCGTTTACTAATTTGTATTGAGATTTTAGTCCATCACAGGAGTAAGCTTGGAGCAATGGCTACTTTACAAAACGCACAGGGGCCACCCTCCAGAAGGAAGTGTCAGCACATTTTCAGAAATTTTTTGAGAGTCTACAGTTCAATGAAACACAAATGACATACATTTTTGATAGTAGTAAAGGTAGTTATATGCATTTTTAGATTAAACTCCTGATTTTAGTGTCACTTTAAGGCTAGAATGCATGAGTCTTTGAGATGCCTTTACTATGCGGTCTATTCACGAAGCTGCCGAAGGATCTAGCCGTAGCTTCGGCCGATCCTTCGGCTAGCTTCGGCCCCAGGACCCCTTCGGTTCAGTAGAACGAAAGGGGTGCTGTACGGGCTATTCACTATAGCCCGTAAATATATTCTGACACGGCTCTGTGTCAGAATAAAGGAATAAAAAGAAAAAGCAGTGTATCTCTCCTGGGCGGCCGGGAGCGGGAGGCTCCCAGAGCACCCGGGAGAGTTTTTTTTTTCTTGTTTTTTTGTCGGCAGCAGAACCGCCGGACCATAGAAAACTGTTGGGCTGAGCTAGCTGCCATTGCTAGCTCCGCACAATCGTTTTCTATTTCCTTTTTTTAAACATTTTAAACTATTTTTCTGTTCTGCTCGGTCCCTCTGAGGGACCGAGCAGAACAGCCGAGCCGAATGCCGCTCAGCGGCATTTCGGCTATTCACTCACTGCTGTTCGGCATATATAAGAATAGGCCGAACAGCAGTTACATAGTTACATAGTTACATAGTATTTGAGGTTGAATAAAGACATTAGTCAGTTAGTAGCCTGCCGGAGGTTCGGCTCAGCCGATTCACATGTTTGATCGGCTGAGTCGAACTCCTTCTGCACAGCTCCATGCGAAGCAAGCCGATGTACGGCTGATTTCAGCCGATATACCAGTGTTCGGCTCACTTCACTTCATGTCAGTCATTCACTCGGCTGCCTACGGCAGCTTAGTGAATAGACCCTATATTGTTTGCCATGCATTTACCACACACTTTACATTTGGAATACATCCACCTTTATTTGTATGCAGAAATAAAGATGAAAGCTCAAACTGATCTCAGACTGATCTTATTGTGACTCTATCATGAAAAAAGTACAACTGGCAGATCATCCCATTGCAAGAAGTGCTTAAGGACGTTCATGGAAGATCACCAGGAATTATTTTAATGAAAGCTTCAAATTAAAAAAGACCTAGAACAACTTTTGAAGTTATATTAACATTTTAGCATTGAGATGTTAGTGACTTCCTTTAGAATTTCTTTATCTGATCTCAAGAACCTATGTACACTAAAAAACAATTTCCTCAATAAAGAAAGTTTGGACATGCAGCAGTACACAAAATAAAGTAACAAGCTTCTGTTGAGTTGGTGTCTGAGTTAATGTTAAAATATAATACTAAAGTAAGTGTGGGTCTGGCCATTTTGAACAATTTCCTGAAGTGCTTAGGGCTCCTGACTCCATCTGCCTGTCCATCAAAACTCCATCTAGTGATCCCAACTAGGGATGCCCACATTTCAGTTCAGATACCAGTGCTTGGCATACTTGGCATTTTCACGAGAACTACGAGGGTTGCAGTGGTTGCAGCTGCGACTGTGCCCTGGCGCTTTGCCACTGTCCTGAAATCATTCGTCTGTATTGTTTTAGAAAAACTGTCACATGACACTAAATAAAAAGGTATCAGTAATTGGTATCTGTGATGACGAGTACTTGGTCTGGAAAAAATGGTATCGGTGAATCCCTAGATACTGTATGTATGTATGTATGTACTGTATGCATTTATGTGTATGTATATATATTTATTATACACAATATATATATGTATCAAATCATACATTAAAACAGGGATGCACAAATCCCAGGAGCCTCCTTAAAAATGACAGCTGCCTCCTAAGTTTTGAGTTTTTCTCTAGTCTAGTAGCTGAAAAAATATCTGTACTTGTACTTTTACCATGTACAGTACTTGGTATCTGTTCATCCCTAGCCCCAAGTGGAGATTTACAATTCATAACATACAAATATTTTTGTATATTTATGTTGTATTTCAAAAAGCTGTGTAAGACACACCTATCACCATGGCCATCTGTCACTGCAGCACCATAGTATACTTTGTGTTTCCATGGAATAAGTTCCCAGTCCCCTCGAAGGTGTAGAGAATTAAAAGGGCAGCCCACCAGGTCTATTTCAATTTTTGGCAGATGCTGGATAATGGCTCTGCGAGTTGGTTATAAATTTACCACAGTAATGACTTGTAGAAAAGCCACTAAAATAATGTTCTGTGACTGTGAGGACTCATGTACAGGTCTCCTGTTTATTTCTGGCATTGTACTAATTCTCTATAAAATAAAATCACGACCAATAGTAAGTATTAAGCCTGTAACCCAACTGATTGTATCTTCTTGTGTCTTCTTTTAGATTAAAGTGGTGGATGTTGGTGATAACCCTATACCAGGCATTAATGTTTACCTAACAAGTTATGATGACCCGATCAACGACACCTTAGTGACAGATGACAATGGACAAGTTTCTTTCACTCTCGATACTAATAGTTGGGAGGGAAGAAAAACACTAAGGGTACTAAATATTTTTTGTATATTGGTGTATCTATTAGCCTATATGTAAGGGGTTAGTTATAAAATGTCTCTTATTTCTCTACACAATTTCACTGGCGCTGAACAGTTTTAAAGGCTCGTTCACACTAGAGCCCTACGATAGAATTGTGCGTTAGAATTGCGCATTGCCACAATGTTAAATGCTAAGTGCATTGCAGTGCCCCAGCACACCCAGGCAGTCCATTGCAACACTTTTGTTTTGGGGCACACCACAAGCCACAGATGTGAACCACTTGTACACTGAGTGGCCAGATTATTAGGACCACCCCATCAGTACTTCATTGGGCCACGAGATGACTCCATGAGATGACTTCGTTGGGAAGCCTCGTGACTCCACGAGATGTTGAAAGGTATGCGAGGAATCTGACACTGCACTGTTGCCCTTCTGTTGTCTTGTACCAGTCTTGCCCCTCTCCGTTCTGCCCTAACATTGACTAGTCGCTGACGGCCACAATGCGCACGTCCAGACCCAGATTTTCAGCTGACAGTCCAGTCTTTAAACACTTTAGCAATGAGCCAATCTTGAACATTTAACGAATTCTGCTGTTTTGCTGATACTCGCTCCATGGCTCCGAGTGCCAACAATCATCCCACGTTCAAAGGCTGTTAAATCGCGTTGTTTACCCATATCTTCAGAAAAAAATCACTTCTACTGTCGTGGTAAACAACCTGCTTCCCTATTTATAATGGTCTGGCCCTCTAGCAACTTCAGCGCAAAATTATAGCTAATTATAGCTAATTTGCCTACAAACGTCAGGTGGTCATAATAATCTGGCCACTCAGTGTATGTTGGATGCCTAGTTTTGAAGTCCAGTTGAACTATCACTTTATGTTAGCTAAATACACTCCATTATGTGAAGATGTGCAAAGTTTGTTGAAGTTTTTTTCCTTTAGAATGTGAAGGACCCTTGTTCTCTGTGTAGCAGCAGAGGTATCTCTGCAAAGGTTCCACATGTCCTGTGGTGAGTCAGAGCTATCCTATCAGCAGGTTGTGTGAGCTTTGATAGGTCTTCATTAAAAAAAAATATAAGACGTTCTGTGAATGGCTGAGGTGCAGAGCAAGCTATTCACTGTGTTCAGTATACAGACCAACTCTGACCATATGGAGCACAGATGACTTCAGTACCATAAGTGGTAACCCCGAGCCACACTTGGGAATAAAGCGTAGCGTCTCTTACCTTGTCCGCGGTTCCCGCTGTGTCCTCCGGCCGATGCCGGCATCCGTCTCCGGGTTCCGTCCCTTGCGAGCGTCCATGTCGCAGGGGGGCGGAACCGGCGGGAAGTTTAAAAGTTAAAACAAAAAACAGATAGAGCAAAAAAGGAAAGAAAAAAATAATAATCATACCGCCAGTGAGGTTAAGGGATGGAATGAGGAAGAAATACTCACTTGATCCTCTCTCATGCTCAGTGCTCCCCTCTCCCCGCTGCCAATGTGGCTGTAGTATGTCCTTTGGCATCCTCACGTCTAATAGGCCTGTATTAGACGTGATTACATCACAGGTCCCTAGACTGCTGGAGCGGAGGGTAGAAGAGGCTGCGGGGATCGATCCAGCAGCCAGACAGGACGAGGATCAGGTTTTCTTCTTTATTTTGACCCCTTAGACAAAAGGAGCAGTTACATCTTGCAGTGTGGGGGAAGCCCCACTGCAAAATTATTTTTTAATAATCCTGGAGGTCCTCTATATTCATATAAAGGGTGAAAAGTAGGCAGACAAAAAAAAGCAACAAAATGGTTAAAAATACATCAGAAACTGCACTTATTGAGTCGGTTTTAGTGGCCATAAATCCTCCTTTAGTTTTAAAGCAGAACTACACCCTCCTATCCTTTACAGTCAAAGAAGGTGCCATCTTAGCCTCTACTTGGATTGCAGTTGCCATGGTGCTGTACATGTGATCAGCTATGACACCAACCATTTCAGGGCTTGAAAGTTTGACTGAGAGCTGAAATAAGCACACTGGCAACCCTGACAGTTTCGGGATACCATTAACTACTTCCCACCTGGTGGCAGTATATAAATGGCCGGAGAGGAGCTTCCTAGATGTGGAGGGCGTTTTAAAACGTCCTTGTGCTCGCACGTGCACGAGCGGGAAACTGTCAAAATTTCAAAGTGTAGAGCTGTAAAGCAGCTCGATCGCTTGTATGTTGTGAAGTTTCCCTAGGTGACATTAGGGGTCTTAAAGATCCCTGATGACTCCATAAAGAGGACCTGTCACTGTAATTTGATATCACATAGGGGGCTTCTTATACCCTTATGTGATAACAATAAAGTTAAGTGTAAAAAGGAAGGTCACAAAAAAATGAAAGTCACACATTAAAAAGAACACAACATTTTTTTAAAAGTCCCCCGCCCCCACATACACAAGCAAACATGAGTTGGGTGTGCCTACGTGCGAAAATGACGATTGCGCTCATTACGCTGCACATGTTAGATATTACCGCGAACATCAGAGTGCAAGCAAAAGTTTTAGGGTCATCAAGCACTGTTAACACTAAACTGATGAGAGGTAAAAGCTTTTAAAGCATCGACTATGGCCAATTTTGGGTGTGGTAGTTTTTTTGTGATTTTGTGGGTGCGTGCAATTTTAAGACTTGACGTGTTTGGCCTCTATTTATCCGCTGTGACTCCATCTTTTTACCGAAAAATTGGGGTAAATAACAAATGTTTCATAACATAATAGGAAAAAAATTTTTTTTTCAAAATTGCCTTTACTTTTTTCTTTATCTAGTAAAAAAATTTTTACAAACCCAGTGGTAAACAAAATACACCAAAATAAAACTCTGTGTCCGCCAAAAATAATATAAAATTAATTTCAGTACGGCTTTGCATAACTGAATAAATGTCACTCAAATATTGCAGCGCTGAATACTGAAAAATGGCCTGGACAAATTCAGTTACTTACACACATTTAAAAAAATTGTAATGTATTAGATGTTATGATTAATGAATGAATACAGAGCTGAATTACTTTGTGTCTTTTATATCTGCCTGGAGTTCAGCTTTAAATGAAGCGCCTTAGAAACTATTTTGAACAAAATTTCATTTCCATAAATTTCCATATTTGTCTTTTTTTCAAAGGCAAGAACAAATCTGACGAGTTCGCCATATATCTTTAGAGTCCGGTACCCAGAGTATGGTAGTGATCGTCTAATTCTTAAACCCTTCTACTCCCCTACTAAGAGCTTCCTGAAACTCCACTCCTTGAACAGAGTCCTTGCATGTGAGGGGCAGCAGGAGGTGCAAGTGGAATATATCATTAAACACACAGAGCTGGAGACTGAAACTGACCACGTAGACCTCCATTATCTGGTGAGCACCTTGTTATATTATTGTAAATGAAAGGATATGTCCAACCAAACATATAACTGCATAGTTGAAGGAAATGGGTCGGACCTGTTTTATGTGCAAAAAGATTTGTGAATATATTAGAACATAGTCTTGTGATCCGCCTTCTCCTCCAAGAGTGAACACATAGCATTTTATTATTTGTGTCTTTATGCCCCTAATTAGTGTATTATCTCTTGAATGAATCACTCTTCCTTGTTTACAAATAACTTATTAACATATTTGCCTGCTTCAGTTGCAGTGAAATAACTGAGTATTTACTTAGCCCTGCTGGCTTGTATTATCATGGCTTTGTGTGGTCCTTGTTTGTTCGCTCACGTATTATGTTCCTTGGCCCATGTCCTCCGTTACAGCTAATAGGGCATCATGATGTAAAACATCTTTAATTGCATTGTAACAGCTCATTTTGTTTCATAGGTGACTTCTAAAGGCTCAATACAAGATTCCGGGTCTTTAGAAATTATAATTAAAAGTAATAATGAAGGTAAGCATTTTTTTTTGGGTGGAAGAGAATGGACAGGTAGCAGGTAACATGTACACCAGCAACTATGATGGATGTAAGAATATTTCTGTAATAGAGAATCATGTTTATGTTTATATATGTGTGTGTATATAGTGTTTGAACGACTATTTTTGAGGTATAGATAATAGCAACAACTGGTGGTGTGGGTGGTCACTGTGACGTACACCCGGCCCAAACCCGCTGTATATACACAGTTCTGAACCAAGCGTGGCGTCACAAGGACGTGGCGATACCACTCTCAGCCTCACCCTGCACAGGGATTTCCCAGCTCGCGGGACACAATCTCAGGCCAGCAGACAGAGTGATCATCACCAGGGTTGGTTAACTCCACAGTTAACCCTTTACCCACAAACATTCGCTGCCACCATGTGTTTTTTAACGGAAACACAGACCGTGCCCAGCAGGTGCTGTGACAAATTAAAACACTTAAACAATGCCTCTGATACTGCTGTCCTCTCAAACAGGAACATGACAGTCAAGAATATTTTCTTCAAACCTTCCTATTTCCCTTCGTTTCTCTTTGTCACGCACACAAACAGAGGTTGCACTGAAATACTAGGAGATAAAAACACAAATTAAAATCAGTGTCTAGATACATTTTGGTTATGCCATGCCTAATGTTACTTACGAAAGGTTAAAACAAATGACAAAGCCCAAAATTTGCATTTGTTGACATTTTTTGTTCAGCTCAACTTGTTAACTTCAAGTTCTATTTATCTTTTTCAGATCTATATGGCAAGACTACATTAAAGCTTCCACTAAGTGCAAGAACATCCTCCAAACTACAAGCACTTGTGTACATGATACTACCAAATGGAAACATTTTAGCTGACTCTGCAAACTATATAGTTCAGAGATGCTTCAAAAATAAAGTGAGTGGCCTGAGCATGAGCTATACTTGTTATATTGAATGATAACAGACTTTAAAGTAAACCTGTGGTCTCACCTTACTTTCCAAAATGACCCAAGGTCCATGGAACAGGTGCTTGTACCTGCTCACATACTTGAATTACCTTTTGAATGCCCCAAGATCCTTAAAACCTGGGGTGCACTTTTATGCAACGATTGAGTGCAGCTTCTATGTTTTTTTTGCCATATCTAAGTGCTACTTTTAATCTTTATGTTCATTACTTGGAGCAGAATATTTGCAGGTTGCATGAACAGCTGTGCCTGCTTCTGCTTCTTGTAGTCTTTGAAGAGTCCCTTCTTTCCTGTGCACATGGAAATATCCTCACTTGTGGTAGGTACCGGGCGGTAGAGTTAGTAAAATATATTTACTATGTGATACAAAAATATCAGTTTCCTCAATCTCTGCACAGCCTTGTTTTTGAAGCTGCATCCTGCCATGTACCCTTCAAACAATGTTTCCCACAGTTGGCATGGGCCAACTGTGGGGAACATCAGACATTTGCAACTTTTGTTGGAATGTTGATACAATTGAACAGCAATGTTTTAAATAAATATTACTATATGCACTTTTTTTTACTGAATAAAATAGCTGGATTATAACCCAGACATTGAAGAGATATAAACTTGTATGAATATTCACTTCAATTATACCATCATGTGAATAGCAGACTTCTGTTTATTTATTTCATCTGCACATGATTGGATAATTAAAGTGATTTTTTTTTGTTAGAACATTCTCAACTCCTGCTGTAAATTAGTCCAAAGATCTCTTCAAATAGAGAGCATATCTCTTCTCAAACAGTTGTCACCAGAAGAGGTTTTCCCATTGGAAGATTCCCCCTCACCTCTTATTCCTATGACAAATAAAAGAAAATTGGATTTCCCATACCCTTCTATACTGGAGACAATGGTTCCCTGGGGCCAACAGTGTTAGTGAATTTCTCTAGCAGGGCCAAAAATAACAAGAAGTTCCAACCCACATTCTATTCAAAACAAAAAGAAAAGGTTGGCTTTACATAACTTTAAATCAATATCTTTTTTTGTTGTTCCATGTCATTGTTTTATTTTAACTCTTTGCAGGTTTCAGTGGGCTTTTTACCAAATGAGGTCCTTCCAGGATCGGAAGTGTCTCTCCAGGTTCAGGCTGCTTCTGGTTCCCTCTGTGGTCTCAGGGTGGTGGATCAGAGTGTGGTCTTGATGAAACCAGAGAAGGAGCTGACTGCCGCCAAAGTGAGTGCTGTTCTAATTCAGCAGACAGTTATTACTGTACTGTGAAAATCTCCACACATAAACTGCCTACTTCTTTGCCTTTCACCAGTTGAAGTCTTTGGGCCTATGGTACAAACCCTTAAAAAAGGTCAACACATTATCTTGGTCATCCTCCATACATCTTGTTTCTCTTCCCCCACTGCCACTCTCTGCTGCCAAATTCCAGGACTTGCACTGTATCTCAGCAGTGACTGCAGCCACTGCTGTGCATAATAAAGCTTCTGAACAGTGTCCAAACAATGTTCAGAGGCTTCAAAGAGAACTATGGAGTAAGTGTTTTTCCCCATAGTTCTCTTTAGGGTCATGGGAGGACATATACTAACCTCCTCACGTGACCCAAAGCTCAGATATACTAAGAGCACCGCAGCCAGGTAGGATCCCAACAATACTGTTGAGATCCACCCAGCTGCGTGAGTGACAGCTGGCTCTGCCTATCTAGAGGCAGAGCCAGCTGTGCCCGCCCCCTCCCCGTTCGTTCCTCCACTCAGTGCTGTGGGATCGGAGAGGAGAGGGGGGAATCCCTGCGGGATTGACTAACAGTCACCAGGGAGACTGACTGCAGAGAGACGATCGGAAAGTGAGCGGGTCGGCGGCATGTTTCTGCTCACTTCCCGATTGATAGAGCTTCTTTGTCACAGGTCGGCTCTAACTATTAGGATGAGTGGAAATCACTCACCTCATAGTTCTCCTTTAACTGAGAAATACAATGTAACAACATTATTATTACATTGTATTTACGATGTTTTGTGTTTAAATAAAAGTGGTAACCTGAATGTGACCTGAAAATGGTGACTGACCATGTTGTCATTTAAAGCAACCTTACAAGTAATAAAATGAAATGTAACCCTAATTAGCATTGCTCCATTTATTTTTCTTCAATTTTTTTTATTTCTATTTTGTAACCATTAATATTTAATATTTAAAGTTTCCTTTTTTTTGTGTTGTATTAAAAAAAGTAACATTTGTAAACAACTTTGTAATGTTTTGTACCAGAAATATAATTTTAGTGTCATTGTAAATGGGACAAATTCTAGAATAATATGTATACTTTTTTTTAGGGATGCACCGATACCAAGTACCGTACTCGGTACAAGTACAATGCAGCCATGATCTTGACATTTTTAGAGTGGGGGGGCTTCTGAATACAAGTGATCAGTGCCACTGTAAAGCTGCCAATCACTTGTACCAGTCAGCATGTGCCCTGGCTCCCCCCCAACAACTGCACACTCCCCACTGCAGTTTCCTGGCTCTCTTGCTCCTCTGGGGGCCCCAAGACCCCTCAAATGCTGTAAGGATGGGGAACAGTAGCAAACCAAGGAACATTCATTTCCTGATCAGCTCTGTGATCCCTGAACTTTTTTTGGGGGGTGCGGGGGCACGGAAAAAAATCTTGCACCAGGGTCCTTTGTTCCCTAGGTCCGCTACTGAGTGTGGGAGTAGCCCCACTTAAGGGTTACTTTTCTTTCTGCCCAGAGCTTCTGTAAATAGTAAGATACATTTAAAAAAAATAATTTTCTTTTCTGTTTCTAGATTTCTCATCAACTGCTTTTTCCTTTAAGGTTTTTGATCTATTTCCATCCGGGCAAAGTGGGGAATATGACTATCGTGTCCAGGACGATCATAATCAATGCACTATTCTTCGAGGTCACAGAAGGCTGAATTTTGGGTGGCATATACGTCGACATGACAAGGAAGTGGATGTGCACAGCTTATTTGAGGTATGTATAAACTTTAAATGAATAATTCACTGTAAAAGGTTAAAGAATCCATAAAGTTTAACTGTACACTTACCCTTGCGGCCCACCTTCTTCCACAACCTGAAGTATCCCCAGATGTACAATTACCTGCATCCCATGGCTGCCATCTGCCCCAGTTGTCACATCCGTTGGCTGATAACTACTTTCTACTTGCTGTGCCCATGAAGTCAGAAGATCCCTTTAAGTTGAGACTCACAAAATAAAATGAGCATCTATTGTGGATAAAGAGAGAGAATGATATAAAAAAAGAGGCCCGGTACTCTAGCCAATACAATAATGTGTGATACATTAATCCAGATGTGGTATCTTTGTTGCTTAAGGTGAGATTAACAACTGATGTTGTTTGTGTACTCCAAGTTGCCTTGTTTATATTCACTCCTTTGGCTCACGATTCTCCTTGAAAAAGCCGGGAATACCAGCAAAACGTCAGGGTTGAAGAGATAATTTGTATGCCACCATAACCTTATCACCTAACCACTTTATGCCTGGAGGCAGCAGTAGACATAAGGAAGCTTTTGCCAGCCTAGTTACCAGCCGTACATTTGTGTCCATTATACAGTCATCTCATATAAGGTTATTTATACATTGCCGTAATGTTCTTAATGAGCTTAGGACCAGTAACAGAGTTGATCATGTCAGATGGGTGTTACTTTGTATTCTGACTCCGATTGTTGTATTAGCGTTGTAACCCTTGCTGAGACCTCTATTCCTGGCCTGTATAAGCAGATACAATCACTGCGGACAATCCTTATCAGATAGCTGAACTCACCAAATAACTTTTTCATCCACGAAGGTATATTCTGTACATCAGGTTATAGCGGACAACAGGATACAGCAGATAAATGAATTGGCGTTATTTAACTACCTCCGGGCCGGCCGCAGTAAAAAAACGGCCGGCCAGGAGCTCTCTCGATCTGAGCGGGCGTCTCTAGACGTCCGCTCAGACACGCCCCCTTGCGGGAAATGGCCGGAATTAAAAAACGGGCAGCGATGCCCGTTAATATACATGCGATCCGCCGGCTGTAGAGCCGGCCGATCGCATGTATGGGGTGCCGATCGGGTGTGTCCCCCCCCTCCGCGGTCCCCCCCCGCTGTTGTCCCGCTGATCCCGGGCTCCGCTGTGCCCGGTGCGAGCCCGGGATCAGCAAATGGTATAAAATTCATCTCAGTACAGCATTGCATGACGGAATAAACGTCAGTCAAAATATCGCAGCGCTGAATACTGAAAAATGGCCTGGCCAGGAAGGGGGTCTAAACACCTGGTCTTGAAGTGGTTAAGGCGGTCAAAGATGATAATGTTTCCAAGCATGCAATGCAGATTAACATGTGGCCCCGTTACAAGCAGCCATGACACAGGAAATGACTATTGAAGGAGAAGTGTGGGGCATCACACACAATGGAAAATGCATCATAGATGTGAGGGAAGGGAACACAGAAAACATGTGCAATAACCAAAATGACCACTAGATGGCAGTATATGAGCTTAGCCATGCAATATCAATGAGAAAATGGCTTAAGGAAAATAAACTATATAAATTCTCTTTAAACATTAATGTGAATATTGACTGTGGCTGTGAATAAAACGTTTGTGGCTGCACACCTTGGGCACTAGAGTTTGTGTGCCTTGCAGTGATGAAAATCCAACCCTACTTAAACCCCTGACCTAACCCTGAAATAAAACTTAAAACTCACTATAAGGGTGATATTTATCTTTACAACCATTATTTGTACTTGTTGGTCCCAAAATGACAGAACCAACAAATTATCAGGGTTATTCACTAAAGGGTGGAGAAGGCAGGAGAAGTGAACAATCTAGGACAACAAAGCTGAACTGGAAAGTGAGCTGAATTGGAGAATGTTTTCAAATTAGCTATTTTGTCCTAGATTGTTCCCTTCTCCTGCCTTCTCCAAACTCTTCACCCTTTTGTGAATAATCCTGTACATGTTCTCTAAGACCCCTAAACAGCATCAAAAAATACCTAGACATTAGGCGATTACCTGATCCTACTGGTTACCTTAAGACTAGGATGCCTACAGGCACCTTTAGACTAACTCATACTATTGCTCCCTTGTGATAAGGGCAGCATTGGAGATGCCTACTCTGCAAATAGATATGTTCACTTGTGTGAGGGTCCTATACTGTGAGGGTCCTGTCACATACCTGGCTGGAGACTGAGTTGACAAGGGGGCTGCCCATGCACCTCTTGTCCCACACCTCTGGAGGTGGCGACAGGGGATGTAAGGACATGGAGTATCACAGATGCCGGTAATGATAACTGAATGAAGTCTGTGCCGGTGCTTGAGAGCATGGATCCGGTGATCAGGTTTGTAGGATCAGGATGACCATGGAAACCTCTGGGAGCTGGAGTCAAGGAATGATGAGTTGTAGATGAACATGAACCAGCTATAAAGATACCAGACTGCAGAGGGTACCAAGCACCATGAAGATAGCCACGAGCGAAGTCAGAACCAGCAGCTGAGGTCATACACAGGTAAGCAGAATCTTTAGCAGTACAGGAACGATGATCAGGAGCGGAGTCAAGGATCATAAGCCAGGGTCATACATTAAATAGGCAGAATATTGAGGTACCAGACCAGGAGGCAGAGGTGTAGTCAAATGGTCACAAGCCGGGATCGTATACAAGGAAGCAAATATAGAGGATCAGGCTCAAGAAACACAGGGACAAGCTGACAACCACTCAGCAAATGGCTCCATGCTTGTGACTTGTTTAAATAGAATGTTCCATGCGTTATTTGCATGATTATGCCCCAATGCACCATGCCCATTACTATTTGCATGGGAATGCATGCACATGTGTGTGTGCATCTTTGAGGCAAAACTGCTTTGTGGGTAAGTTTTTCACATCTATATGCTAATGCATGTTTGTCCGGAACTGCGTGGATGTGCGCATTCGTTTTTGAGCCAGGGCTGGTTTACGGGTAAGCCTCTTACCCTACCTCGTGGAGATTACAGAGGCATAGGTGATGGCTACAGATTAAAGCTAAAGTTAAATCTGATTATAATCTGCCTTCCCTGGGCCCCCCCTCCCCCTTACCCCCTAATTCCATAAACAATAAAATGTTTAAATAAAATATTTCAGTTTTCATTGCATACCCTACTTTAGACCTAGCGATGTCATTACTATCTTTGCACCTTTCTGCAGTACAGGCAGGGGTGGCAGGGACCAGAACCCTTTACATACTGTAGCTTCCTGAAAACATCACAGCACCCTGCCTCAGTACTTCTTTAGGAGCCCTCAGCCCTGATGCAAGCAGCGGGCTTGCTCTCTGGATGACTTATGCAAATATCTAAATGCTTTGATGGGTGTATGTCAGTCTGGAGAAGTGGGTGTTCCTTGGCAGGCTGCATTTACATGCAGACCACCCAAGGTAACACCTACATGCAGGGGCGTATCTGCCGCAAGGCAGCAGAGTTCAGGGGGGCAGCAAAAATGCGGTCCCCAAAACAATCCGGCAGCCGGGAGGAGGAGGCGGCCACGTCAAAGGACGGAGTCTGCAAGGAGGCAGAGGAAGCGACAAGGAGGCAGCGATGGAGGAGGTGGAAGAGGAGACGGGGCAGCAGGAAGGGGTGGGGGCCGGGGCAGGGCGCCGTCGCGCCGTAGGTAGCTGGTGCATGCTTGACAGTACACCGGGTCACCGAAGAGCCAGCGGGCTGCGGAGGAGGCCAGGTCCTGCAGCACCAGTCCAGCAGTGGAGGAGGCCGGGGACCTAGCAGCTGGTAGGATGGTCACACTGCTGCTAAAGGGACCCTGCAGAGCCCAGCATGATTCTGCACAGCCCACCTGAAAGTCTCAGGTGGGCTGTACAGGATCTTTGGTGGGGTCTATGTTGGGCAGAGCCCACCACACATCCTGCACCGGTCTGCAGGGTCTCAGGGGGGGGGGGGTGCATTATCTGTGGTGGGCTCTGCAGCGTCTCGGGGGGGCTTTGCAGGATCTGTGGTGGGCTCTATGGCAGATCCTGCACAGCACCCCTGAGATCCGGCAGATTTAGGGGTGGGTGCCCTAGTTTTGTCTTGCCTAGGGCGGCCCCAAACCAGAATACACCACTGCCTACATGTGATACTGAGCCTCCATGATTGAGAAAACTGAAATCCAGTAAATCAAAGTGGCATGCCAAGGACGGTAAGGCTGGGGAGGGAAAAGGCTAGATAATGCTGGATATCCTCCAGCCAGGAAATGCGGTAGGCTCTATCTGACTTGCAGCCGCTTGTAATGCACACTATGAGAATTTTACAGTGTGCAATGAAATTAGACTAAGCAATTTCAGTACAGGAGAGGAGCCGGTACAACTGTGCAAGACTGATGAGAAGGCTGGACTTCGACTTTAGGGAGGAAATGCCGGATATGAACACCTTTGAGGAGAAGTATTGGGAGAGTAACTATCATCAGTAATGGTGCAGACGAGTATAGGAAATTCTATACGAACTGAGATGATATGCGAACAGCATCTGCCTTCCTATACACTGGGCAGGGCCGAATTTCCCACAAGGCCACCGAGGCCTAGCCTCGGGGCGGCAGGAGTAAAGGCAAGACACAGCCGCAGGGTGAGTTGTTTTTTTTTTCTACATATAGCCCTGCTTTGGGCAGGGTCTGTTGTCGTCCACCTGCCTCCCCCTCCATGGTCCACCCCCATCGCCTGCTGTCTCCGTCTCCGTTGGCTGCCTCCCTGCCATGGTTTTTGAGGTCCCCTACTCTTCTGGGGGACCCAGGACAAAGGCAAAGTAGTTCAAGATGGAGAGCTCTGCACCGTGTGAACACTGAGACAGGAACCCTGTACTCGCAGCCTTCCCATGTCACTATAAATGTTCAATTAAAAGAACCCGTCACCTCCAAATGCTATCACACAGGGGATTGTTAGTTCCTGTGTGATAGCAATAAAGTTAAGTGAAAAAAATAAAATAAAAATGTAAAAAATTTAAATTGATAAAAAGTAAAACATAATAAAAAAATAAAAATTTCCAAAAATTATAAGAAATCATAATTAAAATAAAACAATAAAAAAAGTGTTAAAAAAGGAACAAAAAAATCAATAAAAAAATTATACAAAATGTAAAAAGGGGGGGGGGGGGGGGGGGGGGGGGGGGGCTGTGGCGGGGGTTGGTAGGGAGGGGGGCACTGACGCTGGATGGATCTTTTTTAAATTAACTCTTCTGTGTTTGAGGCAAAAGATTGTTTGGTAATATGATAGACTTCTCTAGGAGCACTTGATGCATTTGAAGTTGCTGAATAATCTGATAGAGCACAAAGTAGCATTCCAAGGTAAATATTAACACAGGAGATGCCTTTTATGCAAGATTGACCAATGGTAACATCCAAATATAATTTACAGGGTTATTCACTAAAGGGTGAAGAGTTTGGAGAAGGCAGGAGAAGTGAACAATCCAGGATAACATAGCTGAATTGGAAAGTGAGCTGAATTAGAGAATGTTTCCAAATCAGCTGTGTTAGATTGTCCTAGATTGTCCCTAATAATACAAAAATAATAAAAATAAAAAAGGTGTTAAAAAAGTTTTAAAAAATCAATTAAAAATTCTACAAAATAAAAAAAGTAAAATAAAACAAGATAAAAAAAAATGTAAAAGAGTTTAAAAAAAATAAAACAAATAAAAAAGTAAAAAAAAAAATGAAAACCAACCCAGGCACCGCCACCATCTGGTTGCCATTCTTCATTCTCCATGGGGCGGGCGGTGTAGGGAGGTGGGCATTGACGTTGGGTGGAACTTTTATAAATTAATTATTATGTGTTTGAGGCAAAAGGTTGTTTGGTAATATGGTAGACTTCTCTAGGAGCACTTGATGCATTTGAAGTTGCTGAATAGTCTAATAAATAGCATTCCAAAGTAAATATTAACACAGGAGATATCTTTTATGCAAGAGTGGCCATTGGTAACATCCAAATATCATTTCCAGGGTTATTCACAAAAGGAATTACCCTGTTAACAGCTTTAGGTGAGTTTTCTCAATACACATGTCATAGACCGTAAGATGCTATCCATAATTTCATAGCTTTCAGATATTGTCCATAATTCAGAATGATTGGCACAAATCTTGTTTTCCTAATGAAATCTCATTGCTTTTTTCTTTTTATAATCTACAGGGGATAAACCTAAAAATAGTAACAAGTGCAGATATCAAGAAAGCTGTGGACTGCCATATGAGCTTTCCAAGTTATCGTGCCCGCGGTCCAGTACGTGGATCCCCAATTTTAAAAACAATGGGTATGTGACATTAATGATTTCTGATTAATCACAATGTGGATCAGGAGAATGGAGTGTAGCCTTTATTTTTATTTTTTTTATTCATAAATCAGCAACCATGTCTTCCAATAGAATAGGCAGCTTCAGACATAAGCAGGCTGAAACAAATCTCAATAAACTTCCTTACCAAAAGGTCGTAAAAATCTCTAGCAGTATCATAAATTCTGTGAATGCATAGCCCATTGCTCCTAGTGTTCTCAAACTAAATTTCCAACTATGTGTAGAAAGTGTCTAAACCAGGAAACTCGGCACTCCAGCTGCGCTTTAACTACAAACCAAACATGCCTCTGCCTCTAGGAGTAATGCGTGTAACTGTCAATCTTGCAATGCCTCATGTGGCTTTTACTTCCACAACAGTTGGAGGGCCGGAGTTGCCCACCCCTGATCTAAACCATCAGAGAACAATGATCACAAATGATTGAAACTGTAACAATCATAATCTGCTGTAACCATATATACAAGTGCAAATCGAACTGTGCATGTCATAAAAGAAAGAGCCCTCTCTAAAAAAAAAAGGGTTAATTTGAAAAAAATTCCTCTTTAACCGCTTCAGGACCACCCTCTATATATAAAAAATCCTGCTCCTGAAGCAGTTATGCCAAGAACACAGCTGCTGCTGCATGGTATCACTGTACTCCTACTTCCCATCCCTCAGCTCTCCTGATAGGGGAGGATTGGTAGTTATGTACTCCAGAGGATCCACAAAAAGCTGCTGCAGTTGGCAGCGGACAGCTCTCCATTTTTCTTTGAAAGTATGTAAATAATAAGGTGTGTATTCATAAAAAAAATTGCGAAACTGCATGTACCTTTGTCTTGTGTGAATGGGGGCAAAAACAAACATTATTATATTTTCTTTCTGAATGTAACATCAGGCAAATACCTCATTATGGCCACAGTGTAGGTTGTAAAGCTAAGAAAAAGACCTCGGTACCATGGATACAACTAACACTTTGCTTTCACATACGTTATATAATGTCTGGTCAAGTGTGGCCCAAAACACAAATAATCACCTAGAATAATGGGCTGTAGGGAAGGAAAGTTTCCTGTGGGTTGCTTTGGGTATGTCTAGCCAAACATTTTATCCAGAACCCTCAAAATATTATGTGTATGCATGTGTACCTATGTACTTATTAACCTATTTGACTTGATCTGCAGCTATTCCAGTATTAACTAATGGGGGAAGAAAGCTATCCAGGCCTGTGGAGGAAGAGGAAGAACAAGAGCCAGAAAGAGAGATAAAAAAAGAGAAAGAAATAGAGCCCATTCGAACGTATTTCCCTGAGACCTGGATATGGGAACTTATAGCAGTAGGGTGAGTGTCAATTTTCTTCTATGGTGACCTGACTCTCTTTGTGCTGCTCGATCCCGCGGTGATGTTGCAAGACTAAAAGATTCAGATAACACCCGTGCATACGTTATCACCCAACCATTTAGAATAATGATTGGCTTCTCTACTTGCTTTGTGAAACTATACTAAAAGGAAAGTTCATTTTTACACAGGGTTTAAAATTGAAGCATTGTTTAATACAAAATCATATAACAACATATTTTATATTTTGAAGGTGTTAAAATCAACCATATGAGAACATTTGTCATTTTACATCTCTCTATGTGATATAGGAGTAGCAAATATGCAACTCAAATTGTCTGAGAGTCTTACAAACGCACTTGTAGAATTTTACATAATACTATAAAGCTCTGTGTTGTAATATTGAAAAAAAATGCAGAAATTTGATTACAAATATCTCCTAAATAGGATAAACAATGCAGTAAACAGCATACACTAATATACTTGCTACCCTATTTAATAAAATTGTATTATGCTTTATTCGGGAGTGTTTTTTTTAAATGAACATACTCAGGACCCATTGCAAATAAATGGGCCCTTGTAAGTCAATGCACATCCATGAGTCTTATGCACAATAAAGCGAACACAAGTGTGATTGGGCCCTAACTGCCTGAATTTCCATTGAGCGGATTTTCCTGTCAGATTTAAAGCCCAAGTCAACTTTTAGTTGAAATAATCTAAATAAACTCCAGGTGCAATTAAAACAAACATCTTGCAATTCTTAGTCAAGACCTTGAGTAGAAAAGCCTGTCCTCTGCTGGAGAGAACTCTCTACGTGAAAGTAGTGGTCCCTATGCAGAGGTCCAACATCCCCCCCTACTCCCCCCGGTGCAGTCAGACATGCAATATGCAAAGACTTTTCATAATTGCCTGTGAGCTCTGGCTGCTTTCAAAAGAAAATGAAGACTTTGTAAGACTTTGCACACCTTTTGTTAGAGGACTATTATCTTTATTGTAGGGCTGGTAATGATTAAAATTTTCGTGTTCGATTAATCAAATTTTTTTCATCGATTAATTTCAATTTATAATAACCCACATACAGATCCAACTACATTGGCCTATACAGCACAGCAATGAACTAATAAAATGAACTAGGATCACACTAATCAAGCAGGTTATTAATCTCACGCGCCCCACTCAATATGGTCGCCGCTTGAGTGGGGAAACCCAGAATAATAACGTGCTGGATTAGTGTGATCCTAGTTCATTTTATTACTTAATTGCTGTACTGTATGTGTATAGGCCAATGCCTTGGCTGGCACTCGTGCAGAAAGTTTCTTGGGCAAACTCACCGGCCCAAGTGGCTCCGTTGGCTAACGAAGGGGGGAGGAGTCCGGTGACGTCGATGTCAGTGACGTCACCGGATCGCCGACGGGACTCCCGGAAGCCGGCGGAGAGGTGAGTGTTTTCATTAGCAATCAAAATAATTTTAATCGATCAAAAAGTTTAATGATTAATCGAGAAATTAATCTTTAATTTCCACAGCCCTACTTTATTGGGGAGCTAAGGGGCCCCTTGCAGCCAATCTATTTTCTTGATTTTTTTCCCCCCAGTGATTGAAAGATGGAGTCAGGCTACTATAAGTAACTGTTTTACTTTTTCTCCAGCTTTCACTGCGTTGGAAGTATAGCGATCTGTTCCTTTCTATTCTTTGTCTTCTCCAGAGACTCTGGCAGTGCCAACCTCCATCACAAGGCTCCAGACACCATCACAGACTGGAATGCCGGGGCTGTATGTTTGGGTCAGAGTGGATTAGGCCTGTCTCCTCCTGCCTCTCTTCGGGTCTTCCAGCCGTTCTTTGTGGATCTCGCCCTCCCGTATTCTGTAGTGAGAGGAGAAACTTTTATCCTTAAAGCCTCTGTATTTAACTACCTCAAACAGTGTATCAAGGTTAGTCCAATTAAAATAATGTGAATGTTTTACATCTAATCAGTCACAGACTAGTTTCATTAATACCATGCTTACACAGATTTCCTATTGCAAATGCTAATCTAAAGAGCAATTTACAAAGCTTTCAGCAAGCTTCAAAAAGATTTCCTGAAGCCCTGAAATGGTTCTAAAGATTCCACAGATTTGTGGTCGGCTTTACACCTATATGCATTGCGGTAATGCATTGTGGTGTGTTGGCGGCCCATTAAAATAAATGGGCTTTCTTAACGCACAACATAACACACCAGACTTCACTGATGTGAATGGGGCTTTAAAACCCACACTGGTTGACAATGTTTAGGCTGGAATCACACCCTTGCTTTTTTTGTCTGATGTATTTTCTAATTAAATCAATAGAGTCACATCAGAAAGTGTGCCATTGTACCTTGTAACACACTCGAACGCATGTTGGCACTCATCAGTAGTGATGAGCCGAACACCCCCGTGTTCGGTTCTAACTCGAACTTTCGAACATGGAAAAAGTTCTAACTCGAACTTAGAACTCAATGCAAGTCTATGGGGGTAGAACTCAGAAATTTAAATTCCCCATTTTGAAGCCTTATATGCAATTTATTGGCCATAAAAAGTGTATAGGGATCCAGTGATTTAACATCACTTAAAATGAAACATTTAAAATTAAAAATGCCTTTAAATATGGTGCCTGGGGGGTCCCCATCCTTACTCATCAGCATGCATCATGATTCATGTCAATGCGCATTAAGGCACATTGAAGTATGTTATAATGTACATTTACATGGAATGCAATTGCAAAAACACATGATGACACACAACTTATTTGCCAAGTTAAATCATTTTAATATTGTTTTTTTTTTTATGTATTTGGTGTTAATAAATTCCCTGCATGTATTTTTATTATAAGCTGATGAATGGATTATAATGTTTGATAGGGAACTCCAGATAAAACAATTATATACACAGATGAAACACATATATGAAAGCTGTTTTACCTGTCAAAAGATTTGTATTTCTATGTAGTTCTGAGATTTAGAGAGATAAACCAAATTCCAGAACTTCCTGAAAACCCAAAAATGTAATTAAAGGAGAACTATGAGGTGAGTGATTTTCACTCAGCCTCATAGTTCGAGCCGACGTGTGACAATGAAACTGTCACACGTCGGCTCAATAGATCGGGAAGTGACCGAACACATACCGTTGCTCGCTCACTTCTTGATCAAGACTGCCTTTAGGCGATCCCTTAAGACTCATCTCTTCAGGGAAGCCTATCCCACCACAACCTAACCGCTCAATCATCACATTCTCAGACAATTCATCCCCACACAGCTACCTCCTCATGTATCACTTCCCCCTCCCTTTTAGATTGTAAGCCCTCAGGGGCAGGGCCCTCCTTACCATCTTGTCTTGAATTGTATTGTGATTGTAAAGTCTTCCTTATATTGTAAAGCGCTGCACTAACTGTTGGCGCTATATAAATCCTGTATAATAATAACATTCTCCCTGCAGAGAGCCGTGACTGTCACTCACGGCTCCCTGCAGGGATTCCCCCCCCTCACCGCTCCAATCCTCCAGCACTGACTGGCAGAACAGACAGGGGAGGGGGCGGGTACAGCTGGGTCTGCCTTTAGATAGGCAGAGCCAGCTGTCACTCACGCAGCTGGGTGGATCTCGACAGTAATGTCGGGATCTGTCCCGACTGCAGCGGTCTCAGTATACCGCGAGCTGTAGCTCGCAATATACTGAGCTTTGGGTCACGGGAGGACACTAGTTTATGTCCTCCCGTGACCCTTAGAAGAACTATGGGGAAAAACACTTACCCCCATAGTTCTCCTTTAAGTTGTAAGTGCCAACATCCAAGGAACAAATATCAATTCTGTAACATGAAATGGGACTTTAAATTCTGGTACAGCCAACCATACAAACACTCAAATATCAAAAAACAGACTTATATAAAATATAACGTTTATTTTATACAAAGAAAAAGTTGATAAAAGCATAGTATACAAAGATAATGGAGTGAATCAACTTCCTAATGTTAGAAATATGTGATCATGCATACATCATTATCATTACATAGACCACCCATACTTCCAACTAATGCATAGTAGCAGGCCAGTAACAACTTACTTTTATGCGGGTTTACATGTTTTTTGCAGTAAGTTTAACTTGTTCAGGTGAACTGTCACCAGATAAACTTTATTTTGTAGGTTTTATCAGATGGTGGCCTTGGATCTTAACATGTATATCATATATGACTTAAAACTGGGAAACCAAAACTCTTCCCCATCCAATTATGTAGCACTTCTACATGTAGGTGTTCCCCAAAACCACCACCACTACACACCATAGGGATTTTAGAATACAGCCAGGAATGTATGCAACAGGACTGAGCATGAAGCTATGTGGTCCATCCAGGTCCTCAGAGTCTCCCTCAGACAAGGCTGGACCGTGGAGTCTCCTTTTTGGCTACGTAGTTCAGTCATAAGACACGGTTCCGCAGGTCCCAGCTCATTTTTCTGCGGGTCTACATGTTTTGCGGAGCAGGTCTGCTTCTTCAGGAGACAACAATGAGCTAATTTGAAGATGGGCAAATGCTGCGTTACCAATGTAATTTCAAAAATGTCAATATAAAATCAAGTGTACACATTGGTGATTACACTAGTAAGTTAAACCTACCTACTGTAAAATCATCAATGTGTACACTTGATTTTACAGTAGTTTTTTAAAATATGTCTTGTGTTTACAGATTGAAGTCAATCTGGGGCCCACAAAGGAGTTAGAGCAGACACCTTGTACAGACTGTACATACAGCAGCTGCCTGTGCGCCGATGAGAGCAAAACGTTTTACTGGAACCTGAAAGCCACCAATCTGGGTGAGAAGGGACTTTCTGATTCAAAAATAAATATTTTTTGTTTTACCAGTATTTTTGATTAGTAAGCAAACTTAAGTAATTACATAAAGTTACTATTGACATTAATCTACCTACACATTCTACCAATGAGCAGGAAACGGTAGGGCAAATTTATCGAGAGGGAAATTCATTTTTTTTTTTATCTGATTTTGTCAAAATTTCAAAACGTATAAAAAATGTGTACAATAATAATTACCATATTAATAATGCTATTTTCAGGACCAGAATGATACTTTCTGCCTCGCCACTGGGCAAGACTTGTGCCACCACTTTACCACCCCAGTTGACTGGCTAGCCTTGGTATAACACTAGCACGGTTAGGTGTCATAGCCAGACAAAGTACATTGAAGCTGAGGACGAGACTGACAAAGACAGTTTGCCCATTCGGCATCAATACACCTAGAACAAACAGCTGGAAAATGAGGGGAAACTTTTTGTACTCTGCAAGGAGTTTCTGGGTGTAGGAACCCAAAATGCGTGAGCTAGAAGTACAATGTACAACATTCCATCAACACAAATAGCAGGAACAGCCACAGTGAGTTTCTAGCTCACTTCTACTGGCAGACAGCAGAAATCCAAAACACTTTTATTATTATTATTATTATTTTTTTTTGGGGGGGGGGGTGATTTTGTTCGCAAATGATGTGTGGGTGACTGTGTGCAATCCCTGTCAGCCTTTCCTCTCTAGAACTGAGCCTATATTGCTTATATGCAGAAATTCAGACTTGCCATTTTTGCTGACCTTTGAATATAGATAAATGTTACTTTGCTGTTCATTGTTCAATACATTCCAAGCTATTTATGAAGAAGATTTACAGTATACAATATATACCTTTGATGTACGATAATAAAAACATTTCCCTGACAAATGTCTCCTCTTTAGAAAGGTTAAAAGTCAAGAATCCTATAATGTTTATAAATAAAAAATAAATTATAACCGTTTTTTTCATGTTTTGAACTGGTAGAAATATCTTTAAGACCCCTTATCAGTCTAACATGAAATCCCTAAAACATTGTGAATTAAAAGACTACATCTTGTAAATCTGCAGCTTTGAACATGCTGGTTTTCATACTGGCTTATTCCCTGTTAATTATTTTTTTTACTCTGTTGAAAATTCACTTTGATAGGTTAAACTTATGCCTTTGAGAAATCACCCCCCCAAAAAACCAGGGCTTGACATACCATGATACTGCTATCGGGAAGCAGATGAGTAGGGGGTGAACATTGTCAGGCTACAAGAATGCAGGTAGCAATAGAATTTGGCCTAATATTCTTATAATAGAACACTGTTGTAATATATAGTTGGGAAGGTCTATACAATTGCTATAAATACATCATTATGAACCAATTTTATAATTTGTATCAATAATAATACTAAATACAGGAGAAAAAAAAATTATGATGAACCAGTTTTATCATTTTGTATCAAGAATAATACTACATACAGGAGAAAAATAAATTGTATTAAAATCCATGCTCATTAAAAGTGAACATTTACTAGCTATATTATTATATGTGATGAGAACTTCATCTCCTCTCAGGAGAAGTAAACATCACAGTGCGAACTGAGGCTGTGAAGACTGAAGAGTTGTGCCAGAATGATATACCGATTGTTCCCCTACAAGGAGCCACCGATACCATTGTGAAACCCTTACTTGTAAAGGTCAGTGACTGGAAATGGAGCAATGTTACAGATACATAATAGTATGTTCCAGTTGATCCAAAATAATCAACTATTCATAGGGTAGGAACTAGGCAGAGAAGAATCACTTTTGACACACCTTGATTCTGTCCTGCAATATATGAAAAACAAAATTCCCTATTTTTAAAGCAAATTTTCTAAAGGTGTGCTATGGTGTATAACATTCTAACACGTCAGAGAATATTAGTTTTATATATAAGGCCCCGTTCACTTTGTGTTCTTACATTCTGATCTCTATGTCTTATTTATTTCTCCAAACAGCCTGGAGGAGTCCTGGTGGAGAAATCACACAGTTCTCTTCTCTGCATCCAGGAGGGAGAAGGTGAGGAGACAATTATGTAAAATAGAGAGAGACTAACCTTACACTTTGTTGTGTTTTTACCTCCTAAATAAACTCTTACCAAAGAGTATCCTTGATAGTTCCTACAATGATGCATACTGTAGGTATGTGCTTGACACACTGAAGCCTCATATATGTCAGGGTGGATCAGACATTCCTAACTGCTGCAGCATGTCAGGAAAAAAAAGTTGGGGCTTTGTAGGAAGGGGCGGGGACTAAGGTTAACTCCAGACAGGTGAAGTACCACCTAGTCTTAATCTACTATTTCAACTCATAGTGGACATAGTCAGTGGTAAAACCTTACAGAGGTTCTAACCACTATAGGCCAAAAGTATAAACAATTGGCATCAATTTCATCTAAATTTGTATGATTCATTTTGTTGTAATACATGAAATGCTCTATGTATATGCACAGTGTGATTTTTTTTTTCTTTGATCCTTTAATTTTCAGATAACACTAAGACAGACGAGGTCTTCCTAAAGGTCCCTAAGAACATTCTGAATGACTCTGAGAGAGCTCATGTGACTGTGTTGGGTGAGATAAAGCACTTCACTTATCAGCAACAAACTGAGCATTTTAGAAGTGTTGTACCACAATCTGGAGACTTCTGGCATTGACTATCATGGTTATTCATAAAAGGGTGTAGAGTTTGGAGGACAAAATAGCTGATTTGGAAAAATTCTCAAAGCTGACTTTCCAGTTCAGCTATGTTGTCCAAGATTCTTCACTTCTCCATCCTTCTCCAAACTCTTCACCCTTTTGCCTGTAAATCTTTTGCCGTATTGTAAATTTTTCAGCTAATCTTAAAATATGTTAGTGATCCTGATAAAAGCTTAATGTGAAAAGTAACTGCAGAAAATCCATTGTCATGTCTAGGATTCTTAAATGGAAAAGTCACAATTACATTATGTACATCAAGTTTTTAGCCTAGACTTTAGGAATGTGCTCGACGGCTCGTGTAGATGTTTATTTACTATCTTCTGTTCTACTTTTTTTTACTCTACAGGAGATATAATGGGAACAGCATTGCAGAACCCGGACCGTCTCTTGGCCATGCCATATGGGTGTGGAGAGCAGAACATGGTCCTCTTTGCTCCCAACATATTTATTCTGCAGTATCTGGAGAAAACTCATCAGCTGACAGATGAGATCAAGAGCAAAGCCACCAAGTTCCTGGAGAGCGGTGAGACTTAGTAAACAAAGGTCCTCTTTTTTTTCTAATCTGAGTTCCTCAGTCTGAAATACCTAGTAGTGGAAACATTTGCAATACTTGGCATGTAATCATACCATAAAGCGGATGATAAGGTCAAATTGAATAAATCTGTGGTGACGTATATTTTCCAAAGGTAACGTATCTTAAAACCAGCATGCTCAACCACCATGCTGGCAACTATATTAATAAGAATACTTTAGCAACATATAAGTGCCTTGCCATGCAGAATGGTATACTTGAAAGTAGCATGTTTTTCTCTAGTAATTCTGTATGTGATAATAGATTTACTCTTGGATCAACCATTATTGGAAGGAATAATGTAATCTGAAACCATTTGGTAAGACACCATTGTGTTGAGAACCTCTTTGCTATGCGAGGCTTACTCATAAACCTTGGCATAGCAAAATGTGAAAACAATGCCCTCAGAAAACACCTGAGCTCAAGACATTTTCATAGTATACATTAGCAAAATAAAAGTTACCTTATGACTTTTTTCTGTTAGCAGCACAGACACTTCTACTTTCCAGCATTCTTAAAACTAGCTAAAGTGTGTTACTACCTGGCCCTTAGTGTGTTAAATTATTAGAAATCTACAAATATGGTAATATTTGTACTCTCTTGATGCTTGCATACTTAATGCTCTTTTTTAATATTGATGGCGGTGCAGATCTTATTATATACATATTTATAATAAAACTTTTTGCATGTAAAGTATACAATATGTTTGTGCTTTTTGTTTAGGATATCAGCGACAGTTGACATACAAACGGGATGATGGGTCATACAGTGCCTTTGGAAAGAGTGATCCCCAGGGTAACACATGGTAAATGAAATTATCTAAATAAATGTGTTTGAGTTGGGATGCACCGATACTGATACTAGTATCGGTGCCGATACCGAATATTTGGGCAAGTACTCGTACTCTCCCAAATGCTCCACTGCCTAGACCGATACTTCTGGTATCAGGAAGCTTGGCAGTATGTCATTACACCCCCCCCCCCCGGCTTTCTGATTGGCCAGAAAGCCAGCTTCATGCTCCCTCGTCACCTGATGACGAGGGAGCATGGAGCTAGCCCTCCCGCCATTCAGGAAGGCGGGCGCCGTGTAATGATGCATTGCCCGGCTTCCTGATTGGCCAGATTCTTGACCAATCAGGAAGCCGGGCAACACGTCATTACACGCCGCCCGGCTTCCTGATTAGCCAGAAAGCTGGCTGCACGCTCCTTCGTCACCAGGTGATGAAGGAGCATGGAGTCGGCATACCTGCTAATCAGGAAGCCGGTCTGCGAGTCTTTGTTTGCAGTGCCAGCAGAGTGTCGGTTTACGTTTATGCTAAAACACATTTCGTAAGACCATGCAGTAAACAACGCCCAACTCACTCAGGACAGCTCTATAGCATAATAGTTTATGGTTCCAGGTCAAAGAGAATACATTAAAAAAATTATCCAGAATACCACAAAAATATTGAACTTCAAGAGGTTGAGAAATAGGTACAGTATACGTTAAGTACACAGGCAAAACCTTTTACCTTTATGCAAACAATAAAGAAGTACAGTGCTAAAGCTAAGCTCCAGATGGATATAAAAGGCACAAAACAATGGAGCCCTGTATTCATTAGTCAATCATTAATTATTATTATTTTTTTTAAATGCAAGTAATGTAAATACCTGAATTAGTTATTGGCATCTTGTAGTCCCTGTACTGCAGAAGTCAGACTGGCAGAATGAGAAACAGAGCAAGGAGCCAGTCAGCTGTGCTGCAGCGCTCACTCCTCACCAATGAAACCGCAAAATTACTCATCCACTCACTTGTTATATCTCGTCTTGACTATTGCAACTCCCTCCTCATTGGCCTTCCACTACACAGGCTATCCCTCCTTTAGCCTATCATGAATGCAGCTGCTAGACTGATTCACCTAACCAACCGCTCAGTGACTGCAACCCCCCGCTGTCAATCCCTACACTGGCTTCCAATAGCCCAAAGGATAAAATTCAAAATATTAACAGCCACTTATAAAGCCATCCACAACTCTGCCCCTGGCTATATCTCAAAGTATCACCCTAACTGTCCCCTCCGCTCTTCAAAAGACCTCCTGCTTTCCAGCTCCCTCGTCAACTCCTCCAGGGCATCACCAGAGTCTCTCCCATCCTATGGAACTCTCTACCCCAAGCGGTTCGTCTATCTCCCACTCTGACTGCCTTAGGCGATCCCTTAAGACTCATCTCTTCAGGGAAGCTTGTCCAACCTCAACCTAACCACTGAACTATCACTTTCTAAAACAATTCATCCCCACACAGCTAACTCTTCATGTATCACTTGCCACTCCCTTTTAGATTGTAGGCCCTCCATTCCATCTTGTCTTGAATTGTGTTGTGATTGTAATGTTTTCCCTATATTGTAAAGCGCTGCACAAACTGTTAGCGCTATATAAATCCTGTATAATAATAATAATAAATGAGTATGCTACTTCTCCTTTTACTGTTCAGTCACAGGCTGGGAGTGGGACAAGACTTGCAAGTGTTATTTGACTGTGGTAGAGAAAAACCACGTCTCCTCCCATGCCAGACAAAATGATTCTTATATCAAAAATAAAAACAAAAAACATTAGGGAGAATTCATGCAGTGTCAGATTATTCACCAAAGCACACAGTGATATGTTCACATCTTTGCAAGTCAACATTTTAATTTTGGTTATTGTTCGTGAAGGGCCACAGATGATCCCTGTAGTAAAGGTTATGTCCACTGGAGGTTGAACAGTGAGAAGCTGTTCTTCCGCTATGGGCCATATCATTCTCCTAAATAGTAGTTGATCACATTTAGTTTAGTGTCTGTTTGAAAGCACAATTAATATTGTCATCTCAGTTTATTATTATAGACAATTCACCTAAATATACTTATTGTAATTATTTTACAGGTTGTCAGCATTTGTGGTGAAGTCCTTCAGCAAAGCTCGGCCTTATATATTTATAGATGAAAGTCACCTAAATCAATCCTTCACCTGGCTCAAGATGAATCGTAATGAGACTGGCTGCTTCCGTAGCGTGGGAAGACTCTTCAATAATGCTATGAAGGTGATCTGAATGCTTTTCTAGTAAATTCATATATGATCATAGTGATCCTATGTTATTAAAGCGGACCTTTACCCATATCTTTAGAAATGTTTAGTAATGACAATCTACACACACATACTTCTAGATAATTTCCGGATTTATATTCTTTGCATACATTATTTCTCTTTTCTTCCTCAGTCTTCTGACAGTGGCCATGTTTACTAAGCCCAGATTACTAGCTCTAATTTTACTTCCTCGATTTCTGGCACATGTGACTAGACATGTGACTAAGACATGTGACCATGCACATCATCACAAGGAAGGAAAATACCCTTCTCTGAGATCTTGTGAGATTACAGATGAGATTTCCCAGCAATGCTCTGCTGATGACAAGGCATTCCTAGTGTGCATTGCTTTGGCAAACTGAAGTAATTTTGCACTTTCAAAGCAGGAAGTGAATGTTCTGCAAGTGAAAGTATTTCAAAATCACAGCATTTTACACCTGACATGTCTATGTTATTATTTATCATCATCATACATAGAGGGATGCATTCGTAGAACTTGATTTTTGAGTGTAAAAGGTCTGCTTTAACACATATAATATCAACCCTCCTTGTCCATAATTTATGAATGTTGTTCAAGACATATTTTTAAAAGGCTACCTAGTACTGTGTTATAGTAATAACTCTATTTATGAAATTATAATTTTAGAATGGCGTCACTGCACCTTAAAGTTAATAACATAATTCTGCTGCACTCCTTACTGGATGTCCCAAATACCATGGGTGCTTGAAATGATTGCGGATGGCGCCGCTTGTAGGAAGAATTATTGAAGATGTCACCAGCACACCAATGTAGAATAAAGCAAACATCTGTTTATTGACGCATATTGTCATAACATAGATGCAACGTTTCGGGGCCACGCAGGGTCCCCTTCATCAGGCTTGAAATGAAGGGGACCCTAAATGACCCCGAAATGTTGCATCTATGTTATGACAATATGCGTCAATAAACAGGTGTTTGCTTTATTCTACTACGGAGTGCTGGTGACATCTCTAATATGTACTGCACCTTAAAGGTTAATTGAAGTTCTCAAATGCTACTATATCCCATAGATAGAACAACACCAATTATACAGAAAAGGGGCTTAAAGGGGTCTATTTATAAACAATTTGCAGATCCATTTGCCCTGTGAATTTCTGTGTATGTTCATTCTGGGGAAAAAGAGGCAAAAGTGAACATTCTTAGTATACATTTTTTATCACTACTTTCTTCATCTCTCTTAATCGACAGTGTCCCGAGACCATCGCTTTTGATGGATTCTTGAGACTATGTGGTTGATTTACTAAAGGGGTAAAGCATGTTCACTTTGCAAAGTAAGTATCACTTTAAAAAGAATAACTAATCATGTGCAAGCAAAAAAAGAAACAGGAATTTTGGTTGCACGTGACTGAAGTCAGCACAGTTTCCCCACATTCACCAGTCAACATTAGTGGGCATGTATTGCACCCGGGAGAAGGACAGCACAACATCATGCTTCATGAGCAGGGTATCATAACACTTCACCTGCTAGTGCTTGCTGTTGCTGTTCATCGCTTGGTTGCTGTGGTGTGCTCCTTTGACGCGACCCTCCTGCTTGGTAGTCTATGCCTGACAAAATCATCTCTTTTCCGAACTAGAATTGAATGAAACAGCTGTTTCCCTATCCACTTTTTATACCTCCTCTGCCTCAGATTGGCTGCTCGAGGATTTCCAACACGATATACATTTTTCTTGTTCCCCTGAAGAAGCCCGGGTGGGCGAAACATGTTGGGATATATAATATCATATATGTAGCTTTGGAAACCAATCGTGTGACTCGCAAATTGTGCGGCATCGCTACCATGTGGTGAATGTACCAATATATGTTTTATTTTATTTTTTAATCATGTTAATGATGATGTACTAACTAAATGTTTTTCTAAATTTTATATGGTGAGGTCTGGAATGTTTCTTTAAAGCCCCTTTTCCCTCTGGGCATTTGCACATCCCAGAGTGGAAATATTTTCTCCTTCTTCGCTCCCCACATACACTACGTTTAGGGAAAATTCCCCTGCAAAGTGACCAAACTTTTCTCCATTAGTAAATTATTCCCTATCTCTCTTTCTCACTTGTTTCGTAAGACCATCTCTCTTTACCACCGGTGGCCTGGGACCATTTCTATCACTAGTTAATTGGGACCATCTCTATCACCAGTTAATTGGGACCATCTCTATCACCAGTTTCTTGAGTCCATTTCCTTTTGTCATCAGTTTCTTGAGATCATCCCCATTTATTAGCACTTTCCACATATTCTTTCTCTGTATCAACGCTTTACAGCTAATCGCAATGAAAACATTTCAGGAGCTAATCTCTCTTAATCAGCAGTTTCCGAAGATTCTCTTTCTTTATCAACAGTCAAACATTTTTGCCTGAAAAATGTTCTTATTCTGACTCCGATTGTTTTATTAGCGATGTATCCCGTGTGGAGACCTCTATGTCTGGACTGTATAAGAAGATATAATCACTGCAGACACTCCTTATAGCTGAACTCACCAAATACCTTTTCCATCCACAAAGTACTTTATTCCGTGCAGCAGGTTAACAGGATACAGCAGATGAATGAATTGCCGGTATTTAAGGCGGTCAAAGATGATAATGTTTCCAAGCATGCAATGCAGATTAACATGTGGTCCTGTTAGAAACAGCCATGACACTCCACACTGAGCAAGAAGGGGAAATACATCATAGATGGGAGGGAACATGTACAATAACCAAGTGCAATAACTAGAATGACCAGTTGATGGCAATATATGAACTTAGCCATACAATATCAATGAGAAAATGGCTTAAGGAAAATAAACTATATAAATTCTCATCTCACATTAATGTGAATATTAACTTTTGGGACCTACACAATCGAGTAGATCTTGTCCACAGTGACCAATTAAATTTCATATATTTTTTCTCTGGTAAAATGAATCAAAGAATCTGATTGGTCACGACAATCAAGTTTATAACTTTTGTTTTAAGGAAACAAGAAAGGATTAAAATAAACTTTACAAATAGCCTTCCAGGGAGAATGGCCATTATAAAGTAAAATAAACTTAACTTTGCTACACTTTCCTTTTAAATAAACCTTATACCGTATAACTATCTTACAGTAGACATTAAATCGAAGCTATGATCTCCTTTACAGGGAGGAGTGCAAGATGATATCTCCCTTTCTGCTTATGTGACAATTGCTCTGATAGAGGGTGGTGTACCTCTGGAGGTAAGTAATCGTTACTATTGATGAGTTATTTCTGTAAATGTTGTACCTTATTACAAACCACTTCGAAAAGGAATTTATAGTACAATTGGCCCAAGAAAAAAAAATATGCTTCAAAATTCTGCTCCCTATTTGCAATCTTTTGGCGAATAGTAGGTGTTAAAGCTTGAACAGTAATCTTATTACATGTCTTGGATACTAAAACAGCAAGATCTCCTTGTCAAAATTGCCAACTCTGTTCCAGTCCAATTGGAAGTTTTGGGTGCTCCCCCACTTCCAGCTCTTCTTGTTAAATTCTCCAAATAAATACAAAACCCTGCAGGGATAGTCCCTGATATAGCAGTGAATATACAGTCCTTTATGAGAGTCCCTCATAATGGCCACAGCAGGTGTTCAGATGCAGAAACTTGATTACAGAGATCTTAGCAAACAGTAAACTTCGAAATATGCAAGAGAAAGATTTTTTTTAATAAAAGCATCTGTAGAACAGTTATACCACATAAATTGCAGAATCACAGCACAAAAAACAATAGAGTAATATCACCTTGGAATAATATGCGGTAAAATGCATCCAAGAAATAGGCAATTAAATATAGTACAAATTGCCAATAATTGTGCCTATATATATATATATATATATATATATCGGATAAGGCCTTATGGATTTTAGTAACCAAGTGGGGGATAAAATGTATTCAACCACATATTCAAGATGGAATCATACAATTTAAATTGAGCTCTGGATTTGTATACATACCATTCCATGGGAATAAAATAACTAACTACAATCATCAAGTATAATGGGCCAATGATCATCAGGCACCACTTCTTTGTCTATTGTTTATAGCTTTTTCTTGATTGACCATCATAAGGAAGATGTTCTCCCATTAAGTGTAGAAATACTTTATTTCCTTCACCACTTGGTTGAGTTGGTTGAGTTTTAAAGAAATGTTAACATCAGTTGGTAACAGTAAAAAGGGTTTAACAGTAGAATTCTCATAAAAGTGAGATTATTTATTTATTTCATGAGACTGTCAAATGGATCATCCCTTTAAAGAGGAAAGCTCAATAAGAAAAAAAAGTATTTGTTATATTACAGATAATATCATATTCATTAATTAGCTGTTTCTTGTATCCTTTATTTTCTCCCTCTAGGATCCTCTGGTTAGGGACGCAGTATCCTGTCTGCAAAAGGCAGCTAGTGATGTGACCAATGTATACACCCTGGCTCTGCTGGCCTACACCTTTACCCTGTGTGGAGAGACAGAGTTCAGAAAGACTATACTAGACAAACTGGACGAAAAAGCTGTACGAGGAGGTGAGAAATAGATAATTTAGAGAACAATACACAAAAGTAAACACATGCATTAGCCAAACTGATTTTTAAAAATGTAGACTTGTTTTGAATAATATGCCATCGGTTACAAGATGTCTAAATCGAATGTTCATTCTTCCTTATACACCAGCTGAAAAGTAAAGTAAAAATATATCTAAACTCAAACATTAAAGGGTATGTTTATATTGCCAAAAACGAATGTTATTAATAATATATTTCTTACTGCGAATGTAGTGTTACATTACATTATGGACACTATATGGAGTTTTCCAGTTTACATTGTGCTGAGGAGGATATTTATTTTCTATGCTCATCAGCTCCAACTAGTGATCATAATGTATTATTACAACACTACATTCGAACTGGAAAAATATATTAGCATTCTTTGTCTTTGGCAATTCATCACAGGGTTAAGTCCCCTGCAAATGTTTTCTTCATAAAATGTTTTTTAAATTAAAAAATCAAGGGACCAGGAATATTCGGAGTAAAAAGTAGTTTTGGTTACAATATATCAAGAGGCTAATCTGAAGCTATTCAATACAGGAATTCCTTTCCTCTGCTACATGCCATACATGTCATGGTCTTCCTGGTTAAACGTTGTCTGGCTTCCTTTAACCCACTTCCTTTTAGCCTAAAATGTTGTAGACCCCATTGAGGTATGTCATCAAACCGCCCTGAGCTCAAAATATGACTGCATTAAATGGTGCATTGCTCATACATCACTACATGTAGACTATTCAGTGCAGGAGGAAGGATCACCCTCACCATTGCTGGAGAGGGACCTATGTCATCATTGAACCAGTTAGAAGACCATCAGAAAAATCGTGTGTGTATCAGGTAGGGGAGGGAGGTGGTGAAGGGTCTTTTTCAGAGCAATCCATTAAGAAGGGACAATCCTTTAAAGGAGTCAGCCTAGGACACAAGCTGTTTTGATGTGCCATGAGCATTGAGCCACACTCATGCTGTTTTATCATCATTGGCTTTAACACTAACTGGTAAGTGATTTCATCAATTTGAAATGTGAGTTTATTTACCCTTTATTTATTAAATGGTAATACCTTCACTATGCCAATGCACCCTGGTGTTCTTAATTATTTCCTTTGCCCTGGTTGAACAGAATCCACATACTGACAAGCCTGTTCCATAGCGTTAAAAGCAAATTTCGTTGGAAGTTTTTAGGCAATGACAGTAAAGTCTTCTTATTAGTTCCAACAAACCTTTATTGAGATCATACAAACAATATTTAGAGAGAGACAAGACTATATAATAAGTAATGTTGTGTCTTTGCATCTACAGATGGACAGCTCCACTGGAAACGGGATTCTGCTCCTCCTAAGCAAGATTCATACTGGTACCGAGCTCCATCTGCTGAGGTGGAGATGACTGCCTATGCACTCCTGACTCTACTCCATGGGCCTGAACCTGACCTGAGCAAAGCTACGGAGATTGTAAACTGGTTGAGCAAACAGCAGAACCCCTATGGAGGCTTCTCATCTACACAGGTGAACCATTGACTAAATACAGTGATATCTTTTTGCAGCAAACTAGATTAATCAAGGGTCATCTATTATCTGATAATTGGCAGTCCCTGGTAAGTTATATCACCTGTCCATGTGCTGAATTTCTTCAAGACCCTGGCAGGGATAATATCCTCCTTCCCAAGATCCTATTTCCACGATGTTTAAAAGGCATGAAAAGAGATAACTGCTTACTTTGACACCCCACCCCCAATTTGTTTAGGATAATAGGGAATTTCTAGGCTGAAATCAGGATTGGGATAGGCAGAGGGCAGAATTTTCTATACAACATGTTCATGATATCTTATTTTTTTTACTTTGTACATTTGTACATCCTGTGTTTCGTAACCATCAACACCTAGAACCCAAATTTACTCCAATACTTTGATTTAGTCAGACCAGTATATTCGTTTGCACAGTACACATTGTGGATTGCATTTAGTCTCATTAGGTGAAAGTGTTTATCTTTTTCCCTGATGTACACATTTGTTCACTAACATTCCTCTTATTCTATGTAGGACACAGTTGTAGCTCTTCAAGCTCTAGCCAAGTACTCGGCACTCACATTCAGTGATAAGGGTGATATGACTGTGACCGTCACTTCCAGCACAGGATTTCTGGAGAAGTTCCATGTAGACAAAAACAACCGTCTCCTCCTCCAGAGAGCAACACTCCCGACTGTTACCGAAGAATATATGGTGACTGCCACAGGGAACGGCTGTGTTTTTGTCCAGGTGAGAAGACACCAACTCTCTGCCTTCTCTTCTATTATTTATTTCTTTCCTCTAACTAATTTCTTGTCTTCATTTCACAGACAGTCCTGAGATACAATGTCCCTCCACCCAGAAGTGACATCAGCTTTTCATTAAAGGTGACACCACAATCAACCAGAGAGTGCCTGGGGGATCCAGTGACGAATTTTGATATTCTAATCAGTGCTACGTGAGTTTTATTATCAATCTCTTTTCATTGGATGACACAGTAAGAATGTCAAGTTATAAGCTTGGCCTATACAAATTAGCACATTAGAAAGTTACTTTTTTTCTGCTGTGCTATATGATCCTCCTAATAGTGTCCGTTTATATCTGAAATTTTAATTTCGGACGAGCCAACCTTTTATGAACCTGTTTCTATGCTCAGTACACAATCAAAATTAAGCAAACCATAATTTTACTATAAATAAGAAGTATGTTCTTTTGAGAATGATTAAAATTCAAGTCAAAAACTCTATTCTTATGATATCAACTATGTACTCATATGTGTATATTACCTTATTCTTAAAGTGACACTAAACTCAGAAGTTAAATCTTACAAATACCCTATTAATAAAAGGCCACTGGACTTGCTGTATTTTTCTGAATTGAGAAAGCTGGTTGGATGACCAGTGAAATGTCTTCAAGAAAAAGACAGCAAGTCTAGTTGCCTTGACCTATTTTTTCCAGATAGGTGTTGAGTTAGTTCAAGTATCTTAACTATTAACAAATATGTAGCTTATCTGTGTATCACTCATTTGTAGATCATCATATCATCTCTAAATTGATGTTGTGTGTGTGTTGTAAAGTAGCCACCGCTCCAAGCTCTCTCCCGTGATGACCTACAATGTAACGTTTAGTTTACTAATTTGTACTGAGATTGTAGTACTTCACAGGAGCGAGCTTGGAGTGGTTACTTTACAACACACACAGGGACCATGGGGAACCAAAGTAACCACCCTCCAGAAGGAAGGACAGTGTCAGCACCAATTCAGAGATGATTTGTGGATCTACAGCCGAGTGAGACACAAATAAGATACATTTTTATTAATAGTTAAGGTACTTTAATGCATTTTTAAGATTTAACCTCTGAGTAAAGTATCACTTTTAAAGCTGCTGGCATCCTTGTGCACAGTTAAACACCTCCCCTTAATAGCAGTGGCGACTCTAGGAACAATATGTAGGGGGGGCACATAAGATACAACAGTCAAATCTGGGGGGGCACTAATAATTTTCATTGCATGTTGCAACCGCTGGGCACCGATGAGCTGATTTAATTGCGGATGGCATTGGCACCCCGCGGTTGTGACATGTAGTCCAACGCCACCCACAATCCTCCATACCGCAACGGCCGGGCGCCGATGCCATCCGCAATTTAATCAGCTCTCGGCGTCCGGCATTGCCCCCCTGTAGTGACGCCTATGCTTAATAGACTCATAATAATTGTACTCGTCCATCTGACCACAGGAGTAAATTGGCTGCTACAGTTCCGCTTCCTTAGTCCTCCAGCTTGTTATTGGACAATCTAATTACTGTCAGGGCACTTATGAGGTTATTTATCTGCTCTTTCCTCCCATAAGCATGTCCAGTGTTAAGCTGACAGTACTACAGCCCTGATTGCCTCCTAATGCTGAACACTTATTGTGGGTGCTGCTGTACTGGAGATGATCTCTTAAATTATAGATTATATATCTTAAATTAATACACAATTGGATTGAATGATGCTTTTTAAATATCCGTCTAAGTTTTTCTTAAGTTAGCAAGTCAAATAATTTTTAAGCAAGCCCTGTCGTTTTATTCCTATAGATACATTGGAACCCGGGAGAAATCCAACATGGCTGTTATAGAGGTGAAGATGCTTTCTGGATACATTCCAGTCAAGAGTACAGTGAAGAAGGTAAGGACCTACATCCTAACTAATCTGTGGACCAGTGAGCATCTAAAGATGTGTTAGAGTTTAGTGTATTATGTCAAATAGTCCTCATAGCTTTGGAAATTCCCAATACTTGTGCTACAGTGTATGCATTGGGTTCATTTCCCAGTTACTACTCATAACGCTAATATAAGTGAAGTCTTCAACCTTCTTGTAGTGACAACATTTTCTTTCCTCAGCTGCAGAAGGACCAACTGATACAGAGAAGTGAAATCCAAATGGACACAGTCACTTTATATCTGAATCAGGTTTGAATAACTTTCTTTGGGATATTGAAAAGGTTTCAAACTTGTGAAGTAGATTTGTTGTTCTTCTTCTTGCTGACTAACCTTTGGCTGCCTATAGCCATCATATTGCAGTTAGAAGATCCAGCTTTCACATGATCACTTTTTCAAACGATCACTATATAGAGAATGTATGATCAGTTTGGCTGAGAATATCTTATTTATGGAGTTAGCAGTCACTCTGTAGAGTACATGATGCCCCTAAACATAAAGTATGATTATTTACCAATCTGACCATGATTGGCAGAAGTGGGAGATGCTGGTCTACCACATGCTTCTTGACTGTAGAAAAGCATAATAAATACAACAAATCATAACTGAAATTAATGTACCCATCCTTTCTCCTCCTCCTCCTCAAATGAACACTATCATATAGCATAATGTAGCATAAAGGCCGACCCTTACTGTATATTCAGAACAGATGTCAAATAACCCACAGCCCACTAAGGTTAATCAGTAGTGATGAGCTGAACACCCCCCTGTTTGGTTTGAATTCGTACTTTCAAACATGGAAAAAGTTTGAACTCGAACTAAATGCAGGTCTATGGGGGTAGAACTTTGAAAACCAATTGACCCCATTTTGAAGGATTATTTGAAAGTTAATGGCCATAAAAAGGGTATGGAGATTCAGATACTGCCCAATGAAAAAACACTTTTACAAAATACCATTTTTAAAGGAGCAGTGATGTTAACATTACTTAAAGTGAAACATTAACAATGAAAAATTCCTTTAAATATCGTGCCTGGGGGTCCCCTTAAACTGCCTGTAAAGTGGTACACCTGTACAATGTATAGAACCTGCTGCAGTAAAAATTACATTTGTAAAGAAAAAAAATTACATTAAAAAAAAAAAGGGTTGCGGTTCCCCCTCCCAAATAATACCAGACCATTTAGGTCTGGTAGGAATGTTAGGAGGGACCCCATTTGAAACAAAAGCGTGGGGTTTCCCCCAAAAGTCATACCAGACCCTTAAGGTCTGGTAGGAATCTTAGGAGGGACCCCATGTAAAAAAAAACTGAAAAAAAAAAGCATGTGAGGTTCCCACTCAAAGTCATACCAGGCCCTTAAGGTCTGTTAGGAATTCTAAAGAGGAACCCTTAAAATCCCATAACAGACCCTTGATCCGAGCACAGGCCTGAAAGGAAAGACTTGTTGGCATCATTTACTTCATATTTCTTTGAACCTGTCATTTCAGCTGCTCTTTTTTGGTTATGAAGAACCTAGCTGCATTTCTTTCTTTCACTGTAATGTTATCTTTCTCATAGGTGGGGCATGATACTATAAATCTCTCTTTCATGGTGGAGCAGAATATTGAAGTCAAGAACCTGAAACCAGCCACAGCAAAAGTTTATGATTACTATGAAACAGGTAGCCTTCTCTTCTAATAGTTGGTGGAATGTTCATGCCTATAGATGGTCCAGACTTTGCCCAGTTGTTCATATATGAGGAACACAAAAAGTACTCAGAGATACTAAGTATCAAAGCCCCTGTAAATAAAAAAAATACCCCTTAGTGCTCCCTATTTAAAAACAAAAATTAAAAAATAAAAAGTTTTTTATAAAAAAAGGAAAAAAGCTTAAGAAAAGTCCCAAAAAATATGTTTAATAATTTAAAAAAAGAAAATATAGTGCTGAGGAGGCTTTTAACCAGTTGCCGTCCGCCCATTGCAAAAAAACGGACGGACGGCACAGTCGCATTGGCGGGTTGCCGTCACCAGACGGCATTTTTTTTCTGCTCGCGCGTGCAAGCAGAAAAAAACATTGGACGGGCAAAAAAACCCTTTCAATGTAAAGAGCCGTCACTGGCTGTTTCACATATACATGATCAGCGGCTCTATAGCCTGCCGATCATGTGTATGTGCTGGCTGTGTGACCCCCGATAGTCCTCTTTATGGAGACCCCTAATGTCTCCATAAAGAGGACCTGTCAGTGTGCCTTTGCTATTATATAGGGGGATTTGTATCCCCCTATGTAATAGCAATGACATTAAGTGGAAAAAAACATAAAAAGAGTTAAAAAAAAATAAGTCTCATGTAAAAAAGTTTTAAAAAACCGCCAAAAATTCTTAAGTTCCCCACTCCCACGTTTACGCACATATAAACGTAAATACGCGCCCGCTGCACCAGCGCGCAAAAACGACAATTGCACTACACGCGTTACATATCACCGTGAACATCGCAGTGAGAGCGATCCATTTAGGGCCATCAATCACTGATAACACTAAACTGATAAGTGGTAAAAGCTTTTAAAGAGTCGCCAATGGCCAATTTTGGGTATGATAGTTTTTTGAGGTTTTGCGCGCGCACGCAATTTTGAGGCTTGACATGTTTGGTGTCTTTTTACCCGACGTGTCCCCGTCTTTTATATTTTACCAAAAAATTGGGTAATAATAAATGTTTTATCATTTAATATAGGGAAAATGTTTTTTTTTGTTTTTTTTTTAATTTCGGTAATTTTTCCTTAATATAGTAAAAAATAAAAGGGAAGGGGGTTTAAACACCGCGGACTTCAAGTGGTTAAAGATAGGAGACAAACATACGGCATTCTAAAATTGTTCCAGACTAAAATTGTATTCCAATTGTATTAACCTAAAACTCCCAAAATATACTGAAATCCCAGACATATGATAAACCTTATGAATCAGGACAAATACAATTATTTATTATAAATTACTTTCTGTTAGCTGCACTAATTATGTACATATTATTATTACCAAAAGTGTGAAAAAAAATTTGTTTTGCTTTTTTTTTTAAATATAATCCGTATGTGACATCAAATAAAGCCCATTTTGTCCTTTAAAAAACAGTATATAATATGTGTAGGTGCAATGAATGAGGAAGATGGAAATTATTGTTCAACACATAGCAAAAATGGCAACATGTTCCTGTCCCCAGAAGTGAAAGAAAATTCTGAAGCTATGTCACTAAGGGGTTAAGATGGACAAAATTGTCAGTCTTCTGTAAAAATCAGGAGTTTTAAACAAAATTCCACAACTTTGGAGTCAGTAGGAAAAGGAGGAATTAGGTGGCTTTTGTGCTTTTAGTGGCCAACGCCCCCATTAGCCTCATTGTTTCATATTTTTACCAGAAAGAAAAAAATATAACAATATTAATGTAAGGTTACACAAATAATGATCAAATATACAAAAATACACTATATTATGGAATGCAAAGTGTTGTTCTTTTACCTTTCAGATGAGCAAGCAGTGGCAGAATACAATCATCCCTGTAACTCAGGTGAGGATATTGGACTCGTGTATCACAAATTCAATGAATATAATTTAGAAACATGTTTCACTTTTTTTTTTTCAAAATGCCATTTGTATGACTGTTCTGTGAACCTCTGGCATTTGTACTTTCTCGTCACTAACCTGAAACAAGTATGCAGGTCAGATGTCAGAGATAAACCAGAAGTCCTGATCTGCATATTTGTTGAGTATAGGGACGAGGACAGCATGATAGCCAGGTAGCTAACAATTTCGGAAGAAGTGGTCAGCCTCCCAAATTTCTCTCCTGTTGGGTCTTGTTCATAGTGAACCTGTACTTAATTTTAATGTTTTATAGTCCAGCTATTACCTTTATTGGTCAATAATGTCTGTCATATGATCTTCTATGATTGTTACTGAGACTTGATTTTCCCTGGCTTTATAGATAAGCTCCACCAACTGCTATACCTTTGTGTAATAAGACTACCTTTGCGGCCATTAAGGGCAGATGGATTACAGCTCTTAAAGCCCTAATGAACAGGCACTGCATTGGCTGTACCATCTTCTGCCATCAGGACTAATGGCTCCTTCACATGGGTGAAGTCTGTGCCACTCAGCATGGACTCCATGAACAGGTCACCTACTGAATTAGTGTGACATCTATGTCCATTCAGTGTTCACTCCATGGAGCTAAACAAACCCAAGCCTATGGACTGGTGGAAGTAACTAGACACATATCCGTTTATATGTACCTGCCCCTAGACTAAACTTCAGTTGAGATGCAATTAAAAAAAACCTAACAGATGGATCTGAATGGAATGCCGTGTGAAAGGGGCCTGAGGACTAATACATTCAAATTTCTGGAGTCTACAACTGCTGTTGTGTTCACTTTGTGTTTCTAAACATTATCATGTTTGATGTCCTTCAGTTCCTGCCCAAGAAAACGTTAAACATAACAGTCCCTTTTTTGTATTTGTTCTGCTTTCCAGATGACACATTCAGCAATTCAAGATGAGGACAACGTAATATATAACATCTATGCTGGAAAATCAGCAAGAAAACAGATTCAGTTAACGAATATGAATTCACCAAATGTCTCACGCTTTCCATAAAAAAATCAAGAATTATTTTTTTTCGTGAATGTATCAGATTCCACGTGAGCGTAAACCACTATTGAGATAACATGCTTTGCAATTTGGTAGTGGAATCTCCAACCTCATCTGTTAGCATAATGTTCTTATATAAAAAGGTATTAAAGTCTGTTTTCCATGAACATATAGTCTGAGTGTTTATTGCAGAGTGTATCTGAAAGTAATTATTGATGTGACATTTTACTTGCTTGTTGTGCCACTTTTTGCCATTTTTTTTTTTTAAATACAGATAAATAGCTATTTCTACTAACTATTGGTTTATCAGAACGTGGAAATAGGGATTGCTCATCAAGGATGCTAAGATAATCTCTTAGAAGACCATGTTTTGCACTCACTGAATTATATTACAGGTGTCAGCTGACCCATATGCTCACATAGAGTCAGGAGCAGAACTAAAGTGCAATAATCATGCAAAAAGAACGAATATGAACACAGCAGCAGATTCGCTACAAGGAACTTTAGTTTAAATACAAAGTCTTCTTTTTATTGCATTCTACCCATATCACAAAAGTGCAGTGCATAAGAGTCTCCCAGAAAACTCTGAGGCTGAGGGATTTCCCCAGGTGCACAGAGGAACACATCGGGACCCACTGCAGCCCCCTAAGGACCCTCCATAACCTAGCTTATCAAAGACGTCTCCAGAATCAGGACATGTTGGAGTATAGGCAGCATGAGAACTCAGTCTGGCAAGGGCAATTTTAGGGATTGCCAACAGAGAGCCAACATCTGGCCAAGTCTGGTCATAGAGAGTACTAGCAAAAGGAGCATCCGGGGCATGCTGGGATGGGACAGGACAGACACCAGTGTGGCACTCAGATTTCTCACCAACAGAAAGGATGCCCGAACAATTTCTTTCACAAAAGAAAGGAGACTCTGTTATGAGTAGCATAGGAGAAGAAAACTAAAAGGCTTCACACTCGGAAGGAAATGATTTACTAGCAGAGGACAGCACGATATCAGAAGGAAAAGACAGATCACAGAGATCTTAGAACTCAAGAAATCAGCTTGGGAAAGTTCCTGAACAGAGATCAGAGCTAGCAGGGTCTCGAAATAGTGTGGCACTGATGAAGTCTCATGAACGAATGGCACAGACACAGTCTCTGGAGCACATGGCACAGTCTCGGGGGGTACATGGCACAGACACAGCCTCATAAACAGGAGAGTCTGCTTCTATGACAAGAGAGGCCGTCTCGAATTCAGCAGAGGCAGATTCAGACACAGCAGAGGCTGGTTTTAACTTAAGATGCGCACCGAAGAGGGAGAAATAGTTTCAAAGGATATAGACACTGGCTCGGGGTGCAGAACCTCAAGAGGCAAATCTAGGGGGCTGGGTCTCAGAGGCAGACATAAAGCATAACTCAGAAGTCACTAGCTTAATAGAAGAGGCTTCATGCTTGCACTCCTATTTACATGGTTTTCCAGAGTTGTTTTTGCATGCTTGGGATAGAGCAGCTAGACATGCATATATGTTTTTTGGGCATCACAATATTCATAGGATCCCTGAATGGGTACATTCCTATAGGAAGACTGGGTCACTATACTGGAACAGGTGCAGGCCAGTCTGGAATAGGAGCTGTTGCTAGGGAAAACAGGCACAATGCACTCACATAGGAGTCTGGTTGGATGATGGATTTAACAGTCTGGGATGTGGTTTTACAGCAGGAAGCAATACGCTTCAGAGCTTGGAACGCAGCAGTAAGACCTGAAAAGAAGTGGGGAGGCATTCGCAAGCCACCCTTAACACAGATTAGGAATTCAATAAACTTGACAGGATCTTCAGACAAATAGCTGTTACAATCCAGAAAATCTTCAGCCCACTTCATCAATTCCCCTTCAAGTAGAAAATATGTAATCTGACCTGACCAGGCTGCCAAGGAGAACTGCAGGAAATGGTTTGGAAATCAGTTTAGTAACCGCTTACTACATCACCGAATAGATGGACGTTTTCCGGATTTAAATCTTCAAATCTGGGCGGGTGAACAAACATTTATTGCTTTGGGCTGGCTCCACAGGTAACAGAGTTTCCAGAAAAGGCAGGAGGACTTCTAGTCCCAGGATACAGGAATCCACTGGTGTGCACAGAAAATTTAGGCAAGATTGCAGCTGAATTGCAGGACCTGTGCAAATCTTTAGTCAGTATACTATTTGGTTGGCTTGTGATGTCAGGACCAGATGCAAACACCTTGGTCAGAGTATATAGTGGTGAGTTGCTTCATCTCTGGCAGTAGCCGCCTTTCCCATAAAGCAATATACACCTGCCGGTGCTCGGATGCCCCCAGGAACAAAGGACAAGTACTGACTGGTGACAAGATACAGATATAAACTGAAAAAGACCAAGATACAGGATAAAGATAGGACTATGATGCAAGACAGGAACAGATTCAAGAGAATGGACTATGATACAAGATCAAGGTAAGCACAAGACTAGGATTCAAAATATACAGAGCAGAATACACACTTCTGTGGACAGGACTAGAATGAACTATCACTAGCCCAGAGCCCTGGGCTTGTGATGCTTATATAAAGCACCACTAACCCACCCCCAGGCTGAGAGGGGTGTGTAGCCAGATTAGCCTAATCAACCCACAGCTGACGGTGGGTATGTGGCCACAAGCAACCACCAAAGGGAGCTGAACAGTTGCTACAGGCATAGAAGTATTTGACATGCTCCTAACAGGTCCCTGCTCTGAGGGATATATGAGGGTGAAAGCAAGTGTACAGTGACAGGTCCTCTTTATGGAGATATCAGGGGTCTATGTCACCTAGGGACCCCCAAAGAAGCTGATGAAGTAGAGATTTGCTTCAACAGCTTCTCTCCAGCTACAGAAGCCATCGAAATGACAGATTGAAGGCTTAGGGCGTGTGCTGATCTCCCTCTGATCTCTGTGCAGAGAGCCAGTGGCCGCTGTCAGGATGCAAAAGAAACAGCAGGTGATTCATCCATTAATGCTCGTAAGCAAGGAATTCTGTTCTGTTTTTTTTTGTTCGAGTTGAACTAAAAAAATAGAACAGTGTATGGCCAGCTTAAGAAGATTCATTTCAAAGAGATACACCAGGTCTCAAAACAAGTACTAACCTAACACCTTAACAAAGTGGTGACTTTAGCCTTCTTGTATTCACATAACATGCTTATTACAATATATTATTGTAATTTCTTACAGTTGGAGAAGGAGAAACTGGTGCAGAGAAGTGAAATACAGGTGGACGTGGTCACTTTATATCTGAATGAGGTTTCTTGCTAACTCACATTTCTACTGTTCTTGACTATCCATAGGCATGAGATGGCAACTTTATTGTCCAACCTCTCTGTGAAATGATTGAGCCATAAAAATGCAGATTATTTTCAATTGAGCATACAGGATGTAATTGCAGTCGGCGGGCACCAACAATCTGGACTTATCATACAATGAATCTGTGCATTGCCCATGCAGGACAAAGCAACAGCAGCAGATACATATACTCACATTCTTTTCACTCCCAAGCTGTTCTGTTCTGCTGTAGTGAAAGGAAAACCCCATTTAAAGTACATGTTCTTAGAGTTGTAGTTTACAAAAGGCTATGAACTCCCTGTGACAAGGTTGCATAGTTAAATAGTTAGCCAGGTCAAAAAAAAGATACACCTCCATTGAGTTCAACCAAAAGAAGAAGATTGAATAAATAAAATAAATACATTCATGCATACAGTACATTGAATACTTCCATATTCAGAACCCTATAGCCACAAAACTAAACAAAAATATTAACTCTACATACATTTTACGTTCAGTTTCTGGAAAAACACAGTCACCCCTACAGCACATGAAAAACTATTGTTTTCTATGTGCGCCATTCACACCACACCTCGTACTGCATATTTAAGTAGTAATTAAAGTAGCAACAAGAGAAACTTAGAATTCCTACAGCATAATGGTTACAAAGGGGCTTATTAAACTCAGGTTTGTGCAACCAAAGGGTCATACCTCCAAGTGGGGGTGCAGGAAAATTCAGCAGGGTCCTGCCAGTGGGGTAGTGCTCTGCCACTCGCCCTTCCCCTGCAACCTGCAATAAGAGTAGTAACCTCAGATGCCAATGCAATGTGGTGCCCTGGACCCTCCTAGTCATAGAATCTCTCCTGGCCAATTGGAATCTCACTGCCTGAATGCTAACGGTCAGGAAAATAAAGGAGGCCAGTTCATTAAGGTGCAGTTTAAAAACACATTTACAATGTGTGTTTTTTAGTTTGAATAGAGTAAGGAATGGTAAGAACCCCTTAATAGTTAATTTTTTTTCTGTTTGTGTGGACCAATGAGGACATTTCCCTTGACTTCCTGTCCCAGAGACACAACGGAAAGTTAGAAAAAATCTCCCAAAGTGAGGGCAATGTAACTCTTACACAGTTGTCCCGAGAACAGGTGTCTACAGTGGTAGATTTTCCTTACCTCTTGTTTTGGGGGCAAATCTAACTTGTTGTCTTTCCCCTCACTTTCTCTCTCGGTAACAGTGGTCACCAGTACAAATAAATCTTCCCAACAGGGACAGAGACTGAGCTAAAAACATAATGGAGGTTCAGTGACATTGAAAATTAAGCATCACTCGTGTAAGGCAAACCAACAGCAATGATCTACTTATTTTCCACTAACCATCAATATAAGAGAGCACCACTGACCACTGATGTAAAGGGCACTACTCCACTAACCATGAGTTGAAGGGAACACTGCAATGTGTTTCTTTTCTAACCATTATTATTGGTTTTATTTTATGATTATTACAAAAATAATTTATGTAAGGGGATATTTCTCCAACGATCATGATTATTGCTAAAAATTATTTATCCTGCCCTACCTGTCATATTCATTTCATAGGATATTGCCTTACGCTTCTTCAC